ACATGGCATGCTGCTAGGCATTTCATTAATTTTACTTCATTTTTGTGCTTTTGTAATCCAGAGACCGGCGACGAGGACGTCTGCAAATGGACGTGCGAGGCGATAAGGGAGCGGGCACAGCAAGTGGAGTGGAGACAGCAGCTCCGCAGGCGTCGCATATCAGCCGGAAACGCGCGTTGTTTGGTAATTTCCTTAACGGAAGCGCATGCAGTTGCCCGTCCAGGATCGAGAACAGGCCGCAGTATGCAGGCTGTCGGCCAGCTTGGTGTCTCCTGGTCTTCTGGGCCGTTATACGCTGGTCAGACGTACATATGAGAGAATTTAGCTCACAAATTTGTTGGGAAATTTGCGCAGCCAAGAAAAGGAGGACTTGGTGTGCGGGCAGCGCCCTTAAAGGCGTCACATTGCCCACAGGACCTGCCCACATACTATTTCCAATTGATTAAGCACTTTGGCCAGCAAAACCGCAAAAGCAAAGAAAACGAACGCCCGGCTGAACCCATTCCATTCAGATCTTGACCGCCGCAGAAAAAACAAGTAAGAGGTTCCGGTCGGGAGCACCCGACTAGGGGATACCCTGAACCCTCTTCTTCCGACAGGCGATAGATATGAAATGAAAGATACTTGATATATATATTATATTCTAGAAGCTACATGTCAAGTTTGGTGACTCTAGCTCACATTATTTACCAAAATTGCTCAAAAAACAGGATTTCTATATCGATTTTTATCGATTACTTGGAAACGGAGCAAGTTATCGAATATCGGAAACAAACTCGATCTGTGCGGGCACTAGGAGAACCTACAGTTAAAACATGGCTAGATCGACTCGGCTATTGATGCTGATCAAGAATATATATACTTTATGGGGTCGAAGATGCTTCCTTCTGCCTGTTACATACATTTGCATAAAAACATTATACCCTTTTTACACATTTTCAATGGGTTCAGGGTATAAAAAGAGAATTCATCGAATCAAATCGAATCAAAGCGAACCGAATCGAATCGAATCGATTCGAAGCGAATCGTCTAGTCACCGAATGCAACGAAATGTGAAACACACCGATGGATGGTCGTCCCCTTGTGGCTGGCTGGGTTCACGCCATGCCTGGACGCTTTAACCGGATCGCAGCTAGCCGGCGGTCTGGGCCACTCCACGAGACTCCACTCGAATCGCAACTTAAAATGCACTTTTGGGGGCTTTTTCATTTAGTGCGCCATAAATTAGGCAGCCGAGTTTTTGCAGCTCCGGCAAAGGGCGAAAACGCAGAACAGCGACATTTTGCACAGACGTTCAAATGGCAAACCCAAATCCTGGCAAGGCAATTAATCTTAACCTGGGTCACGTCGACGCCAGCTCAGTAAAGGATTCAAAAGTCACACATTGAAAAAAAATATATGATAGCTCTTCGATTAATAATTGGCGACATATATCAATTTTTTAATTTAATCAGATACAAAATCAGATATTTATCTAGCTGAGAGGGAATATACCCTCTAGCCAGACTAACTGCAGTTAAGTATTAAAACTCCCCTATTATCCATTTTCGAAGAGCAAAAGTGCTTATCGGAAATATCGACGCGTTTATACGAACCGACCGATTCGGCTGTTTTATATTCTTTAGAAATATCTTCTTATTAAGGTCGCAGAGGTTCCCTTGTTGCGTTATAAATATCATACCCACATATGCCTTGCTTATCTGAATTCGTGCTTCTTTTGTTCATAAACATTTTGTTGTAAAATACTCAAAGTATTAAAATGGCGAAGTAGAGGAGTTATAGGTCAATGAGAAACTAGGTGCTATGCACAAATCCCAGATGAAGGCAACATCTATAGCCGGGCTGCATAGTAGCTAATTTCTTTATTTGCAAATCTTTAAGTTAATAATAATTCAAGTAATAAGGAAACACCAACTCAAGCCATATCTTCATCTGTTGAGTGTGCGACCTTAAATTGCTGCACCGGAAACACAATTAAGCTGAGTGCTGGACACATGTCCAACTTAAGCCGCAAAAGTTGTTTTAAATTGCTGCACAGCGGCTATCAAAAGGCAAAGGGCCCAAGGACTGCCAAGGTTCGAGTCGGAGACGGAGACGTTTGCCATATAAATTCAATAGCCATGGCAATAAGTGCATTAGCAGCATATTTCACAGATTGGCAGACACGTCGCTCGGCGGGCGACCAGAGAAAGGCGACCAGGGCAGAAAGGCAGTCAAAGGGGCAAGGAGAGCAACACGGGCGACCGCCAGACACAGTTGCTCGACCAAAAGTAAGCCACAAATTGCATGAGATCATAAATATTTCAAGCATAAAGTACAAAATATGCAAAAGTTTTCTTTCTATTTTCTTATGCGCTTTCCAGTCGCCAGTCGCCAGTCGCCAGTTGCCCCACTTCCTCTTGGCACGAGCTAACGTCAAACGAAATAAGAAAAATATATTGCTAAATTCTCGCACAGGAAACAGCAACAGCAACAGCAACAGCAGCAGCTGCCCGGCGGGTGGACCAGGACCTTTTCACACAGCCCGGACTTTGGCAGCACGTGCACGCCAAATGGCAAACGGAAGTTCAAAAGCGTAAAGAGCATGTAACGATGCCAACGGCAACTGCATTGGTATTGGACCAAGAGATGCGCTTCTGTGTATGGTCAGCCGATTGTGGCCACAAATTGCAATAAGCAATTTTTCAATTTTCAATTTAGACGCCATCGACGTGGGCGAGGGCGGAAGCGGGGGGGGCGAGGGCGGACAGCGACATGCAAAGCAGCCAAACCTGCAACTGGTCATAATTCAGGCAGATCCGTTCACGTCCGACTCCGGTATGGCAGATTCACGGCAAAACCGGTAAACGCTGCGACAAGACAAATGTCTGCCCAAAAAAGTGGTTCCGACAGTTGACACACAGCTGGCCCCGGACCGGGACCCGGACCCGCACAATTAATAAGTAATCTACACGATTTAGTCAACCTAGGGCCTGGCTCTCGGGATCTGCAGGATCCACAACCCTTTGGATAAGTTACATAACAGTTATTTATATGCTGGGGGCAAAGTGACCCAAGCTAAACCAAAGCGAACGGGCTTAGGCCCGGATATTTTAACAAGAAATAAACTTACAACGGACGAACTGGATATTATTAATAAATATTATTATTAATAATATGAAAAGTTGACATATTTCAATAGATACCAAGTCGAAGTGGTCTAGTGGTAAGTGTACGACTAGGAGATATCCTTTCGTTCAAAATATTCCAGCAACAAGCAAAGTCCCATGTGTTAAATTGAAGGAAACAGGAAATGTATCCGAAGAAAATATTCTGTAAATATTCTGTAGCTGTTTATACTATACAAAAGCCCGGCATACTTATTTGAGGTTTATGTATATGGCATACACTTGCGTATATTTATATGAAACAGTTGTTAATAAAAATATGATTTTAACTGAAATGCGATCTCTTGAGGGTAAGTTAACGTAAGAGCTCGTAGGCATGATATGCGCCAGGTTTCATTTTGCGCCAACGCTGCACAGCCACCAGGACGCCGAGGCAAAACCACATGATCAGCACCACAATGGAGTAATAGGAAATGGCAGACTGTTCCGTGCGGTCGGAGCTCTTCAGCAGGAAGACCATGTTGTGGAAATTGTGCTCGCATTCCTTGCAGCCGTCGAACTTGACGTCCACAAAGTCGTCCTCGTATTGCTCGCCGAAGAAGGGGAATTGTCCACGCACCACCAGCACCAGGCCGAGCAACGGAATAAGCGGGCGACAGCGGAACATATTCAAAATTAAACTGAATTTAAATTAACTCAAAAAAAGCCACTTGCGTTCAATTCAACAATTGATTTATATATGAACACGGGGCACAAGCGCTGAGCCGCTTTTATAGCTGTCTCTGCGTGTGGTTATTTGAGTCGATCGGGCTTATTCCTAGAAATTCTGGTTTGTTCACCATATAATCTATAAACTATAATCTTTCAATAAGGCGAAAGCTACACCTCTCTTAGAGGAACTGAGTCTAGCCGGGTTATTTTACAGCTTTAAAATGAAAACCAACCAGAGTCAATCAGTGTACATTTTATACCCTTGCAATAAGTAGTATAATTTGATCACAAAACTGGTTAGACTTTAAAGGAGGCATCCGTTGTATTTCTATTTTATTGCAAACTTCTCTCATTTTTTCTATTTGGAGTATACTTAATATTACACTAGGATGTACCAAAAGCTGTTATGGGAAATTTCGGTTGAAAACCGTGTAGATATCTTATCCAATCTCTTCACTCTTATACTATGTATAAGCTAAATCTAATCATCACCAGACTACTATATCATACATCTTCAAAAAAATAAGCTGTCGAAATTTAAGGTTTTATAAGATTTAGTTTTATATCTAGACATATTTCTCACATTCGTCGAATATACGCAAGTATATTAAATTTTCAATTCCTCGAAGACAATATTTGATCTTCTCGTATATTCTGGACACATTGTCGAAATTAAAATTTTTATAAGATTCAATCTAGACATATTTCTCACATCTATCACATATGGTATACGCAAGGATATTAAATCTTCGGTACTTCGAAGACAACTATTTTATCTTCTCATATATTCTGGACACATTGTCGAAATTTAAGTTTTTATAAGATTAAATCAACTCATAAGTATTTCTGACATCCAACACATATACGCAAGGATATTAAATTCTTCGAAGTTCTTCGAAAACAAGTATTTTACCTTGTCGTATATTCTGGACACATTGTCGAAATTTAAGTTTTTCTAAGATTTAATCTAGACATATTTCTCACAGCTGTCACATTTAAGCAGGGATATTAAATCTTCGGTACTTCGAAGACAAGAATTTTATCTTCTCGTACATCCTGGACGCAATCTCTTCTAAACTTGTTTAAAAACAGACACCACAAAATTACCAAGTCAAATTTGTTTTTTTCTTCTTATTTTCTACTTTTTACTTATAATCGGTTTTCTTATTGCACTTTTAAATAACTTCTAAGAGTATAAGAAAAGAATGTAGCTTTTTGACTAAATGACTTTTGCAGCTAACATACGCTTATAAAAAATGCTTAAAATTAAACGAAAATCTTTGAAAGGGTAATTAAACGGCATAAATAATTGTTCTGCATTTTTTGCCCAGTCTCTCGTCTACACCATATACTGCCTGATGTCCTGGTCGCGCTCCCTGAGCGTATGATCTATCCAGCGCCTGTAGAACTTCACGTTCGAGTAGATGCCCAACAGTTGAGGGCCGTCGCAACGGGTCGCCCGTGCCAGCAGGCCGGCGAGCACGAAGCGATCATCGCTGCCGGAGAGAGGGCACATCAGGGGAATGGCGCCCATGTCGCTGCACACAAAGTCGTCCTTGTCGCCGCCGGTGCAGAGGAGCGTATCGTTGAGCGCAAAGCGACGGCCCAATATGGCCGGACGCAGCCTCACCGCGCACTGATCCCGCGGCAGAACGTAGAGGGGCCAACGCTTGGGCAGAGTCTCGTTCGCATTGAAGTCCGACCGCCGCCAGCCCGCCACGAAGCACTGGCTGAAGTTGTAGATGATGTGCGGAGGCGGCAGGCAGATCACCTGCACGTGCGGAGTTAGCGAGAAGGATGCCTCCGGCGCCAGCAGGAGCAGCGCCATATTGTGGCCCGCCGGCGATTGCGTGTAGTTTGGATGCAGCAACAGTTCGGCCACACTCCGCTCCTGATGCGGCAACGGCTCCAGCTGAACCGCAGCATCCCATTCGCCGGCAACCAGGCGGAGATCAGCTGCCGTCTCGCCCTGGACACAGTGAGCGGCACTTAAGACCGCGAGGGGTGTAATGAGAACACCGCTGCACAGATATCCGTCTGCTCCGTAGATGGCGACTAGCCAGGGAAATTCGCCAAAGTTGGCCTCCTGCTTTTTGTAGCCCATCGGGTTCAAGTGGAACCAGAGATCTAGGCGTCCGCCGCATTGCTTCAGATGTCCCAGATAATCGTTGTAGTCAATCTCGCTGGATGCTGAAAGCTGTAAATAAAACGTTTATATCGATTGGCCAAATTGGCCTACGGCTGGGGATCTTTACCGTTTCGTTCACGTTGCAGCACTTTTCCATATAGTGACAGTGCTGCTCGTCGAGGAGCGTGCGACTCCGGTCGGGATAGAAGTGGCCGTCCACAAAGATGCCCTCGTTGCACAGATCGTAGGAGACACAGTTCTTGTCTGGTGCACAAGATTTGTAGCCGGCGGATGTTTCCGCACTGCCGCCGATCGCAGCCGGAAAGACCAATGTCAAGAGCATGCGAATTAAAAGATCCATATTGTTGACCTATTCCTGGGCACTCGGCGTGATCTAGAACTGCGCTGTGAATTGCCCTCGGGCTTTTATAGCCTCCACCCAGACTCACAATAGGTCAGGCCCAGTTTTGATTGCGTTAAATATAGCTTAAAGTTCTAAAAATAGTCCACTGTCCAGCAATCATAGCAAACGTCTGGCAAATCAAAACAAAACCTTCTCCAACTAAAAACGGAAAGTTCTTAAGCATTATCAAGCAATTGGTCATTGGACCATATATAAATAATTCCCAATAAAAAGTTTAGAGTTATTTTAAATTAAAGTACTATAAGTATTATAAGACCTTCAGTCCTGGCTAAAGACCCTACATAAATAATTCCCAATAAAAAGTTTGGTGTTATTTTAAATGAAATACTTCAATTTATAATTTATATGTTATATTCGACTGTTTTTATGGCCGGTCCACGGAAATAATATTCGAAATCCAGTATTATAAGACCTTCAGCTGAAGTGCAAAGCCAACAAAAATGATCTGCGGGTTTATTCAAGATTCAAACCAAATCCCTGTCTTTAGAAGTAAAACTTTATATTGCTAAAACGGATCACATTATATTCTAAAACCAGTATTATAAGACATTCAGATGCAAGGCTAACAAATGTGATCTGTGGGTTTTTTCAAGATTCAAACCAAATCCCTGTCCTTATAAGTAAAACTGATTTTCACGCTCCTTGAAGCCAGCCTTTGGATCGAACCTTGCTTTAAAACATATTTTCAAAATATTATTAAAACTATTGAATTTTGATACGCACTAAATTAAATCTCTATTCAAAATTCGCACATACTTAATATGGATAGATAAATGCATTGATGCTTTGTTGCTGTGTCTTTATCAAAAGATTCTCATTTTTAAACATACCATTTTTAAAGGAAATTTCTATATTTACCTTGGTGGTTTTAATGATCAACGAGATGAGTCAAAATAGTGGTATTTTTTACCATATCTTAACCAAGTTTCGTAGGAGCTAAAAAAAATGGTGTTTATATAATATAAGAGCTTTTCAATGTTCCATACCTGTTGTTTATATTTGAAGTAAGAATTTATAACTCTATCATTTGAACAAAATAGAAGTGATCCTTCAAAAAGAGTATTCAAAATCCCGCACATCGACAGCAACTGCTTTGTCTTGTTTTTGTTTACTTTTGCAACGACATCAACACGTATCCGTATCTATTACGGAGCATTAGTTGGAGAAGGCGGTGCAAGTTGTGCGTCATATCTTAATGCACAATCGTCGCTTAAGTGCACGTAAATTGAATAAAATTTCGACAAGTTTTAATACACAAGATGTGCATAGAGCATCGCAGACAGTTGGGCAACAGCCACACATACACACATACATACATAGATAGTGTAGACAGATGACAGTTGGGGCCTCCGGGTGCATGACACGAATACGGCTGCGAATAGGTTGGTGAATGCGAATAGGTTGGTGAATGCGAATGCGAATGCGAATGCTTCCATACAGTTCGATAGACACACAACTCGAGTCTTTGCTTATTTGTTGCACTCTGAGTGCCGGCTGCTTGTTTTCACTGAGATTTACGCAACTTAAACAGATTGTCAACGGGAATTGTTGCCAAAGACAGGCGACAAGCATCGCTTGCAAGAAATGTATATTCGTCCTGGTCTTCATCGTAGTCGTGCCATCATCCTATTTAATATTATGTTCTGTTAAATCGTGTTAAATCGTGTTCAAACACTTTCGAACAGATGTTATCCGCAAGGAAATTAAATCAAACCCAAAATGCCCAACTAAATTGTGATTTATGTCGTATGTACATCATATCCAAATGTATATTTTGATTATTTGCGGTGTACATATTTCCAATTAATATGAAAATTTATTATGTGCCACTGTTTAAATCGAATCGGAAGTTTATTTTCCATGATACAGGCCATATATTTTGTAAATTGTAAAAATACAAAAAAAAAACACATTTCCATTTTATATGCAAATGCTGCGAAAAACAATGAAAAACATTTCAAATGCACACAAAAAAATTATAATTTGTTTTTTTTTGCTTGTAAAAACTTAGCTAGACGGGCTAAGTAAATATATTGACAATTAAAAACAATTTGGAAATAGAAAATATGTTCTACAGATAATAAGAAGTAAATATACATTTACTATTGTCTAAAAGTAGAGTTAAAACTGTCTTGAAGATAAACCGAGTAATATTCTTTTTAACTCATCTCAACTAACAGAATTTCGAGCTTGTTTTTTTGGGATATTTGTTGAGCGCCGCATTGAGTTAACCCGAAAAACTCTCTTTATTTAAAATTACTCAACTGCATTGCCAGTTCGCGCTCTCTGTTGTCTCGCTGTTGAGCAAAAAAAAGAAGTCCTTCTTTGTACTCAAAGAGCGCATTTCGTCGCTCAACAGCACTTTGAGTGGAGTGCAATGCAATCTTTTGAGTATTTAACTCTCTTCGATGCAGTCGGCAAAGAGAAATGAGTGCAGCTGCCGTCGCATTATGCAAATTTGATGCAATTCCAAATAACAGTTAATTTAATAAAAATGTTGACAAATTATAAGTTGGGGATTAACTAATTACGGGACTGACTGGGAGAAACCCTTTACCCTGTTTCAGCCCCAGACTTGATACGGGTATTTTTTTAATGTTAGAAGAGCTCTCCATGCCATATTATGTCAGCAAATATTCTGGATATATGTATTCGGGGAGTTTTCTTGATGCACACCCGATATGAAGATTATCCTATTATTTATTTATTTATGATCGACAAAATACATAAGAATATTAAAATTAAATGCTAAAAGCCTAATTAGAACACAAATATTTCTAATAGCATCGCCGACACGATGAAGGTATATTTTATTATTAAAAACAAAACGAGAAAGAAGTGCTATCTTCGGCACACCGAAGATTTAATACCCTTGCAGACCCAACCTTTTCAAAATGCTCATAGTGCTTTGCCCGTATCTAAGAAGCACAGGGAAAATAGTTAATGCCGAGTATGGTTAAGATATCTTGAAAAACAAAACAGGTTTCCATACAACAACTTAATTTTCGACCGATCGTTCCTATGGCAGCTATATGATATAGTTGCCCGATGTGAATAAGATTTTGCATAAGTGGAGGGAGCATAGTAAAACTAATAAATGCCGAGTTTGGTCAAGATATCTTGAAAAACAAAAAAATTCCATACAACAGCATAATTTTCGACTGATCGTTCCTATGGCAGCTATATGATATAGTTGTCCGATCTTAATAGAATTTTGCATATATATGGGGACCGTAGTAAAACTAATAAATACCGAGTTTGGTTAAGATATCTTGAAACACATAAAAATTTTCTATACAAAAACTTAATTTTCGACCGATCTTTCCTATGGCAGCTATATGATATAGTGGTCCGATCTTAATAGGATTTTGCATATATATGGGGAGCCTAGTAAAACTAATAAATACCGAGTTTGGTCAAGATATCTTGAAAAACATAAAAATGTTCCATACAAAAACTTAATTTTCGACCGATCGTTCCTATGGCAGCTATATGATATAGTTGCCCGATCTTAATAGGATTTTGCATATATATGGGGAGCGTAGTAAAACTAATAAATACAAAGTTTAGTCAAGATAACTTTATAAACAAAAATGTTTTTCATACAAGAACCTACTTTTCGACCGATCGTTCCTATGGCAGCTATATGATATAGTGGTCCGATCCAGCTGGTTTTGACATATGAGCTGCGTGCAACAGAAAGAGGGAATTCTGCAAAGTTTCATAAAGATAGCTTTAAAACTGAGAGACTAGTTCGCATAGAAACAGACAGACGGACAGACGGACAGACGGACAGACGGACATGGCTATATCAACTCGGCTGTTGATACTGATCAAGAATATATATACTTTATGGGGTCGGAGATGTCTCCTTCTATGCGTTACACATTTCACGACAAAATTATAATACCCTCTGCAAGGGTATAAAAAACGTGATTATTATTAAGCAGATAGGATAAAAAGATAGTGTTGGGAAATCACCGAACCGGTGGGGGGAAATATTTTATTGGCCCGTTACTTTTCACAGTCAATTTCGTCAGTGACATTGTTAGAGCCTGCAGCTAAGAAGGAAGATGTTGGTAGGGAAAATAGTATTCTTAAATGTAAAAATTACAAATAATATTAATTTACTATATTATTTTAGAATGTACAATAAATAGGAAAAAACAAAGAAAAAGGTGATTATTAGTAAGTAGATGGGATAAAGAGATAGTGTTGAAATTTATAGCCTATTATCTTTATTTGGCTTGTCATGCGTTTGTCGTGGCTTCAAGCGAGGTGACAAAAGAAAAAGACTGAATTCGCTGAGAGAAGATGCAGATAACATTTATGTTTTTGTATATATGTACATATATACATATATATAAGATTTTGATCTGACTGACTGACTGACTGACTGACTGACTGACAGAATGACTGACTGACTGACTGACTAAGTGACTGACTGACTGACTGACTAAGTGACTGACTAAGTGACTGACTAAGTGACTGACTAAGTGACTGACTGACGGACTGACTGACTGACTGACTGACTGACTGACTGACTGACGGACTGACTGACTGACTGACTGACTGACTGACTGACTGACTGACTGACTGACTGACTGACTGACTGACTGACTGACAAAGTGCCTGACTGACTGCCTAAGTGACTGACTGACTGACTGAATGACTGACTGACTGAGTGACTGACTGACTGACTGACTGACTGACTGACTGTCTGACTGACTGACTGACTGACTGACTAAGGCACAGCCCAAAGCGTAAGAGCTTCGAAGCTGCTACTTTTAGGAAAGCTTCCTCTTGGGTGGAAAACAAGCACTAAGACATTTTGACCTCTTACAAAATTCGACCTGCACATCAAAAGCAACTCACTGAACTTTGCAGACGAGACTTCACGAGCCTGTATGGCTAAGGTGTCAGCGTCGGGCTAAGAAGCGGAAGGTCCTGCGGCAATTATCAATTTGTACAATTTTTTATCTTTTGTTTTGTCAAAATGCATTTGGGGCAGGCCTGGAGTATTCGAGTATTCGGAGCATTCCGCCGGAGGCTTGCGGGTCGAGCACGCGGGAAAACAGAATACTAAAATTTTTAAATTGATACTAAAGAAATATAAATGTGTTTAATGAATTCAAACAGAAATGTTTTTCTTTGTTCAATTGAGACGAGACAATTTACATGAAGGAAATTTAATATGAGCAACAAGAGCAGCAAAATGAGTTCCTTAGCAACAGCAACAGATACATTTTTGGCGTTAAATGAAAAGAAGCGGGCTAAGATCTCAATAGAGCTCCTATGCTCCAGTCAGTTTAATTAGATAAACTACATAATATAGTAATGCCTGTTCATGGCTTGGCATCTAAATCTGGCAACATTATTCCTGGTTCAAATTCTTATACAAACAATCGGCCAAAAATAAAACTCCTTTAAAAGTATCTTTGAGCAACCTGTCTAAAAGGGAATTTCTTGTTCAACTTTCCGAAGATAGTTCCGTTCAATCTTATATTTGATCTCCAATATGATAATTCCTTGGGACAACTTTCACCATTAGCATCAAATTTAGGAGAGGAAAATTATCTGATATTCTTAAATTCACCTTCGACTGAAATGATTGCCAAAATACATTATATCCATTTTACTTTTATTCCATTTAAGATATGAATTCAAAATGTGTCGCATATTGAACATTTAAAAATAGTCTACAAGCAAAATATTATATGGAAACAAAATAAGCATGCTATAAATGTAAAAATATCTGATGCACATTTATTGTATTAACTATGAAAGTTGAATGCCTTATTTTCATCCACTGGACTGGGCTAACGAGAACAGAACCACTCGAAGTTCTCATAGGCAGCAAGGCTAGTGCGGCACTTCTGGGTCTGGCTCGCAGTCGCTCAATCCATTCCATTCTGCCATTCATTCAGCCATCCAGTCCAGCCCCAGCCAATTTACGCAACGTCACAGCGTATCGTTGAACAATCGCTTGGCCTTCTTGTAGTTGGGATTAATGGGTCCGGGCAGAACATGCGGCTTGAGTACGCTTTTGCCAGGCTGGCGATTCGCATCGTATGGCAGCTGTGGCGATAGCTTCAACTGTCTGTAGTAGTCACTTTTGGGATAGGCGCTGTTGCACTTCGTCATAATGCGCACCCGTTTGCTGCCGCTTTCTAATTGGGGCGATGCAAACTTATGCCGCTGTGCTGCACTTTTGGGCGTGTCCTGCGCGGCGAGTGGATTGATCAACAGCTTGTTGTTGGCCTGTTTCAGTTGCAATTTACGCGAGGGAACAAAGTAATCCTTTTCGCCAGCTTCTAATGGCTCATTCCAGCCGTTACTTGGCTTTGGAGTAGATTCAGCTGGCTCAGTTTCTGCTAACGTTGTAGACTCCTGTTCGGGTCGAGCGGCTTTTGTCTGCTCCTTCACCAGCTGCTTGGGCTGTGCCTTGAGCTGCTGATCGGTCTGGTCCTTGGACTGTTCCTTAGTCTGTTGCTTGGGCTGCTCCTTGGGCTGTTGTTTGGACTTTTGCTTGGGCTCTCCAGCTTTCTCTTTAGATTGCTGTTTTACCTTGTCTGCGCCCTGCTTACTTGTCTTGGGCTTGGGAGTTGACTCCTCGTCATTTGCGTCTGCGTCCTCGACTACCCAGGCATTGTTAATGCTTGAACGCACCTTCTCATTGCGCTGAACTTGCTTCTGGAGTTTTGGCGACAGTGCCTTGCTTATGACCTGGTCGAAGTTCTCCTCATCGACCTCTTCAAAGTTAATGGAGTTAAGAAGGCGCTTCCGCTTGGACTTGCTGAGTTTTTTGAGCTTTCGCCCGGTGCCAAAATTTGATTCCTCAAACTCATCCGCCTCAGCGATCTTCTGCTCCACGAGCTCAGACAGTGTGGTGCCTTCAGGCTTGGGCATATTACGCACACCCAATGGAAATTCACCGCCCGCATACGTCTCAAAGATGTTCAACAGCTTGCGCAGTCCCTTGCGCCGCTTGCCGTTGTATTCCTCGGTGCGGAGCAATGTCTGTAACTCGTCCAACACACAATCAGCATTGAGCGGTAGTTCGGGCATAAGCACATCCACATTTCCCGCACGTGGATCAAGGGATGTGACCTCTGGCTGTTGCTCTTCTCCTTCCTCCTCTTCTTCTTCATCGAAGCCGGAGTCCATCTTCTCGACATCGTCTATAGAGGCGCTGGGAAAACCCATTTCCTTCCATGCCTTGTACTTCTCGCTGTATTCGCGACCCAATTCACTTTGATAGAGCAAATGGTAGAGCACCCGCGTGCGGCACTGAGCCACCAGTTTGGCGTCCCGCTGTGTACCCACATAGTGTACAAAGGGGCGCAGGAAAAGATTTACCTGTTCGGCGGTGATTTCTTCATTGGCAGCCTTTGCCAGCTCTTCGAAGAACACGTCCATGTAGTGCATGGTGAGCCCACGGGATTTTGGCTGCTCTGCTAGCACCGATTGCTGCATGCTGACATTAAATGCCTGTATCAAATCCGGCGACCATTTGTTACTCTTTAGCAAACGCAGCATGTAACGTAGCATGCGACGCACAAGCATCAGAAATTTATCCATGCGCCATTGATCGATTCCGAACCACTCCTGGCACATGGTGCGCATGAAGGCGCTAAAGTAGGCCAGGCTGCAAGCAGTATTGCCGCCAAAGCTGTCTACCATTTGGGCCAGCTGTTCGGCCAGCTCCTCTTGGACCAGCGGCTTGTCCGACATCCATACGTTGTAGTATAGCCCTTTCCAAATGCGCATGAAATCATCCTCTGTGAAGGGAAAGGAGCTGACCGCCCGCAACTGAAACCACTTTCGTAACTTCCGGATCTGACGATTTCGCTTTGTTAAGTCATTGCATGCGAGTGCACGCACTATTTTCACCTCCTGTGCAATCACCAGCAGCTCTTTCGGCACTTTTGGCTGTGAAGCGCCGCCATCTTCGCTTTCATTGCCTTTGTCTATGGCAGCGACCTGGGCACTGCGCTTTATAGGCCTTTTTCTCGTGACCATAATTGATTATAATAAAAGAACAGCAACTTTTTCCAAATTGCTCTGGTATGTATTGAAAGCGGTTGCTACGAGAGAGGAGGGCGCACGTGTTGTGCGGCCTGGTATAAATCGATTAATATTTGATGCTACGCTCGCCACGTTTTCCAACACTTGTCGAGTTGCATGTGGTCAATATTGTTAACGCTAGCAGATTGCGCCCTGCCTGCTATTAGTATTTCGATTGAAATTTGTGACGTCAAGGGGAATAATATTCCCATTGAGAAATGAAATGTGAGTTTTATTTTACCGCTGCGAATTACATAGCTTTCAACTTTTTAAATGCAACACTATTTTCTGATCCTTTTAATTTATTCTTTAATTTAATATGAATCAGTAAAAGTTGCTTGCGCAGGTCGTTACTATATCACATTTTCAGGTGGAACCTTCTAGTTTCGATATTTTTGTTGTATTCATAATCAAATATATCATAAAAATAATTCGATTAAATTTGTAAAATAGTTTTAATAAAAAGATTAAAAGAAAACTCGACGATTCGTTGTTTATTCACATAAATTATATTGTAAAGATTGGTACCGGCTTTTAATACTAAATTTAAATAACGTTGCTGGGCATCACTTTTTGTCAGCTGTCATTCTAAATAGCAACTTCCACCAAATTGGCTTTAAAATTACTAAACTTTTATCTTTGAAATGCCTGTAATAACTGTAGAAAACTCCGAAGAATATCAGAAATATATTAGCGCCGATAAAACGACCGTTGCGCTATTTGGTGCCGACTGGGCCGAGCAATGTGCTCAGGTAAACGACGTGCTCAGCGAGCTGGACAGAATTGTAGGCGATAAGTTGCAATTCATTACGCTGAATGCGGAAAAATTCCCTGAGATATCAATGAAACACCAGGTAGGATTTTGTACACTGTCAATGTCAGACTAAATCGACAGACTAAAATTTCTTGCCAGATCGAGGCTGTGCCGACAGTTATATTCTTCACCAAGGGTTCCGCTGTGGACCGCGTAGATGGTGTGGATGTTGCAGCAATAAGCAGCAAGTCCAAAAAGTTAGCCGAAAATGCGAGCAGCTCTGCGTCGACAGGACAAACCCTGGAAGACCGTTTAACTGCGCTTATCAATAAGGCGCCGCTTATGATATTCATGAAGGGTGATCGGAACGCTCCGCGCTGTGGCTTCTCGAAGCAGCTTATTGCTATTGTTAACGAGACAAAGTATGTACATTTTACAGAATTATGTTCAGAATTTTTATTCGACTAAATTTTTAGTTTGCCGTATGAGACTTTTGACATACTTTCGGATGAAGAAGTTCGCCAGGGCTTGAAAACCTTCTCAGACTGGCCCACATATCCACAGGTTTATGTAAAGGGCGAACTTATCGGTGGATTGGACATCATCAAGGAACTCTTAGCCAACAACGAGCTGGAAGCGTCGCTCAAGGGCTAAGATAAATGAAATAAGGAACAAATATCGCTTCTCACAAACTAACAATGTCCAACTTTTATAAGCAAAAATAAACGAAAACATTAAATTTTTGAGCAGACAATTATTGCAATACTTTTAACAGCAAATCATTTAAATAATCTAGAACTAAAATGATTTGAAAAATGATTATCTATTCGTTTACTTATATTGTCAAGTGTATTCCAAATGTCTGTATGTGTGTTTGCTGTTGAAACATTTACGGTATGCAACACTGCTACAATGTTGCTTGGCATCACTGTCAAATGACTATCAGCTGGTACAAGCGACTTGCAATTAGTTCTAGGAGATAAAAATTGTTTAAATTTGAGATAAATTAAATATGGCTGAAGCCAATGCTGCTGCAACCACTAACGGTGAGGAAAAGAAGCTGTCTGACATATTTTTATGTGGCTGGAACCTGCTTGACGAGCTTGAGGTCACCGAGTTACCTTTCAATGGCAATGAATTTCAAGTGAGTTTAGACAAACGCAGCTAACTATACATCTGTAATAAGCAAAATATTATTTAGAATAAAGTGAAAACAGCAATGGAGTATTTTGAGCAAGCCACTGTTATTGTCAATCAAGTGAGCATGTTCAGTCCCAATGAGCTGATTGACGAGGTGTCCACGGATTCGCTGCCCTTTATGCTGTTGCCATACTTCCTGGGGAAGCTCTCCACGAAGATTAACAATCTACATAGCACAGAAGCCCTAGAGTTAGGTGAAGTCTATTTTAAAGATCATCTTCAACGCTGCCAGGAGTACGAACTCTGCGAAGCGCCCAGGAGCAAAACGGAGCAGGACAACAAAACGGATGCAGCACAGCAAAGAAGCGAACAACGCGAATTAATAGAAGCGGCATACAATCGGAATGACAAAATCGCACAGTACCGCAAGATGAAGGACATTGACGAGTATATGTCCCGCATGCGTTATGCCGTTAAGAACAAGACCGCCGATGAAGAAGTGCGACGTGAATTCTTTTTGAAGTTTTTGGAAAAGAGCATCATGGATGCCAAGCAGGAGTTGGAAAGTCTGCGCATGATGAAAGAAATGGTTAAAATGCGTCTCGGACGCATGAAGGCTGGAGAGCAGAAACAGTTGGAAAACTTTACTGCAGAGCAGCAGCCAAGAGCTCAAGACGGGCACGGGCACGGTCACGGACACAGCCATAGCCATGGTCATCATCACATAGAAACAAAGCCAAAAGCGCTACAACCATTTATTATAACACGCAATGCCACACAGAAGGCAGTTTTCGGCTTAGGCTATCCTAGTTTGCCCATAATGACCGTCGACGAGTTTTATCAGCAACGCGTAGACGAAGGTATCTTTCCCGACGACCAAAAAATGGCTAAGATAAATCAAGAAAAGGCGATTGCAGCCGCACTAGACCCCAATGAGCAGGAAGACGAAGAAAATGCAGTTGTGGAACTCCAAGTGGAGAATGATGACCCAGAGTATTTGGCGCGCATGCGACGCATGGACGAATACAAGGATGTGGTCCGTCGTGGTGATGGAAATCGTCATAATCGTAGTTAAACTACATACTCAACTAAAAATTAATCATTCATTAAAGTATTTTGTATTTTTTAAAAACAATCAATGTTTGATTCTTAATCCAAGTCAAAATTGAATGCAATTCGCCGTTTCAACTGCAAAGGCAAATGCACAAATGAAAAAATCAATAACAATTAAAGGCAGTAATAAAAAAAAATTAATGGGAGTGTTTATAATAATAACTAAGATTTTGAATATAATTTAATTTAAATAATTTTTAAGATCTTAAGAGTGGAAAATTGATGCCAATATAATCTTATTTTACTTCCCGCAGTATTGCAATTTAAAAATAACGTATTTTTCAACATATTCCTGCTATGGGATTCTGATGAATCCAAGTAGAACTTAAATATTTGAAAGCTTAGGTGACAAGTGTCACATATATGTATGTATCAAATTGTGTTGGGAATATTAGAATCTACATATATGTATGTGTACTAATGCATTTACATATATTTATGTATATATACAAAGTAATGAATGTATCTGCGATATACTTACACACATATGTATGTATGCATTTGTGTATGCACTCTTACTCCAAACGCAGACCAAGCTTACTTTCAAACTGAAATAATTAATAATAAAGTAATCTGTTAACAGGTTGTGTTAGCTGCCTCAACAATAAAGTAATTGTGTGTTAGTTATTCAGGTATGTATATTTATATATAAATACGAATACTTGTTAGTTTTGGTTTTGGTATTTGTCCTATTGGTAATATTAAAAAAAAAAAGTTCAGTATTTTTATGCGTGCATACGGTCACACTGTGTTTTAACACCAACTAACAACAACAAAAAGGCAAGGTACTCAAAAAATTTACGTTTTGTTAAGAGCACACCATCTGACACAAATTGAAAATTTGAATTATAAACTTATCAAACAAAGCGCTCGCAACGCAACGCACAACTAAGCAACGGGTATACGTTCAAATTTTAGAGCTGTAATTGCAATTGGAAACATCGATACCATAGCAAGCACACGGGTAATAAAAACAACAAGCACAAGCATGTCTGTCAGTGATTTCATTAAAGGTTTACCTATACACGATTCCAATAATTTTACACACCTGAGCAACGATCATGGGATCCGAACGTCGCAAAAGCGCGCCTCTGTCTATTTACCAACAGAGGATGTGCCAGAACAAGCTCAACTGATAGTGATGGATAAGAGGTGTGTCCTACTGAGATACCTCACACAACAGTGGGACAAAAAGACCCTACAACGGAAGCGAGAGCACGGCAACGATGGGAACAGTAACAATACCAACAGCACCCCAAATGGCAACAACAGCAAAAAGCGCCCACGCTTAGATGCCAATGAGCTCAACTGAAGCAGCTACACACTCAAACATGCATAATTCAAATTTAAACTCTGTTAAGAGCAACCACTACCATAAAAACTTAAGATATATCCCATTTATGTTTAAAATAAATACTCTAGAAAGTAAATAACTAGAACCGTATATTATATTGGTTAGCGAACTGTTCGATCAGATAATGAATCAGCTCATAGGCATATACATTTTCTAATGGGTCATAGATTCTAGTCGTGTCAAATAATAGATAGATGTCTCTTAACAGCCAATATATGATTGTGTTTGCCCAATGGTTTTTACTTCAGAAACAAATATTGGATTTGACTACATTATTTTAAAGCTAGTTTAATGGTGTCCCAAATCCTTGGGATCTGGTTTGCCATATTGTTTCTCCCACCAGACCACAAATTCTTTCTTGCGTTGTTCACGCTTGGCAAAATACTCTGGATACTGCGCCTTCTCCAGCGGATGCCAGTAGTCCAGCAGCCAATCTGGTGGGATGACCTCACGCTCAAACGCACAACCGCCAGCACTATTAGCAACTGCAAATAAATATAAATCTTTGATTTTACAAGTTTTTAATAGAGGGCATTTTAATTAACTTACAGTTTCTTGGCTGGTAATGTTTTGTCTCGAAGAGCTCCTTTTGGCCACAGGCTAGAAGGCGCATGCCCTCTGCCAGATCCTTCTTCCGATTATCATCAAAGCGTGCACGCAGCTGCACTGCCCGATAACGGAACACTTCACTAGTACCATGGATTTGGAATGAAGATACACAGTTTATTATATAATCAAGCGGTTTGCTATTAAGGCACAGGGTACACTTACCGACGATCATACCACGCCTCCAGATTGCGCACAGCTCGCTTATACAAGCTGCACACCTGGCGTTTGTGTGACACAATAGCCAAGGGAACTTGGGCCATGTTTAGTTGCTCAGCTTGCGCAAAATCTGGATTATGCTTATTGAAAACAACAACAATATCTGATGAGAACTGTCAAATGACGTGTGCTGCACAACGACGAGTTTGAAATGTTTTCCAACACTGTATTACAGTGATGCCAGACTGTGTGACTATTTTAAGTTTTATTGATTTGAATAAATTATATATCAACAAATACCAATAAATTAAAAACTAACAAATGAACATTAGGAATATAATAAACTTCAGCTTAACTCATAACATTCAATATACACTGAACAATATGCTCAGGTATATTCAGTGGATGTTCACAAAGATCCCCCGTTTGTTGGTCATACATGTAAATTTCATTAATGACGCGATCCTCCTGCTCTGCATCCAACGAGGACACCAACACCATTGAGCCCTCCGACAGCTCGGTCAGTATTTGTTCAATATCGTGCTCGCTTACACTCTCCATATTGGGACTTCTTAACGGAGGTGTATCCGAAATAAAATCAACTATATATGTTGTGCCCGTCTCTGGTGTATAAACCGTCTCGCTGTCTGTGACCGTGTCCACGTCGCTCACATAGTTAAGCGCACCATCATCCAGATCACGCAACACGGACTTGTCGTTGATCTCATGCTGTCCCTCGTCCAACAAAGAGTTAAGCTCCTTCTGCAGCTGCTCAGCCTTGGTCTCAATCAAAGGATCGCTGCTTATTTGTTCCGTTTCCGTTTCCTTTTCTTTTTTAATAGCAGGAGGAAACACCCGTAAAATGTGCACAGGAACTGGTTGTTGCGTCTCCAACGGCTCTTTTTGTTCCTGCACTTTTTGCCGCAACTTTTGCTGCAATTTTTGCTTTACATTTCGCAGCTGTGCCTGATCCTGTTCCAGTTGCTGTTTTAGAGGCCGACGCTTGCGCTTTGGTGCTTCTGCTCCAGCTTGGTTATCTAACGCAGCACGGCGCTTGGCCAGCGCATGTTTGCCCAGCTTTTGCTTTGTCACGTGCTCGTTCTCGTACACCAGATCGCCATCGCTGAGGGTGCGTGCCGCTTTGCTGTGTTGCGACTTCGAGCGCTGCAATAAAAATGATTTCAGTTTCAGAAATACGCTAAGAAATTAGGCTTGAATCATTCGCAAACCTTTTTGGTATTTTCCGCTTGAGCTGTAACGATTTCCTGCCACTCGCGATCTGCCTCCGCCCGCTCGCGATCCTCCTGCTCAAGTTGATCTTTGAGCTCCTGAATATTGAATGCCTTTGGGTAGAGCAGGGCCTTGTTAATGAGGTGCCCATTGATGCGCTCCTCGCGTTTGTATTTGAGCTTAAGATCGCGTCGAGTGCGCTTGGGAAACATTTGGCACATCAGCGAGAAATCAGTGCCAATGATTTGCAGACTTCGATAGAAGCGCACTGTATCATCCGATGTCCAGGTTGGCGTACGCTTATGTCGCTTGTAAAATCCATTGTCGCCGGTTGTTTCATCCATGAGAATCAGCGACGAGTTTGCTAAAACCTTGCGCGCTTCCACCTCGGCGGTGGTCTCAATCTCCAGAGTTTTCTCGTCTATTATCATCTCCCCGTTTGCATCAAGTTTTAGTTGTGGAACCGGCATTGCTGCAGTTGCTGATGCTGGTTCGGTTTTGGTCTCCAGCAGCTCGGCCGAGGTGGGCTTTGACTCATCTGAGTTAACGCTGGCGCTGGCGCTGCCACTTGCCTCCGCCTTGATGGTGGTAACCACGGGCTTTTGCTCCATTGGATTGCTCTCGGGATTGTAAAAGATCATGTCAAACATTTTGAATGTCGACTTATCGGGTATGCCCTTGTTAAAGCGCGTTTCGAAATCTCGCTTTGCATTAACGCGCTGCTGCGCCTGAGTCTGTGCCTTATCCCCCTCTCCCTTGCGCTGTTTGCCGCCGCCTCCACCACTGTCCGAGTAAACAGAACAGCTGGACTCGGTGCGTATGCGTCCCATGCCCGGACTCATAACACCACCTGGAAAGTATTTGGGCGATGCCTGTGCCTGCTGCGGTGTCCCAATCCCGCCACTCACTGATGAGCCGCTCAAGTAACGCTCACGTCTTGTGGGAGTGCCAGGTGATTGATAGTCACCATCTAAATCTGCAGCCAGGGGCGAGCCCACAAAGCTGTTGCGTCGCTGCCCAAACACAGGAGTGGGGCGCAGCCGCTGACGTGCCTGCGCCTTGCTGGGCGACATGGGGAATCCACTAGCACTCTTCTGCAAATCCATTTGTATGACATTATCCTCCAGATCAGAATGAAACACATCATCCAACTGGCCTGCGCTACTGGCAGCGGGCATTTTAAAAGCAACTTCAGCTGCATCCTCTTCTAGATGTTCCTGCTTGGTGGGAGCGGTTGGGAGTGGTTCGGGCTCAGCTCGTGGTTCAGGATCTCTATCACCTCTGCGCGTTTTGCGCTTGATTTGAGTTAGATTGGCAGTTGCCTTAATGCGTTGCCGTCGCGCGGACATGGCGTGACTTTTGAATTATGTATAACGCATTTACTTAGCAAAACAAATTATTTGCGAAATAGCTGTGACAATAACATTCACAAATGTGCAGGAGCACGAGTTTTGGAAGAACAGTGTTGCCCAACGTGAAAATAGTTTATAAGCAATATGCTGAGCAAGCAAGGTACGTGAGCATCAACAGAACTTTAAATGTCACATTTTGCAAAAGAAAAATTAGTCTATTGAGAAAAAAGATAGGTGTTTTATTTCTGCCAGTTATTTGATACAGATACTTATTTGGAGATTAATTTAAATGGTTGGCATTAACAACAATAATAAACCAAAATATATTCTTCATAGGTTTTACACTTTTCTCTAATGCTGTATATAGGAATTCTAGCAAATGATATTTAAAACTAAGATCTGTTTGTCACTGTCAGACCGTAAATAAGTAAAAAAAAAATTGTCACCATGAAAATTATATATTAACATACTGTTTGGTTTATTCGAGTTGAAAATAACAACAAAAACTGTTATTGGCTGGACAGCATACCCTGCTCAGAATTCGAGCTGCACAATTTTCGACTTTTCCAACACACATTCGAACAACGATACAAATTGCAGGTTGCACGTTTTGAACGTAAAATGTGGGCGCCTTGATAACAAAGCAACAACGACGTGAATCTATATTATATACAGAAAAATTGTCAACAATTAAAAGGGCACGAAAACAAAATTATACAAGTTGAAAGGCAAGGCAACAAATGTGACAGGAGGTGTGTGTCAAAATTTGTAGCGGAGGAACAGGCAACATTAATAACAGTACAGCCGCTGCCGCTGTCCGATTGTTATGCAAGCAGCGCTGCATTCACCCACCTGAGCAGTGCAGCCCAGCAGCAAAACAATCAATTAGCCGGTCGCCATGCTGCTAAACCGTTTCGTTTCAGCCATTAAAAATCAATCGAGGGAAACCCTGCGCGCATGGAGCTATCAATGCGAATCAATATTCGCGCAACGCTCGCGCCGCCTGCAGCAGCTGCTCAGTTTCTACCAGTCTGTCTATGGGACGCAAGGACTAAAGCAACTATGGCGCGCCTATTACCGCAGTGAGCTGCAGCCGCCGCTACGGGGCTTCATGCTAAGCGCCGTGGGCATCATGGGACTCAATATGAAAAGGCCAGGCAGCGAAGGTTTTGACTGGGCCAAAGAGCGGCTGTCGCTCTCCAACTTTGATTTGTGTCAGCGGGACATTGACTTCATAAATACGCTGCCTGTCAACCAGCTATGCGATCGCTGCCAGGCAAAAAAGATGAAGTACTGCTATTGCTTGTTGGGCAATCAGCGCTGCAAGAAGGGCGGCGTTGTAGTAGCGCCCCCCAAGACCGATCAGCTGGCGCTTAAGGAGGAGCAAGCGGCTAGCATCAGCAACTGTCACAAATCATTGGATCTGGATGGACGTGCGCCTCAGGGCCAAGTACGAATACAGGCACAGGAGGATCGCAACTGGGAGCCGTACTTTAGTAAGAATGAATTTAGTATTTGGCGGCGTGAGGAACATGGGTCGCTCTACTCATACAAGGTGTATGCACGGTTTGATGACATCACCGCCGATGATTTTCTGCATGTGCAAACGGACCTGGATTATCGCAGGCAATGGGACGATACGGCGCTCAGGCTAGAGCTTATTAGCGAGGATCCAGTGCCTGGCAGCAATTCGCATCTGATATACTGGGAAATGCAATGGCCGCGACTATTTGCCAATCGGGACTATGTATATTGTCGACGGTACCACAAGGATGAAAACAAAAAGTTGATATTTATCTGCAGTCGCGCTGCCAAGCATACTACATATCCAGCCATTTCGGGAAAGGTGCGAGTCACTGACTACTGGAGCCTGATGGTCATAAAGCCATTCCGCGGATTCCACGAGCCGGGACTGCACTTTGTGCTCACCTACTACGATGACCCGGGCATACCCATACCGCAGAACATCAAGTCGTGGGTAACGCAGAAGCAAATGCCCGAGTTCCTTACCAAAATGTATGTGGCGACCAAAAACTATGCCTGCTCACGTGCCATCAAGATGAAAGACATGTTCAACAGCTTTACAATAATCAACGATGAGTATACGGCCAATGATCAACGCGGCAGCTGGCTGGGAAGTCTCAGCCGTCACAGGCGTAAGCTCAACAGGGACAATGAGGCTGAGCGCTGAGAGCTGCAGTTCCTCCTGACAGTGTCCAGAGAGCAATTAAGAATTATGATAACTAGAAAAGAAGGTACAGCAAGAAACACCAACAGCAATACAGCCCCCTTATCATCTTATGTTGTAAATCATTTATAAGTACATACATATATAGAAGCAATGAACAATTAGGGATCATCCACTTTCTAGAACTAAACAAATTATTTCATCAACTGTGCAAATGTGCAATAAAATAGCATTCGCAACTTGGAGGCATTTAAAATGTTGAATCTTGTGTGCCACACTAAAGAACCCGATTATACATAGCTACATGTACAACACGTATAAAAATTTACTTATATATTTTATCAAAACTCTGGTTAGGTTTAGAACTTTGTTTTTTTAAACAACTTATCAGAAATTATACATACACACACATGTAAAAATAAATACGAGCATACAAATACACTCTTATACAACCAAAAAATTAAAAATCGAAGCAACAAAACTGGAAAAACTGAAGCTTACTAATTATTATTAGATACATTCGATATAAACATAGACAATTTCTAGCAAAAAAAACAAAAAAAAACTTTTGATAAGAATTTGCTTTATAAACAATTTATTAGGAATTTGCATTCGGCAGTCCGAAGCTCAGAATAATTAAAAAAAAAATCAGCTTTCATGTTCGTTAAAATCGGTTAGTAAGTGAAATCAATTTAAACCAACTTGAAAAGCAGTTAACATGTTAGCAAATAATTGCTAGGGATTAAAAAGCGGGCATTGTAAATACAAAATTAATACAGATTATGTTGGAGATTCCATCAATGATTGTTCAGACTCATCACAGTTCGCTGTGTTCCTTTGAGCTGGGCGGAGGATTGTTCATATAGGCTATGAAATCCTTGCTGGTACGTCCGCCGTTGTATTCGAGCTGCGTTTTGAGGTAGGAGAAGTATATTAAGGTGGGATACCCGCGCACATTGTACTTGGCGCAAAGGGCAGCATGTTTTGTGCAGTCGACGGCAACAAAGGCAACTCGAGGATCATCTTGCAGCGCATTTGCGGCGGCCGTAAATTCCGGTTTTGTGTGCTTACAGTGACCACACCCTAAAACAGAGGCTTAATAAATTTAATTTCGTATATGGAAAATACTTACATGGAGCATAAAACATAACAAGGGCATGCTTCTTGCGCTTCAGTGTCGAGCTAAAGGTTTCATCGTTGAGAAAATGGACCTCAGAGCTCTCATCCTCCTCCTCCCAGCTCTTCTCTGGCGGCGGCGGTGGTGGTGGCTCTTTCGGATCTCGCATAAATTCGACTATTTTGGAAGCTTCGCGCACATTCACATCGAATTTGTAAACACCATAGGAAAAGTATTTTACAGTTGGATAGCCCTTAACCTTGTATTTTTCGCCAATGGTCGGTTCTTTAGTGGCATCCAGTGCGGCGAGCATTCCTGGCACATTGTTATGCTTCATCTCAAGCGCTGCCTTTTCGTACTCCGGTTTCATGCGCTTGCAATGGCCACACCAGGGAGCATAGAACATGACCAGTACAGATTTTTCATCCTTTAGCGCTGGCTCAAAGCCCTGCGTAGTGAGATGAACAATTTCTGAGTTTGTGTCAGCCGACCAGTCGGGTTCCTTTGGCTTAGGCGTTGGCTTCTCATTGGGATTCAGCATAAATGATACCAAAGCGTCCTTGGTGTTCTCGCCCTCGTAGGTCATGCGCATTTTTCCATTCTCGAAGTAAATTAATGTAGGAAAACCTGCAAAAATTGTATTCAGGTTTTAAATATTGTTATTAAAATCAATGTATTCATAAATATTACCAGTTAAATTAAACAATTTGCGCACTGGAGCATTTTCTTGTCGCTCCACATTCATGGCGGCCAGCAGATATCCACCCTGTGCCTTGAGTTCGGTAGCTGCTTTGCTGTAATCCGGCTTCATGCGCTTGCAAAAGCCGCACCACGGCACATGAAACATGACCAGCATGGGCCGTATATCCTTGCGCAGATGTTTGGTAAATGCGGCGGCATCATTAAAGTGTAACACATCCGCACCGGCAGGGTCCTCTTCCCAGGGTAAATCACCTCCTGGATCGCGCATAAATGTTATCATGGAGCTTACGCTCAACTGACGATCGTAGTCCTTGTGGTAATCCCCATCCTTGTAGTGGCGCAGTGTATACGGTGTAGGCGTTACTTTAAGCTTCTTGCAGAGCTTCTTGCGCTCCTGATTGGAACAATCCATGTACAGCATAGTACCTGTGCCGCGTATCGCTTCTGCCGTCTCCCGAAACACCTTCAACTCGGCAGCAGCCTCCTTGGCACTGGATACATACAGGGCAAGCACGTTATTCTTCGTCCGCAGTAGTTTCTTAAAGTCTTTGTAGTCAGTTATGTCCTCCTGCACAGCGGAGATTTTCGATTTGGCGGCAACAAGTGCCAGCAACAGCAGCATAATCAGCATTATAAACTGACGGTGCCTCGACATTATGTTTGCACTTTAAACTTAATGAGAGTTACTAGCTAATTTAACAATACGTTTTAGATGTTTAACTAATGTAATAAATGCATAATCCCTCTTTTCTACAGATCAACAATTGCAACTTAAAATGCCGATGAAGACGTCAGCGTTTAGCCGCAGCGTTGCCACATCGCATTGAAGACTGTTTCTTTGAGCATACACCATGTTTATACGTCAATTTTCACAAGTCAGTGAAAATTAAAACTTACATTTAATTGAGTTATATTAGTAACTATTATATTATTATTATATATTTATATATTTTGGTCGGTTCGTTTATTTCTTGTACCAAACCTTGCACGTATTGTAAAATACGACGAATCGAACACCAAATGCACCGCTGTCAAATGTACGTGGCAGTTGGCAACACTATCCCATAAGTCTGACACATTAACAAGAGGCAGAAGAAGCAGCAAGTTTTTTACAATCTCGCCGCAGTGGATTTAGTTTTGATTAGCTGTAGTAGGATATAATAAAACGTTGAGCTCTGCCAATATAAAGATGCCCCTTAAATTGGACATCAAGCGTCGTCTGACGTCGCGCTCGGACCGTGTCAAGTGCGTGGATCTGCATCCGGCCGAGCCATGGATGTTGTGTGCCCTATACAATGGCCACGTACACATCATGAATTATGAGAACCAGCAACTGGTCAAAGATTTCGAGGTATGCGATGTGCCAGTGCGTTGCGCTCGGTTCGTGGCGCGCAAGAATTGGATTATTACCGGATCGGATGATATGCAAATACGCGTTTTCAACTACAACACACTGGAGAAGGTCCACTCCTTCGAGGCGCACTCGGATTACCTGCGCTGCATTGCCGTGCATCCCACACAGCCTCTGGTGCTGACCAGCAGTGGTATGTTTCACAGCCATAAAACAGAGTCTTGACTCATAATATAACTTTGAATTGCTCGAAAAGAAGATACGTGTATTTTAGAAAATCATAAACAAACAGTGGGATGACCTAATTTAGTTTAATTTAGTTCGAAGTTGTACAAAAGCAATATTATTTTTATTGAGATAAAGCAGGGCTCTATAATCTTCAATGAAATTTAAAAAGTATATAGGTTATATATATTAGTACATCGGATTTTGTATACTTTTGCAAAGGGGTTTATAGATGTTGAACAAAAGTATGACCACGTATTTTCTTCAAGCATATAATGATTTTATCATCTTGTAGATGACATGCTTATCAAATTGTGGAACTGGGAAAAATTGTGGGCCGGCCAGCGAACCTTTGAAGGCCACACGCACTATGTCATGCAGATTGTATTCAATCCCAAGGATAACAACACCTTTGCCTCCGCATCCCTGGACCGCACCGTTAAGGTGTGGCAGCTGGGTTCCAATTTCGCCAACTTTACGCTGGAGGGGCACGAGAAGGGCGTCAATTGCGTAGACTATTATCACGGCGGCGACAAACCGTATCTGATTTCTGGTGCCGACGATCGATTAGTGAAGATCTGGGATTATCAAAACAAGACCTGTGTACAAACACTCGAGGGACATGCACAAAACATTTCAGCAGTATGTTTCCATCCTGAGTTGCCCATTGTGCTGACTGGCTCGGAAGATGGTACCGTGCGCATTTGGCACTCGGGCACCTACCGCCTGGAGACCTGTCTTAACTATGGCTTTGAACGCGTCTGGACCATTGCCAGCATGCGTGGCACCAACAATGTAGCCCTGGGATACGACGAGGGATCCATCATTATCAAGGTGGGGCGCGAGGAACCGGCCATGTCTATGGACGTTGTGGGCGGCAAAATCATTTGGGCCAAACATTCCGAAATGCAACAGGTAAAGTAATTAGACTTTTCAAATGATTGAACACGCATTTGATATAAATTCTACCTGTAGGTCAATCTGAAAACCATTGCCGATGGCACCGAAATTAAGGATGGCGAGCGTCTGCCCGTTGCCGTAAAGGATATGGGTGCGTGCGAGATATATCCGCAGACCATAGCACACAATCCCAACGGCCGTTTTGTGGTGGTCTGTGGTGATGGCGAATACATAATCTACACGTCTATGGCGTTAAGAAACAAGGCCTTTGGATCAGCTCAAGAGTTCGTCTGGGCCTTGGAAAGCAATGAGTACGCTATTCGTGAGAATAATGGCACTGTGCGTCTATTTCGGAACTTCAAGGAGCGCAAAAGCTTCACACCCGAATACGGCGCAGAGAGCATTTATGGCGGCTACTACTTTGGCGTGAAGACCTCGTCGGGTTTGGCTTTTTACGATTGGGAGTCATTACAGTTAGTGCGACGCATTGAAGTGCAACCGCGTAATGTATTCTGGAATGAGAGCGGCAGTCTTGTTTGCCTGGCAACCGATGAATCCTACTTTATATTGGCCGTGGATGCGGCACAAATTACCAATGCGCTGGAGACAAAGGAGGGACTTGAGGATGATGGCGTAGAAAGCGCTTTTAATGTGCTCGGTATGCTTAAAATGAATGAAACAAATTTCTTATGATTTTTGTGGATTTCAGTTGATATTGAGAAATAGTTTTTCTGAAATTTGCCTAAAATGTCAAGCCTAATTCGTATTCCCCGTTTTAATCCGCAGGCGAAGTATCCGAGTCGGTCAAAACTGGTCTGTGGGTAGGCGATTGCTTCATTTACACGAATTCCGTGAATCGCATCAACTACTATGTGGGTGGAGAGATTGTGACCATCTCGCACTTGGACCGAACCATGTACTTGCTGGGCTATGTGCCCAAGGACAATCGTTTGTATTTGGGAGACAAAGAGCTGAATGTGATTAGCTTCTGCCTACACTTGTCTGTGCTGGAGTACCAGACGGCCGTGATGCGTCGAGATTTTGAGCGTGCTGATCTTGTGCTGCCAACCATACCGAAAGAACATCGCACGCGAGTCGCGCACTTCTTGGAGAAGCAGGGTTTCAAGGAGCAGGCTCTGCAGGTGTCCACCGATGCAGACCACAAATTTGATTTGGCTCTGCAAATTGGCGAGCTGGATATCGCTTTAAAATTGGCGCGCGAGGCGGAGAACTCACAGAAATGGGCCCAGCTGGCCGATGTTGCGGCGCGCAAGAACAACATGGCCTTGGTGAAGGAGTGCATGCAGAAGGCAAACGATTTTAGTGGATTACTACTGCTCTCGACTGCCTCAGGTGATGCACAGATGCTGGAGGAGGTAGGTGCAACCAGCTCCGCTCAAGGGCGCCATAATATTGCATTCCTGTCTGCCTTTCTTCGTTCCGATGTGGACCGTTGCCTAGAGATTCTCATCGAGACAAATCGTCTGCCCGAGGCAGCCTTCTTTGCGCGCACTTATTTGCCCAGCCAAATGTCGCGTGTAGTAGAACTATGGCGCGACGAGCTGGGCAAGGTCAACGAGAAGGCAGGTCAATCTCTGGCCGATCCAACGCAGTATACAAATCTCTTTCCTGGACTGGGCGATGCGTTGCGCGTGGAGCAACATCTGCAGGAGGAGCGAGCGCGCAAAGCGCCAGCCCGTCTGGCGGCACAGCTGCCATTGAATAGCGAACGAAATCCACTTGAGGAACTGCATGCTGCTGAGCATCAAAGCGGTGCCGGTCAGCTAGAGGAGAAGGAGAAGCCGGCGTTTGTTCCAATATCCTTGCCAACAACAACGACAAGCAGCACAAAGGATGCCGGCGCTGCAGCCGCGGTTGGTATTAGTGAGGATGATGACGATGATCTAGATCTGGAGATTGATGGCATTACGTTGGACGATAACATAGATACGACAGATGTAAATCTTGATGATGACTTTCTGAGCGATGATTAGATGCGATAGCTATCCAGAGCACACGCTGTATTCGATAATATGGATTAGAAATACTGTAAATTCTTTTGTTGATTCGGAATACCTGCTGCAAATGTCACAGAATCGAAAGCTACAAATTCCACATACACATACACAAATGCATGCATTCAGTTTTAATTTGATTGTATCCATGTTTCCCGTGCATTAATTATACAAATTAAAAAAAATTATATATATATATTATGTACAACAATTATGCAGCAACATCCAATCGCAATAATAAAATATATTTAAAAATGTGAAATTGCGCGCTTCTTCTTCTTATCGTTTGACATTCGGATTTTGGGCACAATCAGGGTTGCCACAGGGCGAGCTGTCAGTTTAAATAAATACGGCAACACAGCAGCATCACAAATACATATATACGCAGATATCGTGTGTGCGTCTGGATTTTGCTGTATTTTTTATTTAAGAATGAATTATTAATAAACAATTAATAAATTATTATTAAATAAAAAACAGTACAAAACCGCCAATCAACCGTAAGTAATTACCACCCATAATAGCTGTCCGCTGCCGACAGTTGCGGCCACTTGCAAGAGAACTTATTGATTTTTTTCTAAGCAACGTTGCATTCATTTTCAGATACACAGAGTCTATAATTAATTACGTTGAATATGGAACCGAAAAGCTATCATGCCCATGAGCAGCAGCAGCAGCAGCAGCAACAGTATTTGCACGAGCAGCAAATGCACTTGCAACACCTCCAGCAGCAGCAGCAGCAACAACAACAGCAGCAGCAGCAGGCCATGCAGGCAGGATTTGCACCGCGTCGCCAGTATGACAACATGGGAAATTCGCCTGCTGCCATTGCGGCTGCCTGTTTGGCGAATGGGGCTGCTGGCGGTGGCAGCTCCTCGATGGTTAAGACGCCATTGCTGCAGCGGCCGAAAATAAAGAAGGAGAAACAGCTGCAGGCGCTGCATCAGCAACAACAACATCTGTCGGAGCTGAGCGGTACCAGCAGCACCGGCATGCTACCACCTGAGGAGACGCTCAAGTTTGTCAACGAAACGGATGCCAATGGGCTAACAATGAAGACACCCGTCAGCATATTACAGGAATTGCTGAGCCGGCGCGGCATCACGCCGGGCTACGAGTTGGTACAGATTGAGGGGGCTATACATGAACCGACGTTTCGGTTTCGGGTCTCGTTCAAGGACAAGGATACGCCCTTCACAGCTATGGGCGCTGGTCGCTCCAAGAAAGAGGCCAAGCACGCGGCTGCTCGCGCTCTAATCGATAAGCTAATTGGAGTACAGCTGGAGTCGCAAGGCAATTCAGCAGCAGCAGCGGTGGCAGTTGGCTGCTCAATGGCAGGCAGTGGTGGCGATGGGAACGCCAATGTCACTGGCAGTGGCGAGTAATTATTGCTATCGAATTTGATATTTTAATGTCTTTAAATTTCGTAATTTTTGTATGCTATATTCTTTGACAGTGGAGGCGATAAGATTGTGGGTAATCCCATTGGCTGGCTGCAGGAAATGTGCATGCAACGTCGCTGGCCGCCGCCATCGTACGAAACGGAGACAGAGGTGGGCCTTCCGCACGAACGCCTATTCACCATTGCGTGCACCATATTGAACTATCGTGAGGTGGGCAAGGGAAAGAGCAAGAAGATTGCCAAGCGTTTGGCAGCCCATAAGATGTGGACACGCCTGCAGGAGACGCCCATTGATGCTGCCAAGATCAATGACAGCATCTGCAGCGAACTGGAGGGCGATGTGAGTAAATTATCGCTTGTAGATGCCGTGCAGCAGCCGGTAATGTCGAATAACCTTACTCCAAGACGGTTTTACGAGCGCATCTCCCCAGTTATAAATATAATTGACATTTAGAGCTAACCAATTTTTCACGTTTTCTATTTATAACTATCGACAAACCATCTTTAGTTTTCGAAGCTTTTGTTATTGTTGTGATGTGTTTCTCCTTGTTTAACAACGAACAGACTCTTAGACAAATGCAATATAGAAATTAGATTAAACCATAACATAAATAACACGCAGTGCTTTCATTTGTTAATACTTTATGATTTTAAGCCTAATTCGTTAACTACCAATCACATAAATGGGTCAATTGCCATCCAAAAGACCTAAGAATAAAAATAATATTTAGATATGGATATTTTTACATTCAAATTTAAGTGTGATTCTATTTTCTTTACGTTTATAATTTATCTACTATATAATTTAAACTACGCCAAAGTTGTCCAAAGATGACTATTTATTCAATCTAGATGATGACTGAACTGACACGTTCGCAAATTTATTGCTTACACTTTTCTACCTATTTTTCTGTAAAATTAATGTTAGTACTTACAAAAAGTTCGTTAGTTGTTTAAAATATTATTTTTATATATTTACTTTTTAATTAAATATATTAAACTAACTGCTAATCAAGCAAATTAGATAATTGTATGCTAACCCAGTTATGCCTCATATTTAGCATACTTTATATACTCTATATCATATTAAGCAGTTTTGTCCTGAATTTTTGAACATACATATTTTTGGTTTTTGTTTTGAATGTTTGTGATATGTTTCAACTCACCATTGGCGAGAATTTGTGCGTATTAAAGGAAAACGTTACGCTCTTATTTACAGCCCCGCATTAACGATAATTATTATGGTGATTTGAAAGATATCACTGTGCCAACACTGACCACGCAACACAGTAATAAAGTGTCCCAGTTCCATAAGGCATTGAAAAATGCGACGGGAAAAAAACTGCTTAAATTACAGGTAAATTAAGTTGCTGAAAGAGATGCACCTGTTGCCGCGCTTAGTACATTTCATAAATCAATTGCAAACACATTTCTAATGACCCTTAAATGCATATTTATTCTTTTTTTTTGTTTCCAGAAAACTTGTCTCAAGAGCTTGAAGATTGACTACATCAAGCTGCTTTCAGAGATTGCTATCGAGAATCAGTTCGAGGTAACCTACGTGGACATTGAGGAGAGGACGTTTAGCGGCCAGTTTCAGTGCCTGGTGCAGTTATCCACGTTGCCAGTCGGCGTTTGCCATGGCACTGGATCAACGGTTTGTGAGGCACAGCGACATGCAGCTCAGAATGCCCTCGAGTATCTAAAGATTATGACCAAAAAGTAGGTCAGCAACTGAATAGCAAAATCTGAACGCACATTACGACGATGAAGAAAATTGAAACGTCCTTATTAGCCCCCTGTATTCCGTGGTTCTCAGCAACAACATTCAACACTGTATTTAATATTTATTATTATTTTGTTTTGAGCTTAGTTCACCGATATGACTTTATAGCTGACCTGTACTATTCGCAAATCGTAGATATTAAATACCTTGATACGAATTATTCACAAACAAAAATCCTAGTTGATTTATACTGAATGAAAGATCTTATTTTAAGAAGCATGAAGCTATTGATATACGCATCCATTTTCAGGGAATTAAAAGGAAAACCCACTAGCTTACCGATAATGCTGCACCCTAATTTTAACAGAAAATGACTAATTGTAAAATATATTTATGTATAGATTAAAACTTTTGTATAATTCTGATATAACTGGGAAATGTTATTTTATCTGTCTTTAAAATATAATTTATTAAACTGTTGTACAAATTAAACCAACATGTAAAGATTGAATGGCAGTTAATGAAAAAAAAGTTTTATAACTGCTATCATGAAAGTAAACTTGAATTTTAATAAAACAAGGTTCAATAAACTGGTAACATGACGTAGTCCTAGAATAGAAACCTAACTGGATATTGTCTAAAGCAACAGAGGATGAATGCAGCTGGCACAAACTGCTATTAATGTTTTCTAGAATCCATTTAAGTTGTAAGCTGAGTCAAACCATTACCGTCATCAATGTAACTACGGGAAGAGTCTCTTTGTTTTGAAGTTATAAGAATGAATCGAAACAGGCATGCATTACGTTCAGAGTAGTTTTTCTTCAGTCTTAAAACTAGTACAATAACAACACTGATCTCAGTGAACGTGTTATATGAAATAGAAAGATTTTTATTTAAAGTACGTAATACTTATGCTAAACTTAGAACTAACTGGCTTTATATGCAGATTATTTACATTGACCAACACAAGTGGCTGCAGCAATAGCCTAACGCAATTCGTTGCCACATGGTGAAGTCTGGGAAAATGGATGTTAGTCTACTTTTTTTTACGGTCCTGCGTGCACTTGGGACAGAACCATTTGCCCTTTGGTTTTGTGGTTAAACCCACACAGGCAAAGTGGAACCACTCAATGGGACACTACAAGAGAATAAAAAACATTAGGTTTTAAAAGAAAAATGCAATTGCATTCAGGAGCAAACGTACATCTGGATTGTCGCAGCCAATCATCTCGCCATAGGAGACTTGGTGGCATAAGCAATACGTTGGCTCGTTCGGATCCACAGGCATATCCATGACATCGCTGGGATGTGTTGCGGCCGTGTGACAAGATTCCTTCTCCGAATCATCAATATCAGCTGTTTTCTGTTTGTAATGGCAAACGGAAATGAAAGTTAATAACTGCTTACCAAAATGCTGAGCTCAGAATCAAATCATGCAAGAAGGTGAAATGTAAATGAAAGATGCAAAACCAATTAAACGGCTAAACACTGAGAATAATATATAACCACTAGAAGGGGATAATGGAGGGGAACATAAGTGCAAGTACACCAACGTGTATATTCTGCGGGTATCTACTGTGTGGGCTACCAGGCACAAAAAACAACTATACAGTTTTTAGGAAAGAGTAACAATCATAACAAGACGAAAATGCATAATTTTGATGAAGATGATTTACCTTTTGGGCGCCCCCCTTGCGTGTTTCTTTTTCTTGATTTACCTTGGTCTTTTTCTTTTTGCTACCTTGACCAGCACTGCTGCTGGCATTGAGATTGGCCCCACTGGCACTGTTCGATTGATTGCCACGCCCCGTTTCCTCATCTGAGGACGCTGGCTTTTTCTTTTTGCCCGTTGTCTTGCCGTCCTTGGTCTTTTTACGTCCTCCCTCTGCAAATAGCGAATAAGAAAATAAACATAGCCAAAATATAGCACTTAAGTTGTTTACGTACTTTTGGCTACTGCCTCCTCGGACTTGGCGCGCGTTGATGAAGCTTTTTCCTGAATTTCGCCCTCGAATCGCGCCAAATCGTTGTCAAGCCTCCGGATTTGTTTATCCACAAGCTCATACGTTTGTATGGCCAGCTGTACTTTATCGTCGCTGTACTCCTTGGCTTTGCCAAACAGCGCCTTTATATCCTCTAATCGCTCCTTGCGCTCTTCTTCGCTCATCGCACCATTATCAGCGGTTAGTTTACGCATAAAATCTTTTGCATGACTGTCAATGCTTTTCATCGCAGTTTGCGCCCGATCATCTAATTTTCTCATCAACTTGAAGTTCCGTTCCAGTTCAGTGGGCAGCGATTCCAATCCTAGTGAGATACAACAAAACATAAGATCCCGCTACGACACTTTCTCTTTGTAATTTTGGATACCGTCTAAATAATTTTCCAGATATATGGCTGAAGACATTTTACAGGCTTTTCGTGAGGTTCTATTTTAATTGTTTTAGCGACAGTTACAGTTTACTAACAAAAATCGAGCGTCTATTTATGACGTGCCATCAGCTGTTTTGTGTGTGTTGCGCCGCAGCAATGTAAAATTCCTTATCGATAGTTCCACGTAATCGGAATCTAGCGCCATCTTGCTCTTGGGCTAAAAAGCAACAAATCTGAATCAGAATTCCAGTCATTGGTTACGCATAATAAAACTCATGTTCTTCATTTACACACAGCATATTTTCATGTTTCAGAAGGCTTTGAATCATATTATGAATTTTATCTTCAAATAAAAATAATTAAATATCTTTTATGAAAAAGTTATATGGGTACTAGTAGGGGCACAAGTAGTAAACATCGTAACAAACAAGGTTTAAATTCAATTAATTAATTAGAATTATTTAATTAATATGGAAAAAAATGTAGTGAATTTTTTATTAGCAGTGTATTAGTTTTGTTTAGTTTTTTACTACACATTATAGCCGTTAACTTTACACTCGATAACGCTTTGCCAATAAACACTTTACAACACAGATAAATACAGCTGTTTTTTTGCGCTGGTCAACATTGTAGCCAGCAGCCCACCGAGTAAAGGAAACCGAAATGCAGGAGAATAGCACGTAATTTGGCTAAAATAAACGCTGAAAAATGTGCTATGGCGGTTTAAAAGATTAAAGAACACGTTAGCTTTAGGCGGCAGCAGCATGTTTAAGAAATTGCGCAAAATGTTGCCTGTAATGCGTCCGGGGCACTGGCTCCTATTTGCCGTCATCGTCGTCGTCACCTGTTATTGGTTGCTGGAGATTCGGCTGGAACACGGTTGGTTGTGGAATTCCCGTCTACTTGGTTGCTTCAAACATAACATATTTTTTTTATACATACAGCTTTTAAGCCCCTGTCGAAACTTACAGGCAACGGCGGCAAGGAAACGGAGCATTCGTCTCTCGCTCGGAATATTCCCAATCGGGATAACTTCGATTATGAGGACCAACTGGTGGTGGTGTACAATCGTGTGCCAAAGACGGGCTCAACCAGTTTCGTGAACATAGCCTATGATCTGTGCAAGCAGAACAGATATCACGTCTTGCATATCAATGTGACTGCTAATATGCACGTCCTGTCGTTGCCAAATCAGGTGCGTGTCTCGGTTGTCGCCATCGATTTTGTCTCCAGGCAAAATATTAAACTATATATTTTGTTTGCTTAGATCTCGTTTGTGCGAAATGTGACCACGTGGCATGAAATGAAGCCAGCCCTATATCATGGACACATGGCATTTCTAGACTTTTCCAAGTAAATTTGGCATATTTTACATAAGTTTATTATTTTTTTATTTATTTATTATATGTATCTATTTGGCAGATTCCAAATCGCACACAAACCCATCTATATAAATCTGGTGCGAAAGCCATTAGATAGGCTCGTCTCATATTATTATTTTCTGCGCTATGGTGATAATTATCGGCCGAATCTGGTGCGAAAAAAGGCAGGCAATAAAATAGTAAGTAGTTAAAAATAACATTTTAATACAGTAGTCATTATTGAGGTCCATGTCTTTAATGAAGACCTTCGATGAATGCGTGGTTCAAAAGCAACCCGACTGTGATCCCAGAAATATGTGGCTACAAATTCCATTCTTTTGTGGCCACGCTGCTGAGTGCTGGGAACCCGGCAGCGACTGGGCCTTAAAACAGGCCAAGCACAATTTGGTTAATGAGTATTTCCTAGTCGGTGTCACAGAGCAAATGTACGAATTTGTGGATCTCCTCGAGAGATCACTGCCCAGGTGAGTTTAAATCGGTTATTGCTAAACGAAACCAGTACAACTGAAATTTCTGCTTTATCACAGAATCTTCCAAGGCTTTCGTGAGCACTATCAAAACTCCAATAAATCTCATTTACGTGTGACATCATCGAAGTTACCGCCCAGCGAATCTACTATACAAACAATACAAAGATCAAAGATTTGGCAAATGGAGAACGATTTGTATGAGTTTGCCCTGGAGCAGTTTGAATTTACGAAGAAAAAGCTCATGCAGCCCGATAATAAGCATTTGCAACAGTTCATGTATGAGAAAATTCGACCAAAATGATCGTATTGGAAATTCAAGGGTTACAAGGGCAAACACAGAACCAGAAACGGTAGATTAAAGCTCAAGGGAAGCCGTTAGTATATCAGGCTATTAAATTTTTATTTTATTTTATTTTTTTCAATATTGTATATAGTTTATCTAGCTTCGATATGTACTTAAAATCAAGCAAACAACTCGTGAAAGACACTAAAGACTTTAGCATTGAATATCATAGACATATTAGTGATTTTTCATAAGTAATACGTATTTAGTTAGTTTAAGCCATGATATTAACACTTAATAACGCTTTCTTAGAGTTATGTAAGTAATATTTAGTAACAATTGTAACAACTATTCAAAGCACAATGTATTTACTTATGCATCTAGTAAATTATGCTCTGTATAAGTATTGACAATACCACGTAAAGCGTGCCCAGAAATAATGAAATCTTGAGCGATACGAAATATGTGCTGAGTCTGCGCATACAATAACCAACTAGTTTAGATACTTAGAAATTATATAATGTGTAAGTGTAATTATATTATTGGACTCTCAAATGTATATCAGCTTTTAGCACTTGTAGCAGACAAACTCATCAAGTCAAATACATGTAAATACATGTTCACCAACCGATTCTAACTTTTCTAATTGACTAGAGTCTCTATCAACAACTGTTTCTAAGTGATTAGCTGCATGCAACTGGTTAATTGATTAGTACTGTCGATTGACCATATATGTCAATATTTACATGCACTCAAACCAATAACAAAAAATATTTTTTTTATTTTCTGCCTTGCAAACTTTGTTTAAGTGAATTGCCCTTAAAACTGCAGCGTCGCTTGAGTCGATCAGCAGCAGCTGGTGCGAAATTCCATTGAACTTTAAAAGCTGACGTAGCGCGATTGACAGCGTTTGCTGGATTGACTGAAAGACTGAAAGACCGCCGGGTGGGCTGACGCTAGGCGCTGAGGCGAGGCAGAAATCGAAATTGAATTCTTTTTCGGGCACTCAAGTGAAATACTTAATTAATTGCTCACGGCTTGAACGTAAAGGCAATGAGTTTGCATTATCGTCAGTTGTACATTTGAACGCGGACACGCAAGTCGTCGTTGGACCGTTCGACTTGGGCTCGTTTCATATCTGACTTTTAAGCAGTTAATTATGAAATAGTGCTAAGCGTTAAAAGTATTTCAACAGAGTGCGAACACTTAGATTTCGAACCCGGGCAGCATTTTTATTAAAGCGGCGTGTCTGAGATTTACAACGGGTTTTATGTCATATATAATACTATATGTTACCCGTATATGTATAAATATATATATATATACCATATATAAATCTTACTCAGACTTTTGATTAGTCTAATACGGGTTATGCGTAATGAGTGGGTTTGTGATTGAGCGTTCAAAAGTTCAACGATAATTACGTCTAGCTATACACTGAGCTAAAAAAGCAAGCGTATTAGTGGACTGCATTATACAGCTTATAACAGTTTCACGGGTATATAACAGTTGTGAAAATACCCATTGTTGCGATTTATTGCCCAGTGTTGAATGCAAGATGTACAAAAGTTTAAAAACGCCTGCATAAGTGTTTATTTGACATTGGCCTTAACCCTGTGCCGTGTTTTTTGCATTTCTCCTTGGTATGTATGTATATCAACAGCAAAAACAAAGAACTTAGAAATCTCAACGTAAGCCACTGTATAACAGTTAACCAAGCATGTACTTTCCAACATGCTGACACTAGCCATAATTAATCACTTTGTGTTTTACTTTTCAACGTGTTTGTGTGTGTACACATATATAATAATAGCTTTTGTACATTACTTCTTAAATACCGCTCGCCATACCTCGATACACATACGACGCGGGTATAAAATTGTTGAATAAACAGCTTTATATTTTCAGTCTTTAAACGCGCCAAGTCCGCGCTAGACCTGAGTTGAAAGCTAAGCCTGAGATACACAATTCAATTACATCAAAGCAAAACACAATCTAAGAATATCAAACTGTAATCGCCTGAATAAGCTGTGCCTGTATTTAATTTTGGTAAGTTTTTGAACTGTAGCTACTGTAATTGTTATTTAAGTTTCCTGATGCGCTGATGCGTGCGCTCTTTTCGCATTCTGTTTTGGCTTCGTTACACTTGCTTAGTGGCGCCTTCCTCTTCTTGTTTCTTTTGTGCTTGTCCTTATGCCCAATGCAGAGAAGAAACCCAATGTCCACACGCGCGAGAAAGCAACGCATCAAATGCAGTTCTCGCAAATCGTTGCCTTTGCACGCTTGCCAGCACTGCCAAGCTGTCAGATGTGCTCGCTCTCTCTATTGCAATTACTTTCGGCGTCGTTGTCGACTTCGAAACTGTTGTTTCTTGTAAAAGGGACATTGGAATCGTGTCGCTGCGTTTGAGGGAAACAAGCTTAAAGCAAACTGGACAAAAAGTGCGAATTTCGCATGAAAAGTTCAATAAACGCTTGGCATTGACATACTTCCAGGCTAAAAGCGAAAAGTGAAGCTGTTCCTGCTCAAGTGCAACGGCAAATGCATATATCGCTGTTTGTGCTGCTCAATCATCGTGAAAATTATTCATTTTTTAAATCAATATCGAGCGACGAGTAACGCCGAATTGTGAATTTTTCGTTATGGCAACTGCAACAAGCTGCTTGCCTAGGACAACAGCTGTCGTCGCTACGGTTGCCGCCTCTGATGCGGTCTCCATTGCTTCAGGTGAGACAGATGTACATAGTTGCTTGTATACATACATACATACTTATGTATGTACGTACATACATTGTATTCATATACACACGCCTATTTAACTTTTGTAATACCTTTTTGGCACGTAAGGTTAAAGCACTTTTAAAAGCGGACTTGGGCTTGCCCTTGTCATGTACATAGTATTGTACCTTTGTGTTTTTATTTTTGCCAAGACCTTTCTGACCTCAGAGTTGCTTGACATCTATCTGTACGATCAGCGCGCGAGTTGTTCGCCATGGTTTTTCCTCGTTTTTTCCACATTTTTTTGATTTTCAAGTTTTTGCTTGTGAGTTTTTTTAAGAACAGGAAAAAAACCTCTGACTGTACAATATTAAAAAAAAAAATGTTGGAAGGTTATTGGAAAGTAGAATTCTTATACGTTTCTTCAATTATTGGGATTTTCACACTAAAAGAAAATGGTTCTGCGGAACAACAGCTCGTTTTCTGCAATCACAATATTCTCTTTTTTTCTGTAAAACAAATCAAAAATCAATACATCTGATCATAGATGGCGCAGTTAACTTACATGATATTCATAGAAATTGGCAAAAAATTACCTGCGATAGGAGGCGCTTAAGTGCAAAAGGCTATTAAGTTAGATGCACTTAACCTAATTAATTTCATACAAAACTAGCTCTTAGTGCTCCGAAATGAAAATTTCAGGCTAAGTATCGAGGTAGCTAAGCAAATTATACTGTATATATATATCCAAACTCTTAGCAATTCATTGCTTTAATACATTGTCAGCAAACAGAAAGAAACCTTGCTCGTCAGCTAATAAAACGGCATACAATAAAACGAGAGTTTTACACTTGAAAACTAATGAATGGAAGGTGCGACTCGAAGACGCGCTTCGCACGTGTTGCCGTCGATTAGTCCAAATAGCTGCCGAAACAGCTTGTACCATGCCCATGGCTGGGGCGTTGCTTGAAACGTGTCGGCCATACACAAGCAATGGCAATGTTGTCAAACAGGTGTAATTACTAGGTAATGTCTAATTGATGAGTATCACTCAGAAAACTGGGCGCCTGGCATTGAACCGAAAGTGCAAAGCCTGAGGGTCAGGCTCTGAGACACAGGCGCAGATGTGTACATCGAATGTGCTGCTTACGGTAGCTGCATAAATTAAGCAGATGCTGCGGGAGAACAACAACAACAACAACGGTGATAGCTGAGCAACTGTTATGAAAAACCAGCTTCCAGTGGCATAATTTCCCAAAATGCATTAGCTTCTCTTGCATCGGGCAACTCGCTCTTAACTCTAGCTCTGTCGCACTCTCTTCTCCCGCTCGCTGGCACGTGAATGTCATGCTCAAGATCAGCTTTCAGTCTGGCTCTCTGTCAGTTTCCAGTTTTTGATTCTTGGCCTGGTATAAAATCATCAAAACGCGCTTTTGGCCGCAACAGTTTCGTCTGCTCTTTCGGCTCCGTTGCACGCGTCGTCTGTTGCTCCGTCTTCTGTGTTTAAGTCGATTTTATTGTCGCCTCAAAACAAGTTTTACGTTTTTGGTTTCGGTATCATTTTCAGTTGTGTTGTGTTTTGTTTTGCTGTGCAGAGTGTGTACTATATAAATTATACGATTATTTGGTTCAAAGCGTAGACGCACATTAACTATTCATAAGTTAATGCTGTACCTACTTTATTTTGGGATTTGCCAAAATTGCGAAATTTCCCATTAAAAATTATCATGTTTATTTTAGTAGGCGTACTTATACACATGCTTTTTTTTAGTCGGTTTGCAATTTATGCAAATGATTCCCGACCTATCTAATTGAGAGTCTGTTGTTTCACTAAATATTCCCATAGATAAGTTTATCAAATTCAAATACATTCTATTTAAGTCCATATGCAACTCATATAAGCCCAGATAAAGAATATTTTGCTTATCTTCTTAACTAAACTCTCGATATATTTTCATAAATATACTGACATCATTTTGAAAATAGGTTTTTTATCGATATTAGATATGCTCTGTAATTAGAAACATTGAAAACTTGTTTTTAAAACAAATTCAACTAGAACTTAATCAAGTAGAACAAGTTGAATTCGAGAATCCAGCTCAAGATTTGAGTTGCAAATACTTATCTTCAAGGCAACTGCATTCTAATGTCAATGTTAGCGCGACGAACTCAATATATAAAGAAACTGTTATACAGCATCCGTTATTGATCTTCGATTATTCGCGAAAAAGCGAATGTCAAGGTTAAGGTCAGCGCCAACAAAGAAGAAATAACCGGATCGGATGATCGGCAGCGTAGCGAATCTCGAATCGGCCTGCATTGTTTTAAATGCAGTTTCAATGATCCGATTAGCAAGCCGGTTTATCAAATAATTTAAATCAATAACAAAACTAATAAAGTGCACATTCTGTCATTCAGCAAACCAAATACTTGGGATCGTTAACTCAACTATAAAGCATATAAGAAAAAAAAGAAAACAATTAAAAAGCTACAACAGAATATTATACTTAATTTCAAAAGAGCTTAATAACAACTACAACTGCCACCATGAGTAAGTAATAATGACTGTATTTGTACAGAGGCCTTATATAATCAAATAATTGCTGAGAATAGTTGTCAGCCAGATGGCTGAGCAGGGGATCAAAGCGCAGCTCTCCAGCTTTTTCAGCTTTCGTGCAAACACGCTTCTCGTTACGTGTACTAATTGAATTTTAATTCTCACCTGTGCCCCACCCCCCCCCCCCCCCCTGCATCTTTTGTTTTACAGGAGTGCCCACCATGTTGTCGGACATCGATGCGCTGCCCTCGATCAAGCTGGGCGACTTTACGCTACAGTTCGAGCTGGGAGACGCGACCCCAACGGCCAAGGAAGTCGCCACGCGGGAACTGCGCGAATCTCCCGAGCGCCAAAAGCAGGCGACACAGGAACTAAAGCGATTGCTCGAGGGTAAGTCCTATCCAGAAGTGCTCAATTCGAAAGGGTTTTTCCTAATGAACACAAGCTGATTTCCAACCACACTTATCCGGCTTTTCCCAATATGAACAAGCTCTAGAGTAAACTATGTCTTGTTAATCTTTTAAATATGTGCATATACATGTAGATATTTCTGTCTGAAACGAGGAAATTCCAATATAAATAGAAATTATGCACTTTCACTGATTAAAACGAACCACTTCCCTTGAATTAATTTGTGCCTTTGCGGTTTCGATAAATTAAAAATGATTCAGATGGGAATGAAGTAAGAATAAACTATCAATAAATTGCATTAATAAAAAGGCTAAGGTTATGACTAAAGGTTAGTTTTTCCTTTGAAATGAAATTTAAGTTAAATCTATAGATTCTATTCGTCTCCAGGAATGTGGAAATACTATTATCATAGTAGTAAAAATATGTAAAGAATATAAAACTACGAATATTTTAAATGCTAAATTTGCTATACTTTTTTTATTTCCTAGAAATATTTCCTTTAATCTGGAGACAGTTTAGTTTTCCCTTAAATAACTATAATTATTATAATTATTATTTACCTTACCTTTTGAGTAGGTGTGGCTAAGATATTGGGACTCGAACCCGGAACCTTGTTCGAATACATGCCTCTATGACTGAGTCACTTTTAAGGGCAACATTCGTATTAACTAAGCAAGCTTTAAAGTATTTAAATATGTATTCTCTACTCAGATTAAATTGATGAGCTGCACTAAGAAAGTCAAGCATAGCATGTCGCTAATCATATAGTATAACCCCTTTATTTATTTTTCAAATTACGATGAGGCCAAAGTCGACTTCCTGGCCTTCCAGACGACCCCTTCATTAGAGTAGCTAACGCGATAATCGGACAGGTGAACCTACTGCCAACTATAAACAAGCTAAATGTATTTTTAAAACAGAGGCTAGAGAGATATTGTTTGATGGTCGCTGATATAGTCAGAAAGGTGAACGAGATCAGCTTGGTGGTCATTAGCAACCCGCTGTTGGACTCTGTTCAGCACCCACTCTATACATAGCTTATAAAAAATTATCTTATTGACATGTAGCTGAGGCCGATCTGTACTGTCCCAAGGACAATGAGGAGTGGCTGATACGCTTCCTTCGGCCCTGCAAGTATTATCCAGAGAGTGCGCGCGACTTGGTGAGTTCCTCATGCTTGGAGTAATAATCCCCATTAACTTAGTGTATTTTAATTTACAGATCAAGCGCTACTACTCCTTTAAAGTGAAGCATTCGGATGTGTACAACAACTTAAAGCCCACACGGGAGGCCAACATCTTTAAAAATAATATACTCACCGTGTTCCCCAATCGCGATCAGCTCGGACGCCGCATATTGTTACTGGAGCTGGGCAGTAAGTGGCCAACATTCGGACAGCGTAATGACTACTTTGTAATCTCTGTAATTTCCTGCAATTAGAACGCTGGAAGCACAAGCAGGTCACGCTTGATGAAGTCTTCAAGGGTGCCGTAATTTTTCTGGAGGCCGCCATGCTGGAGCCGGAGACGCAAATCAATGGGGCCGTTGTCATTTTCGACATGGACGGACTTAGTCTGCAGCAGACCTGGCAATTTACGCCGCCGTTTGCAAAGCGCATCGTTGACTGGCTGCAGGAGTCTGTGCCGCTGCGCGTCAAGGCGATTCATATTGTGAACCAGCCCAAGATTTTCAATGTGGTCTTCGCACTCTTCAAGCCTTTTCTGCGGGAGAAACTGCGCAGTCGCATCATCTTCCATGGCACCGATCGCGACTCTCTGCACAAATACATGTCGCCAAAGTGCCTGCCATCGTGCTATGGAGGCATCCTAGAGCTGCCCCGTATCGACGGAGATCAATGGTATGAGCTGCTGCTCATGTGCGACGCGGAGTACGAAGCCATCAACTCGTACGGCTACAAGAAGAAGTGAGTGGGACCCAGCGACCCGGCAATATGTACAGCAAGTGATATTCCCTCGTATACCCGAAACTCAAATAATTAGCATTAAGCATAATATCTGTTATACGCTTGTCCAGCCAACGCTTGCGATAGTAGTTTCGTAGTGCTAGAGCCATGAAGTTTGCCTTAGTCTTAAGCGATCGTTTCGATCAAATCTGGCAGTAAGTGTTATGCTAACATAATAATCCACTTTATATATAAATGGGGGTAAGCGTAATTATAGTCTGTTATTTCATTACATTATTACTTACATAGATAAAATACACATATATATATATATTAAAAGTTGAAAAGTTAAATGAAACACTCGGATATTCCACATACTTCACTTTATTTGTAGAGATTATTCATTCAAATACGTTAGGCAAATCACTTATATGTTTCTAATTGGTTGGTATATAGGTAATATTGTAAGTTATACAAAGCAAGTCATATTTTTTTACAAATATTTAATTAATAGCCACCATTGTTGTCGTCCATATCAACTTTTTGGTGGGAGATTATCTGTTACAAGCACAAGTCATTTAAAGCTACTCATTTATAACGTGTATAATAGTTACCGCGATGTAACTTCTGTTTTACATAGACATACAAAAAATATTTGTATAATAGCTTAGGGTGTACAAAAAAATATTGTTGTCTTAGGCTCTATGGTCAAGTCAACTCATCCACTCGCAAGGCACAATTTTTATACACAACTTGTAGTACCGTGTCATAAGTCAAACTGTAATACGTTACACTATTTCATTATCAAACTGTTATACACATCTGACTTGTAACACGCTACTCGTTATTCCTACCCTCTTGTCAAAAGTCAAACTGTAATACGTATCAAACTGTTACAGGCATCTGACTCATAGCACGTTACTCGTTACTCGCTACTCGCTACTCATTATTCGTTACTCGCTACTCGTTATTCACTACCCTCTTGTCATAAGTCAAACTGTAATACGTATCAAACTGTTCTAAGCATCTGACTCGTTGCTCGCTACTCGTTATTCGTTACTCGCTACTCGCTACTTGCTACCATCTTAATCTCAAAATGTGTCTTGTACATTTTGCTGCATGTGTATTTGGTCTGTGCTGGGATACTCTTAACCAACTGTCACCAACTTGGCTGGAATGTACTGAATGCCTCCGGCTAAGCAGTAAAAAAAAACAAACATAGACATACTCCCCGTTAGCTCATAGTCGGTAATTGGACGCTGGCGCCTTTGGCGAATTGCGCGATTTGCTAAACAAATGGCGCGACATGAAGGAGGGCGAACGCATGGCAGCGTCCGCAATTTGCCCATCATCCTCAGCCTCGTTGACGGCCTCGGCTGCCTTGCTCGTCCCGCCCCCGCCGCCGCCGCCGCCGCCGGTGCAGCACTGGCGACGCTGCACCAGTCGAATGGGCTGCGTTAAGTCGATGATGTCGCCAAGCTGGCGCTGTTCCGCCTCGGCGACGCACTCCATGCGCTTCCACTGGCGCAGGGCGAGCACAAAGGCGTCCGATACATTTGTCGCCGTCTTCGAGGAGGTCTCAATGTGTGACCCAATGCCGAGCTCCGTGCACCACTGCTGCACATCCTCGTAGCTCACTTGTCGTTTCTCTGGCCGAAGGTCGTTCTGTGGATGATGATGATTAGAATTAGATTTCTGTCAAATTTACATGCTTCTCCGTTCACCTTATTGCCGACCACAATAAACGGAAACCTATCGGCCTTCACGTCCGCATAGTTGAGGAACTCGTTCCGCCACAGCCGCAGTCCGCGCAGGCTGTCCCGATCGTCCAGCGCATAGCAGAGCAGGCACATATCCGAGCCGCGATAGAAGGGCGTGCGCAGGGCGCGAAACCGTTCCTGCCCAGCCGTGTCCCATATCTAAAAAAAAAAAAAAAAAAAACAAGAACAGACATTATAATTCGACAATAAACCTTGATTGGCATTCAATTAAAGGTCCATTCCAAATTTGCATGCGCTGATTGCGCTCTAATGGTAGCTCGGCTAATGGGACAGGCAACTATATATATAACTCGGGTCGATAAAAGATAGCACAAAGTTGCGTCACACTTTTGAATAATTGCATTAGTCCGTCATGCCCTGAGATTTCCAAAGCCCAGACCCAAAGGCAAAATAACTGACTGATAACAATGTGCTGATAAAAAAGTAAGACAAGTTCAGACCAAAAGCCCTATAAGTAGCAAAAAAATAAGTAAGAGGTTCTAGTCGGGAGCTCCCGACTAAGGGATACCCTGAACTCTCTTCCAACAGGCGATAGGTATAAAATGAAATGATTCTTGATATATATATACTGTTCTAGCAGCTACATGTCAAGTTTGGTGATTTTAGCTCTTATTATTTACCAAAAAATCAAAAAACAGGATTTCGATATCGATTTTTATCGATTACTTGGGAACGGGGCAAGTTATCGAATATCGGTAAGAAACTCGATCTGCGTGAGCACTAGCTCTTATAGGTTCTGAGATCCTTGCGTTCATACATACGGACAGACGGAGGGACGGACAGACGGACATGGCTAGATCGACTCGGCTATTGATGCTGATCAAAAATATATGTATATACTTTATGGGGTCGGAGATGCTTCCTTCTGCCTGTTACATACATTTGCAAAAAATACATAATACCCGTTTTACCCATTTTTAATGGGTTCAGGGTATAAAAAGTGTGATATCGAACGGAAAACATTTTCATACAGGAAATTAGCTATTTTTATACATGCACATACATTTCATTCTTTCTCTTCCTCAATCACAAAAACTATTTCAATCAATCTTACCGAATTTCTGTAAGTTATATTGTTATTATTGTTTGACATCAAGGCAATTTATGGAATTCTCATTAGCATCAAGTTTTCTGAACTGAATATCAGAAGAAATGTTTAGCTAACACCTTTGTGTTAGCTATTTCTTTATTATCACCATCTGTTTTATATACTAGATACAAATATGGAATATGGAAAACACACAATCCCAAGTAAATATCTGGGTATTACCCGTCGTTGGTTCGATCAATGCGTTATCAATGCAACAAGTAAAATTATATGCAACAATCTTTTTTTAAAGCCCGTTAGATAAAAGCTCAAATTTCATCTATAATTTTTTTCAAATTTTAAATATTTTTTTGAATATATAATAATTTTTTTTTTAAATCTTTAGAAATGACTTCAAAACCACGAGGCTAAACAGCAAAAACTTTTCTACAACAGGTTCTCGCTTCTTTAGGTTAAATGTTGCGTGTTAAGGAGTTGGTTTTAAGGATATGCAAATACCCTTGGACAATATTAGATTTATTGAAAAATGCTAGCTTTTTTTTAATTGAATTCAAAATAATTTTATTTCCCATATTCCGACCATGGAACCAGCTTTTGGCTCGTCACATTTTTTTTTCAAATTTAAATGTTCAATTTACTTATATTGTTTTTGTACATGTACATTAATATCAAATATCTAACAAGATAATGTTCAGATGCGAATGATATTGATCCAACTAATAGGGTTCATTGTTGGAAAACGGTTTGCAGCCTTGATTTAAACCCTTTTTTAAAAAAAAGGTATGCGGAAAATACTTATCGGCGTTCCATCAGTCAGTTAATCAGCACAATCAGTTTTATGGATGTATAAATATAAATACAAATATTGGCATTCCTCTCAATGTATATTAAAAAAGGAATTCGGTTGAAATTTAAATGCATACGGTCAAATATACATATGTATGATGCACATATTAAAAGATATGTAAATAAGAGATTGGTTATTCCCACTTTGGCTGTTCCCACTATTTACACATGGTGTACCTATTAAGATATGTATATAAGAGCTTGTTTATTCCCGCTTTGGCTGTTCCCACTTTGATTGTTCCCCCTTTGGTTGTTACCACTATTTACACAATCCGCTGGAGGGCATCCGAGAGTCAGATATAGCTCGTTCTGCACAGGAAGCGGCGCACTTCTTGTTTGGCCCAAGCTCAGCGAAGCGTTAACAAAAAAACGGCTGGTTTTTTGGTTTTGCTGGGGCCAGTTCACAGATTACAACACAGTAGGACAAGCACATATTTTTTTAGTGGCTTAAACTAACCAATTACGAGTTAGTTAGTCAGTATCGAGAGATCTTTTGGAATTTGTATTGATTTACGCAATTATAATTAATTATTCGAATAACTGAAATGACGTTCTGCACCAGTTTGCTTACTCATCTCGGGGAGCACAACCTACCCCTAGTTGCATATTTATAAGCTACGAAAGTTGTCGGACTGTGAAAATGTGAATTAAAATGGGAAATGACAGCATAAATAAAGTGCATTCATTGTTAACAAACAAGGGGCTAGCCCCCCCCCCCTCCCGCTTTCCCGGCGGAAATGAAAAGACTTTAAGAAACTAAAGAGACGCACGTTTGGAATTTATATGAAGGGTTTTCTAGACTATATATGCATATTTGTAAATGCACTGACATCGTGTGTATGTCTGTCTGTGTGTGTGTGTGTGTGTTTGTGTGGAGGGGAAGGGGCAAGCACGCACAAATATACGGTATAAATTACAGAAATGAAACAAAGTCGCCGCATTGTATTGGATTCTGCCATGCTAAACTGTACGTTAATTAAGCTCCGAGGCGATGTGTGTGTGTGTGTGTGTGTGTGTGCGAGTGGGGGCAAATAGAACAGATACTGAGACAGATAGCAAGTAAACAGCTCAAATGTCAGCGGATCTCTCAACGCACAAACAACGTGAGCAAGTTACTAAATGCCGGTGAAAAGTTTTTGTCCAATTGGCCCAATTGGAAAAAGAAGGTGCGAAGCGGAACTGAAACTAGCTCACGATTTGGCCCTTTCTGACTCATCACACTAAACCACAAGCGTTAAATTCAGATCCCCCTTCCCCTTCACCGCAACTGACCTGTAGTGTGTACTTTTCGCCGTCTACAGCGATGTCCTTGTTCATGAACTCGACGCCAATCGTATGGAAATTGTTTTCCTCGTACCGATTCGAAACGAAGCGTGTGAGGAGCGCAGACTTGCCCACGCCTCCGTCGCCCAGTATGACGACCTTCAGTAGTTTGGTTTTCTGCGGTGGGCGCATGTTTGTCATTTTTACCGTACGTTAGGCTGTCGCCGACTGCCTCACTAATAAACAAATTGTTGTAAAAACTGCGCAGGTACAAGTTTTTTTTTATTTATTGTACACAAATATCATGGGCACTGTAAAATTCACTATTTTGTGCAATCAATCACGATTTTTGTTGCACTTCAACCAATTACATGCACTTTTATAATTATGAGTATTAACGTGCAATTTAAAAAGGCAAACAATTAAACCATTGAAATTGAACACTCAACGCAATCGCGCCGCGACGCGACCTATTGGACTAACAGTCAGCTGTCAAATGACTTGGTGAGCAGAAGATGAGTTCACGGAACTAGTGCGCTGTTGAAAATGTAAACAAATGTTATGTTATGAACGAAAACTATGTTAGGCACACGGCTGCAAGCAGACAGAAAATTATGTTAAAGAGATTCGCATTGAAAATGTTTATTAATATCCAAGATATCCAAATAAAATATAATAAATATAATAAACATTCTTTTAATGTACTTTAACTTTGATTTATTAAAATCGATATCAAAGGGTTTTTGAACATTTGCCTATTGTGTCTTTTTTTTTTAACATCGTTTTAAAACGAAAATTATGAAAATTTTATTTGAAATAAAGAAATTTCACTAGCACGAATTTCAATAATATTTTAAGTATAATTTATTCGGTCAATATAAATTTTTTAGGATTTTCGAAGTCTTTCTAAAAACTTACATACGTAAGTCAATAATGGCTTAATCATTAAAAAAGTTTAAAAAATATCGCTAGGAAAGATCTCTCAGATTAATGTATACAAACAGAGAGCTGAGCAGGGTTAAATTGACTCGCCTGATATGAATCTGTCTCTCGCATCTATATTATTTCGTCTTCCCCTATTTGAAGAATCAACGGTATAAGAATAAATTCTCGATAAGGTATATTCCATCGATTTAATATCAAGCACGTGTTTCCATATAATAATAAAAGGTAGTGGGGGATTCAGCCTTTGATAACTGCAATGGGTCGCATTTTAATGCACTTCTTGCTGATGCCTGCCGCGTGGCAGGTGTCCACGACGTCGGTGACATCCTTGTACGCCTCGGGTGCTTCCTCCATGACTAGTTTTGGACTAGCTACGCGTATGGCAATGCCCATTTGCTCCAGTTTATCCAGTACCTCCTTGTAGTCCAAATTACGACGCGACTTGGCGCGTGATAGAGCGCGACCCTGTTACAAGTAATAATATTTAGTATTATTTATTATTGGAATTCTGATGTACGTACCGCGCCGTGGCAGGTGCTGCCAAAGGTCTCCTGCATGCCGCGCTCGGTGCCGGTTAGGACGTAGCTGCAGGTGCCCATTGTGCCGCCGACTAGTACCGGTTGCCCGGTTAACTGGTAGTCGACGGGTATTAATGGATGGTGTGGCGGGAAGGCGCGCGTGGAGCCCTTGCGATGTACCAGCAGCTTTCGCTCCCTGCCGTCGACAATGTGATTCTCCACCTTGGCAATGTTGTGCGAAACATCGTAGATGACGTGCATGTCCAGATCATCCGGCGTTGTGTTAAACATCTTGGCAAAGGCCTGACGTGTGAGGAAGGTCATCGAACTGCGATTTACCCATGCAAAATTGGCCGCCGCAGCCATAGCCTTTAAATAATCCTGGCCCTCGACGGAGTTGATGCGGGCACAGGCCAATTGGCGATCGTTGGTTTCGATCTTGTCGCGCTTCATGGCCTTCTCCATCTGCACTAGGGCGTCAGTGGCCACCTGATGACCGAAGCCGCGACTGCCCGAGTGTATCATGACGACCACCTGGCCCTTCTCTTCTATGCCCATTTTGGAGGCACTCCACTTGTCATAGATTTCGTCCACCACTTGAATCTCGGCATAGTGATTGCCAGCGCCCAGGGTGCCCAGCTGGGGTAGGCCACGTTTCTTGGCGCGCATGCTGACCTTGGCCGGATCGGCGCTGAGCATTCGACCATACTCCTCGCAATGCTCTTTGTCCTCTGCCCACACATAGCCCTCGCGCAACGACCAGTCCATGCCCATCTCAAGTGCTTCCTCCAGATCGCGGGCATTCATTGGTATAATGCCTTTGGATCCTACTCCCACTGGTATATGATCGAATAGCGATTGAGCCAGCTGCTCCTTAACCGGCTGCACATCCTTCTCGTAAAGATTGGTGCGTAGCAGACGCACGCCACAATTGATGTCGAAACCGACGCCACCGGGGCTGACCACTGACAGCGGGTCATCCATATCAAAAGCAGCCATGTTGCCAATGGCAAAACCATAGCCCGAGTGTATGTCCGGCAGTCCAATTGAGCGGCCCACAATTCCCGGCAACGCGGCCACATTTGCAATTTGCTTGACGCCTGGCAAAAAGCCACCAACGGCTCCGGGGCGGCACGAGTTTTTCAGTTCCTCCAGCATGAGCTTCTCCAGGCGGCTGTTGACGTAGAAGACACCTTCTACGTTCATGTTGGGCTGAAAGCCCTTCTTGATGCGCCAGCAGTGGTCATTTATCTTCTCCAGATACTTCAGCTCCTCGACATAGGGTCGGACGACCATTTTCAGTAGTACGTACGGAACGTTTTGTTAAATCTATTTCGTAAGTTGATTGTTTTTAAGTTTATATTGCACAATTTACAACTATTTCGCCAGAATTTGCAATGCAGCTGCAATTTGCCGGTAAATGACACTTAAGTCTATAGCACCAACAGCTGGGGGCACCCACAAAAGTTAACATTTTCATAAAATTTTATGTTAATGTTATCAATGTTATCGAACACCCACCACAATTTATTGAGCCTGTCATAATTTTAATGCAATCGATAACCCGTCTCAATTTTTCAACAAATGTAACTATTTTTAATTAAATATTTTAAAATTAATACACTTAATCGAAAAATTAGTGAAAATATCCAATGTTTCTAGCAACAGGTGGTCCGTAAACGTCTACATGATTGCTCTGGTATACAATAATGCTTAAGAATGGATACTTTTGGTTGACCGATGCGACATCAAACAATTCTGTTCCCACCAACCAATTCACTTTAAGGAGGTGCATTCGACTAAGCACCGATGGCTCCAGTCCAGCCGCATCCCTATTGGAAAGAGCCAGCGTCTTTAATTTCGTTGCTGACCGTAAAAGCAGCGTCAACTGACTTGGTTCCTGCACGTCGCAACGGCTGAGATCCAATTCGAGTAGCAAGGGAGCCACCAGCGAAATCACTTTTATATAGTCGCTTGTAATGTTGGCATGTTGTATTTTGAGTGCCCTAAGACGTGCCCCCTCCTCTGCGCCCACACACAGGGGTTGCAGCAGGGCCAGCACACTGTCCGAGCGTACGGAATAGCCCACATTAATGTTGATACTCTGCAGGTGCCGGCCAAGTGCTAGTAACTGGTTTGCGTCATATTGAGGGGGAAAACGCATGCTAAACTCAAAGTGGCGAAATCTGTGCAGCTGCCGATCGATGGCATCATCGATGACGGGATGAACTTTTCCAAAAAGCAGTATTAACTCCTCCAATGTAAGATACTGGAATATATTGTCCAAGCAATCATCGTTTAAGACCAGCAACGATGTGGAATATGTTTCCATAGTGGATGGTGACTGAAACGAGCAATTTAAAACAATTTAAATATGGCGCGCAGGTTATCGATAGCCAGTCAGCTGTTCGAGCGTGTGTGTGCGTGTGTATGTACTGTTTATGTCTGCGCTGTCTACGTGTTTGTGGTCGACGCCGCTCCAAAATTAAAGTGAATCATATAAAACTCGTCTCCAACTTACGCGACACTCGCGAGCAGCGCTCACTGCCATTTCAGCAAAAATATTTTCAATTCCAAACGCGAACGCGACGGATAAAACTTCGACCAGTCGTTGTCGACTCTAAACTGCGGTGTGTTTGTTATTGTTGTTGTCGCGTCGTCGCGGTACAGGAAAAAACTGTTTGCGTGGATCAAAAACTTAAGTCAATTAACTACGTTTGCGCCTGACCTTAAATATTTCAATTGGAAGTATACGTTATATATATATGATTACTGATTACTGTCTGTATAAGGCGTGGCACTTGTGAAAAGTCTGTGTTATTCGCTTAGCCCAATTGGAGATTTCATCACACAAGCAACACACACAGAGAGAGGCGTACATATTACCTGAACTAGAACAACAGCAAGGCAAGGGAAACAGCGCAATGGATGATTTAGGTGAGTGCGGACCACCATACACAAATACTTCCGGCTGTACTGACACCCTGTATTTGTTGCTGCTGCTCCTACTACTTCAAGGTCAATTCTCGTTGGCGGCATGAGCATACATAGCTAATTAGCATTCCAACCTTTTTAGTAGTTGCATACATGGCCGGTAGATGGCGTTTAAATAATTTGAATTTCTCTGACAGCTCGAAATAAGTCTTTATCTGGTTTTGCTAGTCTAATTGGTTAATCTTGTTGCATGATTAGCCCACTGTACCTATTGTACCAAATCTCCTATCTATCAACAAATATGTGCATACGTGTATGAATACAAATTTGTAAGTTTATGTATTAATGGACATTCGTAAGCATATATGTATGTATGTATATAGAACACTAATCTTATCGCAGCTTATACTTTGTATCCTCGCAATTGCGAATTTTTCGTGAATTTATGATTTATACACATTCCTGGAAATCAGCAACTGAGCGTCGCTGCCGACGCTGCATCATTCACACTTTAAAATGATTAATATTGAGTGTAGGCTTTTGCTTCAATACCTGGTATTGTAAATGATCTGAGTTCGTTGGGTCGGTTCAGTTTTTAACTGGGCTCGCCATTTATTTGTTTGTTTTTATTTCCACACACACACTTTTAGTCATCATCAGCAGAAGTTCGTGTATCGTCTTGTTCGCAGCTGCCCTTGTTGTTGCTATTCTTACTTCTTACTTTATTTTCTTTATGACACAATTTCTCGGCAGTTTACTGCCTGTTGCGCTTGTTGTAAATGTCTTTTGATAAACACACACACACACACATACACACACACACGAGTGGAAACATTCCTAAGAGTTGAGTAAAGGCCACTCATACTCATTGTGAAGAAAATCGAATAAGTTGACAGCTCGCTGGAACTTTAAAGTTTAAATGCAGCTGACTGCGCTCTGCCCACGCACAGTGGTGCACTTACCCGCAAAATGAAAGCACACACTCCGTTTATGAAAGGTCTCTGTCTAGTCTGTATTCTGAGTGAAGTGTGCCCACTTTATTGATTACACCCGTCAGAGAGGCTGCCCACTTGGCACACGCAACGTCCGGAGTCGTGTTGCGTGTGCAGCAAAGCTGTTGATGTGTCTGCTCGATGATGCTTATACATGATATTGCAACTCATCACAGTGGAGATCACAGTGGAATTAGAATAATGTTTTTGTTGATCGCGTTAAAGTACAAAAACACTAGCTTAGTTGACATAGACATGAACTAAAAATAGAAGCCGTATAATATTATAGTATTTATTATTAGAGACAATGACAGGTCACAGATCAGTTGTCAAGATTCTACGTTTGTTTTCACACACCGTGTTTGAGTACATTTGTGTTCGAATGCTCTTTAATCCACTGTGAGTGCAAAGCGTTTGACAATCTTCGTTTGTCTGCTTTGTTGCTAATTCCTTATTTTGCCGTATGCCTCTCACTTGCGGCTTTCGCTTTGCGGCTTCGTTGCTGTCGCTGCGACACAACCTCATCATCACGACTTGCAGCAACCGCAGCCAGACGGACGCTGGCAGAGCGAGAGGAGCAACAAACCGCCAAGCGAGACAAATGAAATGAGCAACTTTTCGTTTGTTTATTCTCTCTTTTGCTCTTCACGGACTCTCTGTGTAGCTGCGCGCGGCACTCGTGAGAGCAGCGTTGCGTTTGCTTTGAATGGAGCTCCATCGCTGCTGCGTTTGAGGTTCCATTTCATGTTCCGTTAGCGTGCACAAGCGCCAAGTTCTATTTCAGTCGTTTGCGACGCTTTTGCTTAGACACGACGCGACGCGACGCGACGCGATGTGCGCTTCTCATTCGGTCTCACTCAGATTTGGCGTCCATAATGAAGAATAACAAAATATGAGGAATTTGGACAAAGTGGAGTCAAAAGTTCATAAAAAAACAAATAAACATACATATTAAACACGGTGTCCAGTGAATTACCGTGGAATCGAGCAATCGATAACAGCAAAAAGAGTGCCGCCAACAAATTAATCAATCGATCAAGTGCTCAATGTGAATCAAAATACGCTGCAAGATATTCGAACAGCACAAAAAGTCAATGAAAAATCGGTGGGTTTTGCGACTGTGGCAGGTAGCGTGTAGCGTGGGAAAATTGTTTACCTAGGCTGAAGTAGATAAAATGTACTATTTGTGGTTAAATAAAGATAATAAAATTAAAGTATTACTGAGATAAACCAAAGCTGCGATAAGAGAGGCATTTCAGTAGGCCAACTGATAACACACAACAAACACATCAAGAGTCCAACAAAGAAGGGGCGCAAATATTTTTGGCCAATAGATTAATGTTCTTCACTGTCACAACCCAAATCCGAAAAACATTTCGCTAAAAGCTTTGCAGCGCTTTTAGAATTTTAATTTACACTAATTAAGAAGCTATTTTTTAAATCGAATAAACAACTTAATCAAGAACAAGATGAAAAACGAGAAATACGCCCAAATGTGACAAGAGCAGTGAAATTTTGGTAGCGCCATTAATTTTAGACGTCCCCGACAAGCGGATTATAACAGTATTCAAAATTGAGACTAACTCGTGGGCGTTGAAGAGGGAAATTCGGTTTGATCAGGCCTCTGACTGAAAACTAAAGAGAACCAAAAACATAATCGGAATGCCAAACATTAAATACCCTTGCCGAACTTAATCATGAAAGCGTTATTTTGTAACGATACAACAGTTATATAATACACTTATTCCTACGCATAAATGTTATGAAAGATAATAACTGAAAGATAGTTTCGTTAATATGTGTATATGTATTTTAATAGGGTCGGAGATGTCTGTAATGCTAATATCCTCTGCTAGGGTATACAAACTAACAACAATAACAATTGAAAGGGCAATTATGAATATACGACATTTTACACACGTATTTCAACCACTTGGAATATAAAGTAAACAAAGTTTCTCGCATTACGAAAGTGCCTCAACTATTGTAATATTGATGAATTGAATAAATGAACAGAAATGTTTATTGAAATTGTGGCTCATCCAGCATTGCATCCACGAAGTGCACTTATGAGAATTGTTCTCGATTAGCCGCCAAACGAATTTCAATTAGTCAAACAGTCGCCTCCGCCCTTCTGTCTATGCAGCCCCTTCTGGGGCCCCGCCCTCGGATCGAGGGCTTCGCCCACACGCATGCGTTAAGGGGCAACAAACGGGCTTCCACTCCAAAGTCGCAGATCAAATGTTTGTTCGAAAAACTGAACGAAAAAGAAGAGAAATTAGCACCTCTCCCGCCCCCAAGCCCCCTTCCACCATCCACACTCGCCGTCTGTGTTGCAATGAGTTCATCGTTCAATTTGTTAGCGTAGTACGAGTAGAGCAAGTTCTCGTTTTCAATCAGCTAACAGATTCTTATCTCCAAGTGCCGACTCATAAAATTTCAATTAGTGTGCGTTTGTTTTTGTGCTCAACGAAGGGAGAAGTTCCCAGCTCTCTGTCTCGCGCTCAGAGAGACTTTATCTGCAGGCTTCATGCTAGGGATGTTCGAGCCATAAATCCTCAAAGTGAACAAAATATAATGGGAAATAATTATTTTTATGAGCTGAATTTTGGAATAAAACATTAGTTGCACTATTTTTAGTATAAATGGCGGTTTTCAAATATTCGGAAATTAGTCTACTGTAATAAATAATATCCTGTTAGGTTTTTTGGGACCTGCTGCTTCATGTCTATGCCGTAATAGTTTATGTTATTCGGAATTGCAGAATTGTCCATACACAAAAATGTTGGTCAAAATATAAACTTTTTTATAGTGACATTAAATGAATGTATTTACGGGTCGTAGAAAGGCCGGAATAGATCACCCACGTGGATGTTAATTTTCGTATACGCAGCTCTGCGTTTTCACCTTTGGCGCCTGCGGCAAGGTCAGCCAGACGCCTTTACAAACAACTTTTATGTACTTACCAATAAAATATTCAAATATTTATAGAGAGATCTAGCGTTCGTTCGAGGCGTCGGTCAACAAGAGTCCAAGTCCATCGAGCACTGGCCGCCAGGCTGCTTGGAATTTCCTGCGCCAAAAAAAAAGAATAGAAAATAATATTTCGGCAAGTCGAAGAGTTAACACCCTTCCATATAGCTATATGTATATAGTAGTCCTAGCTAGCTCATAATTGCCAGGCTAAGTTTAGGAGTTGAAGAAGAAAATGGTTTACCCATCGATTTATAATTTCTATGGGAACTAAATGATAGAGTAGTTCGACAATAATGGGATTTTAAGATTGTTTCCATATAGCCATATAGTATTCCTAGCTCCTAGCTCATAATTGCCAGAAATAGTTTAGAGGTCGCGAAAAGATAAAAGATAATTGTCTACTCTTCGTCTCATCATTTCTATGGGAACTATATGATATTGTAGTTCGACATTAATGGGATTTTATAACTAAATGATATAGTGGTCTGATCTGTCCGCCTTCTACTCTGAGAGACTAATTTGCAGAGAAAGAGATAGATTAATAGATAGATATCGATACGGCTTGGTTGGGGCTGATCGATAGTATATATACTCCATGGATTCGGAGATGCCTGCCTCCAAGCGTTACACATTGCGAGACATAGCTATAATACCTCAACAAGTCGATGCGAATATATATCGCGCCTTTGACTTTTAAATTTAGAACTGGCAAACACAATCGTTTGTTTGTTTTTCTCTTGTTTCTCTGTTGCCGATCGACGTCATCGCGACGTGCCCTGCGAGACCTGGAAAAGCGTGCACGGGCTCCCGGGGAGCCCAGTGGAGATTCTCGGCTACCTTTTTGGCATTGCAGTGCGGAAATGTTTTTCGGTTTTCATCTAATTTTTTGCCTTTAGCTGAATTTGCTGCGCTGCTTGGTTGGGGCAAAAAAAACGTCGCCTTTGATTTGCGAGAACTTTTATTTTTAGTTCTCGATCATGGTGTTGACGTAATTTGGCAACCTTGATTCCCCGATGCCAGCATCCATTCCAACAACAACAACAACAACGAGAGAATATAAACCTGCTGCTGCGTTCGGCGTTTTTTTAGATCTCTAATTTATGTTTTATTATTTGTTACCTTTTCCAATGTGTCGTTATTTGTTTAGACACATGTTAGCTCTGTATATTCATTTGGTATCTTTATGGTTCATAAATCTGGCACTCGGATCACCATGATCCCAATGTCCACATGTCGTCCGTGGGTGATTGTCATAAATTGCCAGTGTCTCATATATCAGCTATGATTGCATTTTCGGGAATCCCACACACTCAATCCGGCGCTCGACTTTAAATCAACCACTTTGTTAGCTTTCATATTTATTATTGTTCCGCATGACTTTGGGCTACTTTGGATTCCACAAGGGAATCCCTTAAGAATCACTATTCTATTTTAAATCGAAAAGAAATTGTCAGCTGATGACTCTAAGAGAATTAACTCAAACATTATTCATTAGTATACATTAATGAGTTATTTGCCAGACTTAATCCATTTCTCCTTTTGCCTAAAATCAACTCTAGTTTTCGACTCTTATAAAGTATATATAGATTTTTAGATTGCGTTTGATTCTGTCTCATGAATAATCATTAAATGCAAAGCAGGAAATATGAATGTTTAATAATAATAATCTTGGCAATGTTCTATTTGAATCCATGCCACAAGAGCTCACCCCAGTCACAAATTTGTATCATTAAGACGATGTCATGGTAGGGGATGCGAGGGAGGGAGGGGGAGAGGGAGGGGTGGGTTCTGGGACAAAACTATGACAGACAAACGGATACCGAATGACAGGCGACGGCCAAAAATAAAAATGTGCTTATAAATAAAAATTTTAAAAAAAAAAACACGTCGTCTGGGGAAAAAACACGCTCGCCACAAAAAGCTTTCTAAATAAATCAGCAAAAAATGCAGCGGAAGACTTGAAAGGAGTCGAGCTGCATTTGCAGCAGATTTATTTCCAATCGATTTTTAATTGACTTTTTTAAATGCAGCTAAATATCAAAGTGTTTTTTAAAAAATGGATAGAACAATGTATGGAAAAATCGATCCCGGAGCGCGACAACCCTATCGCACGGTGCGCAGCAAGGGCATCCAGCCGGGCTGTAAGTATTCCCAAGCCGACTAACCCGACTCACATACAAAATGAAAGGCCAGCTCGCATTGCGCATCGTTCATTTGAAATGTGTTGCCCGACAGCCAGAGCTCCACGCAGTGCTCCACGCCTCCAATGTTGTCCGGCTGGCCGGCGGACCAGCGGAGGAACAGGGCATCTTCGCCGGTGGCCTGTGATGCGTATACGCCCGGTTCGCCCAGGTCATAGAGCGACAGCCAGTAGCTCTTCGACGGATGCAGATGTGGGCTAAGCGCCTGCAGCTCCTCCTCACGCTCCAGGTTCACCAGAAAGCCGCCGAGCTGGCGGCAAATGTTGCCCGCCTGGAACCAATTGACTCGCGACGATTCCTCAATGTAGTAGAACTTGTCGCCGATTGCAGTGAAGTTCTCCGCAGTGTGCTTCTCGAGAACTGTTGAAATAGTTTGCTTTTTGTTAGATGTAGGTATTATGTGGATACCTGTACCTGTACCCGTGCCTGTACCTGTACCTGTACCTGTACCTGTACCTGTGCCTGTACCCGTGCCAATGGGCGTAGCTTCGTAGCCGAAAGCCCACAATAACAGCAGGAACAAGTATCTGAGACTTATTTTCATGTCGAGCGGCAATTTGTGACTGTCTCTACATTCGCTTTGGTTGATAAGTCAACAAATATGATAGTTATATTGATAATAAAAAAGTCAAGTAAGCTTAATCAGTAAAATACAGTGGTCGCTCGCAAATAAGAAACTTCAGAACTTACAATTTTTCACAAAATGTATTATATATTTATTATTAGTTGTATCGCAAAACAGGGCCTATAGAAATTCAATTAGCTTCTGTTAGAGCAAAGCGTTCTAGTTAGCAGGTGATCACTGTACCTGCCCCCAGCTATCAACAAGAATCGATCGATAAGTTTTTCAATTTTCGGGGCTTCCCACATTTACGATTATTCCTAAATATAAATATGATAACACTGCACAAGGCGAAACAAGTTGACACATTGCCGACTACGTAATACTCTATTCAAAGTCCATTAACAGCTTGAAGTCTTGGTTATTTGTTTGCTGTCTTCCAAAGCTAACCTTAGAATTTGAACTTAGGGGAACAGGTGAGCATGTCAGGCTTCAAGACAAACTATGCATTGCTCGAAATCAATATACTCTTTTTTCAAGTTTGCGAACAGATATAAACATAAAGCATCTCTCAACTTAATTACTTTTCGAAGTAGTAAGCGCCATCTATATCTGGTTTTAAGAAGTCGCAAATCGTTTGCATAACGTTGCATACTTTTTGGCTTGGGCCAAAACAAAAACGTAAACGTAAAACAAAAGCCTAAAAGATAGGAAAAATACGTTTTAAATATTATAATAATAGTTTTCCAAAATTACAAAAATTATAAAAATATTATATTATATAATTTACAAAAAATTATATTTTGAGTTTGGTGAAGATATGTTGATAAACATAAAATGTTGCCCTATAATAATTCTATGACATCTATATGATATGGAGATCCGATGTTGATAAGATTTCGTTTATATGTACCTTACATAGTCAGACAGACAGATGGGTAGACAGACATGGCTATATTGACTAAATGCTGATTTCCATTACTAAACTAATCCTCTAAACCGTTAAAATGTTTTTAGAAATAGATGTTTCTTGCCATTAGATCATGCGGGATGTTAAGTCATAATTGGTAAAAAAAAAAAAAATTACCTTGCACAATTTTAAACAAATCGTACAGACATCAAGTTTTGTTGTTGTACTTCTTGCACAAAACTCTTTGCAATCACAGCGTAAACAATTTAAGCCCAAACAAGACCCTGTGACGTAACACGCCCAATTTATTGCAACTGCGCCGATTGGGATATGCTGCTTATACCCCGTAAACACTAAAAAACGAGGGTATCAGCAAAGCATGCAAATGCATTTAACAGTAGGCAGCAGGCTATCCGAAACTCTAATACGCTTCTCGCTGTGCTACTTATATTTATTCGGGGTATAGTTATATAGTTTACGGGGTATCTGCTAGGCGGTACCTCCCCAACAAAGCACTGAGCACAAACAAGTAAACATTGGCCGGAGATTGCATCAAAAGTGAAGTCTCAACGTGTCAGACATTGATTTGAATATATTTTGAATTCAGTTTGCAATTAGACGCCGCGCGAGTTTCATCTTGCTCTCTTCGCTAACAAGTGCAATAATAGAAAACATGAAAATCGGTAAGCTGCTAAAACTTTGTCAATCTGGCGGCGGGCGGGGTTTACTATGGCGACCCTCACGACGCGGTTCATTCATTAGATCATTCCATTCATTCGGCGTCATTCAATGTGGGCGTCGCATAGTTTCTGCTGCTGTTCTATATTCGCGTTCACGATATATGTGTGTGTGTGTGTGTGTACATGTATCCATGTGCGTACCTGTATTAGTATTAGTGTTGTGTAAGCGTACTTAATTGCTAAGGTAGCTGCTGATTCAATGTTAAGTCAACAAGCCTTGATAAAGCAAAGTCAAATCAAGCCTGCCAGATGTTTATGCAACACTTGGGATTAAAATTCAGCGCATTCTTGTCAGACCGGAAGTTAGCTTTGAGAAACTGTTCTTTCAAAACTTGTCGAAGAGTTTCGGAACCAGTTCGAAAAGTTCCATTTGGATAATCTTTGTTGAGAACTTCACTTGGAGGCAATTTAAGTTTCAACTTGTTAACCTTTTTGAACCGCACGCGAATATGAAATCTGAGCAATCAATTGTAGATCTCATCGTCAATTTATAGAGCAAAAACAAAAAACAACGCTCGCTGTCAAATTAATACGAAATAATCAACAAAAACAATTTTAATTTGTTGTCATTCGTCGTTTGCTGATGTTTTTGGTTTTGTTTTTGTTGCTGCATACTAATTTTAGTTTTGGTCAAAGTCAAGTGACTCATCCAAACACTAAAAGTGCGCAAGATTTTGTTTGCTAATTCTGGTCGGCAGGTGGCGCCTCTGCGACAAACGCCCACAACGCGCAGCCTGCGGCAGGCAACAAATGGCAACGTTTACTCAACACTTTTGTTGTACAACTACGCGCAAATGTGTTGTAATCAACAGCAACAGAAATAACACCAACAAAAAATGCACACAAACACATGCTCAATTGAGTTTGAGCGGCTTTTCCCACCCTCTCTTGAGTGAGTTATGCGCTGCACACTGAAATCATATATAGAATATGATGCAGGAATTTCGAAAAAACGAATAACGAAAAACTATAAGCATTCATATTATCCGAATGTAATGTATTTACTTAAAATATTAATACTTTAGAATTGTGAGCAGGAAAATATTATGAAACGATTACAAAACAATCTAATATTTTCTTCTTCTGTATACATAATATAACTATAACATTTTACAATTTGATATAAATATTTTGTAACTTCGTTTGAATCTCAGAATATATGTAAATATCTTTTGAAAAATCGAAATAAATAAATATTCCATGTTACACGCCAAAGTTTGAACCAACCAAATACCAGCTGATATTTGAAAACTAGATTTTCAATTTTGTACCAGTGTGCGCTGCTGCTGTTAGTCTCACAGCCTCAGCTTCAGCAACGGTTTTCGTCGGGCATCTTGTTCAGTTGCTTTTAAGATTTTGCCGAGCGAAAAATAATTTTTGGTGCTCTGCTGCCGCCGTTACCGTCGCTCTGTGCGTTGAAAAATCGTCGATCGATTGTTTGTGTATTTCTGTTTTAGTTCGCTTTTTGTATTCTTATTTGCGGCAGTGTGCGTGTCTATAGAATTTTAATAAAGGCTGCGTATTTCGATCAAAAAAAAACAACAATAATAACATCAAACAATATTAACAACAACAATCGTGAATCACATGAAAACGAAAGTGACAGCCGCAAGCTGCAAAAATATGTAACAACAATGTCAACAGCAATTGCCAGATTCCGATGAAGAAGAAGAAGCAGTTGAAGCAGCGCAGTCAAGAGCAAAACGTTAAAAAAAAGTTTAAAAAACACATGAACAAGCACAATAACAACAATTGGAATCGCGCGTGCTGCTTGACCTGCTCTGCGCGCTTTGCTCTCTCTCTCTCGGCCACGAACTCTCTTGATCTGCACACTCGCTCTCCATTTAGTGCATTGTGCAAGGCGTCGGTCGCCGTTATAACAGCTGTCTTGTCTTCGTATTTGATTCGGACTGCAGCTGTCAATACTCCCCCTACTATGTCCACTGATTGAAACTCGCCCTCTCTCTGTCCTTACCCTGCGCAGCCAACGTTGTTGTTTTGATTAACTGCATCCAAATAACTTCGAAGCGATGCTCTTTTAATTGATCTCACTCTTTTTGTCTCTCTCTCTCTCTCTCTCTCTCTTTCTTTGGATGCTCCTTTGATGGCTTTTAATTGACTTTAATTGCATTTTAATGAAAACAATTTGAAGATAATGTTAACCAATAGTTGAAATTGTCATCTTCGCTGCATTTTTGTCGTTGGCATTTAATGGCTTTTAAATGATCTTAAATATTGCAGTTGGCGTTTCTGAGTAGCGCCCATTCAAAGAAAAACAAAACCCAATTCTCATAAATTGATTCTAAAACGTATATACACAAATATTTTATCTCTTTAATCTGTCGTATCGAAGACCGAATATTATTTTATAGATCATCACGCGGATGGAGATTTACTTAGCTGATCTTTGAAATTGAACTTAATACCGTTGCGACATTTAAAACAATAATTCACAGTCAAAACATAGCGAACGAAAAAAGATTCATGTCACTTTCCGAGTCATTTCCTTTCCACACAGTTCGCATCATAATTCTCTTGGCCCCACAGTCTTGACGTTGACCCACTGAAGCGCGACGCTCTGATAACCCTGCCAGCTCTATTTTTAGTCACTCTCCCCAACACCACACACAGCCAATACCCATATGGCAGGGCACACTGAGAATCCATATATACATACAGACACTCCTCAGAGACAACCACATGTTCGAAGCCCCATTTTTTTTTGGATCGGTTCCTTTCGAATTATTTTTAAGCAAATTGCGAAACGATTTGCCATTTGCCTGATATTTTCCAAAAACCGAAAAAGTCTTTTATATATAGATCATCGTTCAGCGATCCGTCCGATGCCTCAGATACGTGCCTCTCCCCTCTCCCCTTTATCGCCTTTATTATATTCACAATAAATCGGCTGCCATAAAAAAACCGTCACACTTTTTTCCCACTTATTTGCTTTACATAACTCAAGATTTTCACTCAATCTGAGTGATCTTAGCACTTTCCCTTCTCTATGCTGGCATTGGCCCAATTGCAGGTGGCACTAACTTTTGAACCCCGATAGAATCGACGCCAACAAAAAAAAACAAACTAATGATTTGTTAGATTTTTTGTTGGGTGTTCATAAACTGATGTCTTAATCGCTGCCTGTCATGTTTCGTGTTGGACAGTGTTCTGTCTTATATTCGCCTTTATCGCTTGGCTTGGGTAGGTCAAATGAGGAAGAGTGACAGTTACGACAGCTATCAAAATGCGCAACGTTTAGATTTTCCTCCAACTAACCCAACCCAACAGCCATTTGCCATATTTTGTGCCCTGCCTTTGTGGATTTTACACCATGTAACCAATAAATATGGGTACAGTGGAGCAAATCTGTAGAAATGTGATCTCAGGGAATATAAACTTCTCAATTTTATTTAAAAATGATCGATACTCTTCCCGTTTCTCTAAGACGATAAATAATAATAAAAAACTAGAGCTTTTCATCAGAACACAAGACAAGAAGTATATCCTTTGTTTCTGGGATATACACACAAATTAATGTCATCTTTAAGCACAGTAAATGTCAAAACTAACGATCAACAAATACAAATTTCATTTATGAATGAATTTATTAGAATTTAGGGCTAGGGCAAGAAGAAGCACATGTTACGGCAAATCGTATTTGGGCACAGGGTATTTCAACGTCGGGCACATGCAACTAGAGCACATTCTGTCTTGTTTGTTTGTTGCTTTTAGCCAAATTATAGCCAAATCGAATGCAAACAACGTTAATTTGATCAAATATATTTTCAACGAGGCACACTCACACACACACACACACACACACACGCACACACGCACGAATTCATTTATATATTTATATAATCATCATATATGCGATATTTCGTGCCCTGGTGTGATTTTTAGCTCGCTCGACTAGTTCGTCCCACGAGAAACATATCAAAAAAAAAATTGTGTGTAGACCTCGTCTACTGTCTGCTGTCGATGGTCGTCCGTCCCCCCTTCCCCTCCCTTTCCCCCTCCCCCGTCTCTACTCACTGCTTATGGCCATTATGGGCGCAGTGTGGGAGTCGATGGCTTTGGCTTTGGCTTTGCTTTCCGATTGAGTTTTCATGCAGCTTTTGGCTTTGCTCAAACTCGGCTAGTTTAAATTTCTCTATTTGCTTCAGTTGATATTGTTGTTGTTGTTGTTGTTTAAGCCAAGTTACGCGAACATTTCTATTAAAGGAACTAACCGAAACGTTTGTGCCCCGTTCAGCGTCTTCATCAATTTTGGCCATATTTTCGTTTTGGGCTAAGTAATGTCTTCGAAACTGATATCATCGTCGTTCCACAGCACGCCCCTCAACGACTGCTTTAAAGTGGGCGCGTTCGAGAGACGCTTGGGTAAGTCCATGTTGCCAAGTGCGTGACGAGCTTTGAATGTGGGCTGGGGCCGGCCAGATTGTTAGGCGGCAGAGTTCTAATGCCAAGGTCAAGTTCGAATGCATTTCGAAAAAGGGTCAACGGCCTTGGCCTGGTTTTAACAATCAAATAACTAATAATATCACGATTATTGTCAGTAGATAGACTCGAGATCGATACCTATTGCAGTATTGCTTGAAGGTGTCTCGCCACAACGAAAGTGTATGGAACTACCAACAGAATGATATAAGGATCTATATTATGTTCTTATAACATGTCTACATACCTAGACAAATTAGTTTTCGTGTCTCCGTGAACCGATACCTCGCCTAGAGGTTCAGCTAAAGCACCTGTTTCTACATTCAGCTAGTTTGTAATTTGTTCTGTTCCTCTTCTCTTGGCTTAATGGATGTGCGCAAATGTATCTAAAAACAGAAGGAAGCATATCCGACCTCTTAAAGGGTATATATTTGTCCGTCTGTGAGAATGTGTCAATCTCGGAACTACAAATGCTAGAGATACAATTTAAAGATATATTCTCCTATGAGTATATTATCGCTATCTTCACTTAATCTTATAATATCGATAAATGTCGATTTTGAGACATGTTATGTTTAAGTATAATTCGAAAGTTAGTTAATTACACTTACAAACTTAAATTATCAAAAGTTGTATGAGTTAATTATAAAATACAAAGTTAATGACATACTGCTAGAAACTATCTTTTAAAATGTAGCAAAAATTTGGTATTTTTAAATGATTTGACGGCTATTTAGATTTATATTCGCGGCTCGATTCATCTCAGAATTTAGGCAACAGGATTTTATTTACGCCTTTAACGTTTTGTGTAGCCAATTTCAGAACGGTTCTTTTGTTTAATATTTTTACTTGTCATTTAATGCATTTATCATCCCTCAATCGAGGGAAGAAGGTATTATAAACGCATAATGAATATTATGATATAGAAATAATATAGTATAGAAATAGTTTTGTTTTGCAATAAGTGTGTTAGTTTAGTTAGTCAAAGTTAGGTAACAAGCTTTAGCCCATATTTTACACACACGGCTTAGTTAGGACACGAACCCCGTTAAACAATAAAAGCCCCAAAAACTTCAAGTTTTCGTTATAAAAAAAACTTATTTTTGCTTAAGTCCGCTGATAAAGCCTCACAAAAGGCAAACACATGTGTTGACATACTCATCGGTGACTTCTTATCTGTAGCTTTGGCCAAGATATACGAATAAAGCAAAGTGAAACATTTGGTTAGACGGCAGCTATCAGTTTGCTATGCGTCAGAAGAGTTACGTTAGGTGGTTGACATTGTCTGAGCGGAGTGTATAGGCCATGGCTAACTACGGCGACTACGATAATCTGGGTGCCTATTGGCTGCACCACAAAAATGTTGCAGCAATACTTAAACCTATCTCGTTGTTTTTCCAGATGCACTCCTTGCGGATTTGCAGAACAGCGTGCCGGGGCAGCCGCCACAGCCACAGCTGCAGCCGCAGTACGGCACTGTCCAGCCCAAGCAGCAGCTGCAGCAGCAGCAACAACAATTTGTTGACAACACGCCCGGCTATGGCAGCCTGAGGGGCAAGGCGCAGCCGCAAGTGGTAAGTGGCAAGAGTTTGGGATTGAATTTAGTTAATAAATCTGGTTTTTTTTTGTGCAGTATCAGGAACATTACAGCTCGGAGACGCGCACGCCCACTGCTGCCGACTTCAATGGCTCCAGCCAGAGCAATGGCTATCAGCATCAAGGCACCGGCTCGCTGCCACGATCGGGCTTCAATAATGGACAGGGCTTACCGCAGAACAGCTCCGGATTGTCTGAGTTAGATTCGCTTCTGCAGGATTTGCAGCATGCGCGTTACAATAATGGCAGCGGAGAACGTAAGGGTGAGTAGGAGCTCAATCAGAATAAAGAGACACATTCTAATCTCTCCCTGTCTCCTTAAATCAGCTGAAGTCGAGGTGCCTACCAACTACAGCTCGCCCGTCTCCAAATACAACACTTTCAACAGCTACGCTTCGGTGGAAGAGCGACCCTCTGTCGACAGCCTTCTTAACGAGCTGGACAACGCGCACATATATGCTGTACCCAATGGGTAGGTGTTTTTTTTTTGTTTTTTGTTTCATTGCACCTAATTTTATGCCTTTCCTTATTCTCTCAAGAACTGCACACAAATCTCCAACGCCAGGTCGACACGTGACTATTACGGTGCGCGAAACGAAAACCGAAAAACTCTCGGGACCCGATGGACCAGGTACTGTGCAAAGTCCGTGCAATATACATACAATTTATTAACTTGAATTACCCATTGTGTATAGTTGGTTCCATCGAGGAGCAGATCGTGCAGAAGAAAGATTCGTATACGCCAAATCTAGCAGCGCCTGCACCTCAGCATCAAGGCTACACATCGCAGGCCACCAAGGAGTTGGATGATTTAATGGCTTCCTTGTCGGACTTTAAGGTAAGCCAACACTTGTTTATAAAACATCAATCGATGCTTTTTTCGAAATAGCAGATGTTTACAGAAATCTCCCGAAAGTATGCTACACAATTCACAAATATTACAATGCTACCAGTTTCTGTAACTAAAACCGAAACCGTGATAACCATTTTTGTGGCAGTTATGAGTTTTGAGATTTCATGATCATTATTAGCGTGTATCTACAGATACAGATACAGATACAGATACAGATACAGATACAGATACAGATACAGATACAGATACAGATACAGATACAGATACAGATACAGATACAGATACAGATACAGATACAGATACAGATACAGATACAGATACAGGTACAGATACAGATACAGATACAGATACAGATACAGATACAGATACAGATACAGATACAGATACAGATACAGATACAGATACAGATACAGATACAGATACAGATACAGATACAGATACAGATACAGATACAGATACAGATACAGATACAGATACAGATACAGATACAGATACAGATACAGATACAGATACAGATACAGATACAGATACAGATACAGATACAGATACAGATACAGATACAGATACAGATACAGATACAGATACAGATACAGATACAGATACAGATACAGATACAGATACAGATACAGATACAGATACAGATACAGATACAGATACAGATACAGATACAGATACAGATACAGATACAGATACAGATACAGATACAGATACAGATACAGATACAGATACAGATACAGATACAGATACAGATACAGATACAGATACAGATACAGATACAGATACAGATACAGATACAGATACAGATACAGATACAGATACAGATACAGATACAGATACAGATACAGATACAGATACAGATACAGATACAGATACAGATACAGATACAGATACAGATACAGATACAGATACAGATACAGATACAGATACAGATACAGATACAGATACAGATACAGATACAGATACAGATACAGATACAGATACAGATACAGATACAGATACAGATACAGATACAGATACAGATACAGATACAGATACAGATACAGATACAGATACAGATACAGATACAGATACAGATACAGATACAGATACAGATACAGATACAGATACAGATACAGATACAGATTCGCGAATAATGTTGAAAATGAATGTGAAACCGATCGGATTGTACAAAGTTCCATACAATAGTTTTCTGTTAGTTTTGCACACTTGCGGGTGAAAATTCTAGAAACCTCATGTTATCTTCACCTACATTACAAAAGGTAAATACAGTTTGGGTTGTGTCAGTAGGCCAAACAGTCTGACTGACTAACAAACTTTATGTGTGTATGTATGTATGTATATATGTATATGCTATGTCAAATAAGTTAGCTTTCATAGCCTTAGACTCCAATCTGTAAACTGGTTGTCTACTTTGTTTCATCATGCATATAATATACTAATGTATATTTCATATACACATTTCTTACCCTGTATCCATTCTGTACCCACTAAAAAGGGTATCATAAAGTTGTGCAATGCATTGTAACAGCCAGAAGGGGGCATATGTGCGAATAGCAGCTGAAACCTTAATGTCTGTCTGTATATTTGTCAATTTGGTCAGCCCTCAGTCGAGCCCATCGATTCTATAAAAAAATGTTCACCCACAATTCAAAAATTAAATATACCTCACTTTTGTAGGGTATCTGCTAGTTAGTATCGAAATATGCTTGACTAAAACATTTCTGGTGGTTAACTGCGTTGCAGGGCACCAAATGTTTTCACTGAAAAAGTGTCAGGAGAAAAACTGACGCTAGAGAAAATTAAATATATATGTACTTGTTTATTAGATCTAAGGCTCCCTTGTATTTGTGATATTTTTGGCACTAAACAAAGCGGAACCGAAACGTTTGTAGTCTATATTTCGTATATAAGTTGTTCAAAATGTTAATAAAAACTATAAAATGAACAAATTTATCATGTCAAACCGTGTGACGCATGTCGCTCAAGCATATCTAATGATCCCAACCCGAACTGTTGCGTCCACCTGTAGTTATACCTGTGTGTTAGTTCCCTGGCGCCCTTAGTGGCTATATGGAATCTTAAGAGCTCTTGACTTTGACTTATGCTAAATAAAATTGAAGGTGAAACCTATAAAAGCTGCATAAATTCTCACACTTTATGGTCTCGACATATATATATGATCTCAAATAATGTCACATTCGAGAGAGAGATAATGCAAACGCTGCCATGCAGCTGAAGGCCCATAAATATACCTATAAATACTCAACGGGTATCTCTAGGTCCAACGGGTATCTCTAGGTCCATAAAACAATCAATCAATAGCCATAAAGTAAACAAAACTGGCCAATTTTGCATTCTAAACGATCAACCATGTGCCCTGCCGGCAGCAGACCGGGCCATAGGCGCAACAGTTTCCGCTTTTTGATTATGTATTTAATTTTGGGGTTTTTAATATTTTTCTTGTGCTTTCACAATTGCCGCATCTCGCGGCTCGGACATTTGTTTTTAGAACCGAACTGACATTGTATACAACGGATGGATGATGATGATATATCTGAGCAGATGTGCTCTGCATTTTGTTGTCATATTTTTTCTCGACTAGCACGCGCTCGTTCCATATACGACAACCATTCGCAGCCAGAGGCAGCTGCCCAGTTATTTGTTTATATATTCTCCATATTTTGTGTCAAGGCCCACTGAATTACCATGCAGTTCATTTATGGTTGTCCTTGGTGCCTGCAATATGACAGCTTGTCGAAGTAATTAATTTGAGTGCATAATAAAACAGAAATTATCCATTAAATGCAAAACAGAACCAAGTGGAACATTTCGTGTGCGTTAAGTAGGAGTTTATATTATTATTGAAACGTTTTTCACAACAATTACTTTATTTGTGTTCTGATTTTGCTTACTTTGTGGAATACATTTAAGGTACTTTGAGTTTCCTCCTTATTAATTAGATTAGCCGATTTCATAGTATATACAATATTTTTTTTAACTTTGTCTGTCCTACTGTTTATTCCCCTGATCGCGCCGCTCTCTGGAAATTCAAAGAGCTAGGGATATGGGATATTTAAGGGGGGCATTTTGATATAAATTTGGATCAAGAATAATGTTGCCAGATTTAGATGCCAAGCTGATCAAGAGGCCAAACCATGAACAACGACCCAAACCTCGTCAAAATCGGTTGAGTTTTGATCGAGATATGGGGAAATTTTTACCTATGTCCTTATAGGATATTTGAGGGTACCATTTGTACATGAATTTTGACCAAATATAGTGTTGCCAGATTTAGATGCCGGATTAATCTAGAGGTCAAACCATGAATAAAAAGCAAAACCTTTTAAAAATCGGTTGAGTTTTGACCGAGTTATGGGGGTGGGAAACTTTGACCTATGTCTATATAGGATATTTGAGGGTACTATTTGTACATGCATTTTGACCAAAAATGGTGTTGCTAGATTTAGATGCCGGATTAATCTAGAGGTCAAACCATGAATAAAAAGCAAAACCTTATGAAAATCGGTTGAGTTTTGGCCGAGTTATGGGGGTGGGAAATTTTGACCTATGGCCTTATAGGATATTTGAGGGTACCATTTGTACATGAATTTTGACCAAATATAGTGTTGCCAGATTTAGATGCCGGATTAATCTAGAGGTCAAACCATGAATAAAAAGCAAAACCTTATGAAAATCGGTTAAGTTTTGACCGAGTTATGGGGGTGGGAAACTTTGACCTATGTCTATGTAGGATATTTGAGAGTACTATTTTACATGAATTTTCACCAAAAATAATGTTGCCAGATTTAGATGCCGGATTAATCTAGAGGTCAAACCATGAATAAAAAGCAAAACCTTATGAAAATCGGTTAAGTTTTGACCGAGTTATGGGGGTGGGAAATTTTGACCTATGTCTATGTAGGATATTTGAGAGTACTATTTTACATGAATTTTCACCAAAAATAATGTTGCCAGATTTAGATGCCGGATTAATCTAGAGGTCAAACCATGAATAAAAAGCAAAACCTTATGAAAATCGGTTAAGTTTTGACCGAGTTATGGGGGTGGGAAACTTTGACCTATGTCTACATAGGATATTTGAGGGTACTATTTGTATATGCATTTTGACCAAAAATAGTGTTGCCAGATTTAGATGCCGGATTAATCTAGAGGTCAAACCATGAATAAAAAACAAAACCTTATGAAAATCGGTTAAGTTTTGACCGAGTTATGGGGGTGGGAAATTTTGACCTATGTCTATGTAGGATATTTGAGAGTACTATTTTACATGAATTTTCACCAAAAATAATGTTGCCAGATTTAGATGCCGGATTAATCTAGAGGTCAAACCATGAATAAAAAGCAAACCTTATGAAAATCGGTTGAGTTTTGACCGAGTTATGGGGGTGGGAAACTTTGACCTATGGCCTTATAGGATATTTGAGGGTACCATTTGTACATGAATTTTGACCAAATATAGTGTTGCCAGATTTAGATGCCGGATTAATCTAGAGGTCAAACCATGAATAAAAATCAAAACCTTTTAAAAATCGGTTGAGTTTTGGGGGTGGGAAATTTTGACCTATGTCTATGTAGGATATTTGAGAGTACTATTTTACATGAATTTTCACCAAAAATAATGTTGCCAGATTTAGATGCCGGACTAATCTAGAGGTCAAACCATGAATAAAAAGCAAAACCTTATGAAAATCGGTTGAGTTTTGACCGAGTTATGGGGGTGGGAAACTTTGACCTATGTCTACATAGGATATTTGAGGGTACTATTTGTATATGCATTTTGACCAAAAATAGTGTTGCCAGATTTAGATGCCGGATTAATCTAGAGGTCAAACCATGAATAAAAAACAAAACCTTATGAAAATCGGTTAAGTTTTGACCGAGTTATGGGGGTGGGAAACTTTGACCTATGTCTATGTAGGATATTTGAGAGTACTATTTGTACATGCATTTGACCAAAAATGGTGTTGCTAGATTTAGATGCCGGATTAATCTAGAGGTCAAACCATGAATAAAAATCAAAACCTTATGAATATCGGTTGAGTTTTGACCGAGTTATGGGGGTGGGAAACTTTGACCTATGGCCCTATAGGATATTTAAGGGTTCCATTTGTACATGAATTTTGACCAAAAATAGTGTTACCAGATTTAGATGCGGGATTAATCTAGAGGTCAAACCATGAATAAAAAGCAAAACCTTATGAAAATCGGTTGAGTTTTGACCGAGTTATGGGGGTGGGAAATTTTGACCTATGTCTATGTAGGATATTTGAGGGTACCATTTTCACATGAACTTTGACCAAAAATAATGTTGCCAGATTTAGATGCCGGATTAATCTAGAGGTCAAACCATGAATAAAAAGCAAAACCTTATGAAAATCGGTTGAGTTTTGACCGAGTTATTGGGGGGGAAACTTTGACCTATGGCCTTATAGGATATTTGAGGGTACCATTTGCACATGAATTTTGACCAAATATAGTGTTGCCAGATTTAGATGCCGGATTAATCTTGAGGTCAAACCATGAATAAAAAGCAAAACCTTTTAAAAATCGGTTGAGTTTTGATCGAGTTATGGGGGTGGACATTTTTACCTATGTCCTTATAAGATATTTGAGGGAACCTTTTGTACATGAATTTTGACCAAATATAGTGTTGCCAGATTTAGATGCCGGATTAATCTAGAGGTCAAACCATGAATAAAAAGCAAAACCTTATGAAAATCGGTTGAGTTTTGATCGAGTTATGGGGGTGGACATTTTTACCTATGTCCTTATAAGATATTTGAGGGTACTATTTGTACATGCATTTTGACCAAAAATAGTGTTGCCAGATTTAGATGCCGGATTAATCTAGAGGTCAAACCATGAATAAAAAGCAAAACCTTATGAAAATCGGTTAAGTTTTGACCGAGTTATGGGGGTGGGAAATTTTGACCTATGTCTATGTAGGGTATTTGTGGGGACCTACTTGACATGAATTTTGTCCAATAATAATGTTGCCAGATTAAGGCGCCAAATTATATTCCCACCCCCATAACTCGGAAGGCAATTAACAAAAATGTTTTGCGTCTGATGGCGAGATTATGAATTTCAGATTTAATGTCTAAAAATCCAATATTTTACAAGATCGACGGACTGTTACATACATTTATTCCGGACCATTATACGAATTTTCAATAACAAAATTTTTTTTGGCGAATCTGAATTGTTTGAACTGTGCTTCCTTTTGGATCGAAAGACGAAGCATAAAATGTTTTTAGGTTTTGTAAGATATCTCAAGCTCACGATTTTTCTTATACTTCTAACATCTGATCAAAATGTGGTTCCAAATTGAGTTGTTTGCCATGCGAAGTGCCTGGAAGGGTATATGTATATGTTAATGGAAATGATCGACATATCGGTTTTCAGCCTAATACATTATTATAGAAAAATGAGGGCTTAAAGAATGAGGAGGTTATTTTATCTCTTTCATCTTGGTAGTATTTAGTTAAGATACGACAAACTTCTACTTGAAAAGTTGGTTAATTATTTGTGACGGGAAGAGTATTTAAGCTTCTTGTTTTGGTCTAGACTAGATTTGATATAGATTAGATTTTTGCATATAGATGGATATGAAAGCGTCTGGGGGTAGAATTGTGGTCAACCTTTCCATTTTGGCAAATCATCCTGAAATGCAATTAATTAGCCACATTCTTGGGCTGTCGCTTAGATTACTGCTTACATCAAATTAATTAATAATTAATTACTAAGTGCACAATATTCTCTAGGCGATGGTCACAATAAGGGGTAGGAGGGGCAGGGGCTATTGAAAATTGCAATTCAATGTCATTGACGAACGATCATAGAGAAAGTGTGCATATATGTGTGTGTGTGTGTGTGTGTGTGTGCGCGTGTGTGTGCGGCCGTGTCTGTTAATTATTTAATATCATTTTCAATTTTTGCCGTCGTTGCGAGTCGCGGCGTGTCCGTGACTTTTGTTGATATGCCGCAAAGAGATGATAAATATGAAAATCAAATTGGCCTCTTGTTTGCGTGTGTGTGTGTGTGTGTGCGTGTGTGTGTGCGTGAAAAAGGCGAAACAAAATAAAATACACGATAAATATATAAACAATATTGCACACGGCACCTCGGATCGCAGAACTGGTCGCTGCGGCTGGGCTCTTTTGGGGCGCCCACACGACACTGCCAGCAGTCAGATGGTGTCGCCCCCGCAATTGCCACCTCCCCCTCCCCCCCGCCTCTTGGGTCGACACTGTCAACACTTTTTCACGGAGCGCTCGTTATAGTTGTTGTATTTATTTTTCAGCTTTTTCATTGCAAATCATTTGCATGGCTATTTTTGAACACGTTTTTTAATATTCGTTCATCTGGATATACACAATTTTATCTAAGCATATATGTCTGTCTATATTTATTTCACTGTATGAACGCTCTATAATTGTATGGTTTTTTTTCATTGCCGCCCCGAATTGGCAATCTGCTGTCTGTCTGTCGGTCTTTACCGCTCCGACCTGTCTGCCCCCCGCCCGCCCCCGCGTCTGCCTCATTCATGAAACCCGCTCATTGATCGCAATTTCCTCTTGGCATCTTCCTGTGCCGCTGAATTTTCTGCATCTTTGCTGTTCGGCGTGTGCCAAAGTGGCAGCTGGGGGAACGTGCCCCTGCGCTTTTTATGGGGAAATCCTGTTGGCCAACCGGCAAGCTTTCAGTTTTATAGCGCCCCAACGAGCTTCTGATCGCAGACGTATCTAAATTTGTTTCTTTAAATAGCCCCAAAATCCCGCCAACGCCAAAATAATCAAATTGAAAGCCAATCGGATTCAGTAGCGGAGTGAGGGTTGCTTCTACGATGGGCGCCTTGCTTAAGCAGGCTCTAATAAGGCGAACTTAAAACATTGATGTATCACTGAAGGTCTGAATGATTAAGTGGGACAGAAATTTGATTCTTTTACTTAAACTTGTATTGAATATATGTATTATTATGTACATATATAATATTCCGATGCAAATGTAACAGTCCGTCGATCTTGTAAAATATTAGTTCTTTAGACTTGAAATCTGAAATTCATAATCTCGCTTACAGACGCAAAACATTTCATTATTATATTATTTTTGATTATTATTTATTTATTTATTATCATGGATTATTTTCTTATGGATAAATGCAGATTAAAATCTCTAGTTTTTAAAGCATGTGCTAGGGATACCATCTTTGATATGAACATATTTATTTGTATACCCCAAACCCATTGAAAATGGTTAAATAGTTTTCGGCAAATGTATGCAATAAGCAGAAGGAGGCATCTCCGATCCGATAATGTGTATATATTCTTGCCGGGTCAATCTAGCTATATCCGTCTGTCTGTCTATGTCAAGGCGTCAATCTCAAAATTCGATATAAGGTAGATACTACAAATTTGGATCGATGTAACGTAAAACGATCGAGAGCTTTCTCTGTTTCCATGAGTTTGATAAAAATCAATTGTGTCATAATGGATTTTGGAATATATCTCGGAGGCCAAAAGAGCTAGACACGCCGAATTTGATATAAATGGAAAACATCGAATTTGTATATGTTAGGTATGACATTGATCTTTGATATGTACACACTTTTATATGCCTTTTTTGAGCTCTGAAAATTTCATGAAGATCGAACTATAAACATTGAAGTTATTCAAGAAAGCAAGAAAGCATGCATCCGATGTGCATGTGTGTATGTGTGTTGCATATACTTATTTATATGTGCATGATTGTGTGATAGTTTATCAACACTGGCTTAGCCAATTATGTGTTAGTAAGTCCTCCTTGGCGCTGAAACGTCCCTGTTTTTCTAGATAAGTATCTAGCTAAGCACACACACACACGCACACACGCACACTCACTCATGCGCAGAAGTATAGCACTCAATTAGGCGTCTAGGTTAGTTTGGGCAGCTGACAGCGCAGCGGCAGAGAATATGCAAAGTTTATGAAAGAAAACTGAAATGGAAACTCGCACGACACGCAGCAACAGACGCAGACGCAGAAACAGAAACAGATACAGAAACACAAGCAAAATCCGTATACAAATATGATAAACATAACAGCAGACAGACATTCAAAAAGAAAATCGAAATTGTTGTTGTTGTAGTTGTAGTTGTTGTTGTTGTTGCTTCTTGGCTTTTCGTATTTTTGGCAATGAACAAAAACTACGTCAACTAGAAATGCTGCTCGGCGCGTATTTATGAGGAGAGCGTCGTGCGCAACGAAGCACACACAGATACAGACACAGACACAGACACATACCAAATCCACAGCAACAACAACAACAACAATAATAAGAACAACAATTTGTTGTAAGAAAATTTCTTGAGGCGTTTTGTGGTATAGCAAAAAGCAAAAGTTATTCTGTTGGCGCGCGCATAAAGTTGAATTCAGTCGAGCCGAGCACATCGAGCAACGACGTAAGAGGCACGGATAATCAGAGGAGATGGACTAGTTAACTAATTTGTCGCACTGTTTGTTTTTTGTTTGTTTGTTGGCAGGTCAGCAACGGTAGCAGTGGCCATTTGGGATACGATCAGCAGTCGAGCACAGGAACAGCACAACAGCTGCAGCAGCATCATCAGCAACAGCATCAGCAGCAGCAGCAGCAGGTGACGGACTACGCACAGCCAAATCGGGGCACACAGCAGGCGCATCTGACGCAGACGATCGAGGAGACGACAATAGTCGAGGACAGTCGCGAGGATCAGTTGGATTCTATGCTCGGCAACCTGCAGGCCAATATGAGTCGCCAGGGTGTCAACACAGTGCAGAAGGGCTGCTGCAATGCATGCGAGAAGCCGATTGTCGGCCAGGTGATTACCGCCTTGGGCAAGACCTGGCATCCGGAGCACTTTACGTGCAATCACTGCAGCCAGGAGCTGGGCACACGCAATTTCTTTGAGCGCGACGGCTTCCCCTATTGCGAGCCCGATTATCACAATCTGTTCAGTCCGCGCTGCGCCTACTGCAACGGCGCCATTCTGGACAAGTGCGTGACGGCCCTAGACAAGACCTGGCACACCGAGCACTTCTTCTGCGCCCAGTGCGGCCAGCAGTTCGGCGAGGATGGCTTCCATGAGCGCGACGGCAAACCCTATTGCCGCAACGATTACTTTGAGATGTTTGCGCCCAAATGCAATGGCTGCAACCGTGCCATCATGGAGAACTACATCTCCGCCTTGAATTCGCAGTGGCATCCGGATTGCTTTGTCTGCCGGGTAAGTCACCTCCTAAACCCTTCCTAACTTTAAAGAGTTATTTTATCCATCTGTATGATATATGTGATATATATAGGATTGCAAGAAGGCCGTGCGCGGCAAGTCCTTCTATGCCATGGAGGGCAAGCCCGTTTGTCCGCAATGTGTGGGCGTCGATGAGGAGGAATAGGCGCCACCAATAGCAGCAGCAGCAGAAGCAGAAGCAACAGAAGCAGCAACAACAACAACAACTTGTTGAAGTTCAGCAGCCCGAAAATAGCCCCCGCCCAGATACAATTTGTATCTGCATATAGTTGTTTACCCAGCGGCAGCTGCGTCCCACTTTCTCCTTCTCTCAGTCTCTTCTCCTCCTTGCTCTCTCTCTCCGCCTTTATTCACACGTTCTCTGGGCTATTTTCGTTGAAAATGTGAAAATCTTTTTGAATTTTGTCGGGGCGCGACTTGCTGCCAGCTGCCACCTGCCACCTGTGTCTCGCTGTCTCCAACCATCCAGCAGCAGCAACTATATCTAAAGGAGCACACACCACAACACACACAACACACACCAACACACACTGCGTCCCCGTTTGGCAGGCGGCGGTTTAACCGGGTACTGGACACGGCTGACCACCAGGCAACTGGGCAGGTCGGCTGTTGCCGCCCGGGCCGCGCGCTGTGCCCGTGTTTTATGATGGCCACGGCCATGTCTCCCGCCCCTGTTTAGAGTACCTCCCAACCCACGCGACACGCCCCTTAAAACTGTTGAGCTTTTCTATATGCAATTTAGAGTTAAGTTTTTAGGTATTTTTTTAAATTTAAACATTTATGAAGCAATATTGTAATTTGTTTTTGTAAATAAAATTTTTAATTATTAAAATTAAAATATAACAAATAAAAACAATTCAAAAAACCCAAAGAACAACAAAAATCTAATTCGAGCCTGGCGCTTGGCTGGCTCTGGGTCCGTTTTCAAACAAAACCTCCCCCTTCAGCCAGCCAGCCCATGCCACGCCTCGCCAGAAACTTAAGATCAGTGTCAAGATCTTGACCTTGATTGGGAATGTTCGCATGTCGCGTTCCTTGACCTTCAATTGATTTTGTTGTTCTTTGCAAACAATTTACAATATTGCTACATAGATTTTCGGATTAGATTAGCGGCAATCGCCCCCCTCACCCCAAATCCCCCGTGACCCCTGCGCAGATGCGGGGTTGGTTAAAACTAAGTGGAAACTATTTTCGTTGCTGACGTTTCGCTCATAAACAAAGCACACACAAAATTAGCAAAATTATTTTTGTATATATCAAACGCGAGTACATTTCTATAACACATTCTCGCATATGTAAATAATTCATGTTTACATTATGCTAGAAAACTGGGCGCGTTCTTTATCTCTTTAGAGTTTAGTCCCGATCTCTGCTTATCATCTGACATTTTCCTATGCAAATTTACTAAAAATAAACGAATGCATATCTTGAGAAAATATGCATATTTATAGATTTTCAACAGATTTTCTTTCAATGCGATATAAATTCCATTTAAATTATTTCCATATAGCACATATATATGAGGGCCAAATTTGGACGCTGGAAAATGCCAAAGTTTCTGATTCGTGTTTATTTAATATTGTTGGCCCTGTTACAAATATCAATCAAAACAATATTTTACTAAGAATTCAAGAAACTATGTAGATGTTTTTTTTTCTTAGAAGAGAGTATTATAGGATTAGAATTGAATGGAGGCGCAGTTAGATAAATGTAATATTTTTATAAATATAATATTTTTAAAGCTGTATTTAAAGCTGTTGACTTTTGGTTAAATAGATCTTATAAGCACATAAGAATTTTAAAAATCTATAATTTGTAATCGACATTATAGCACAAGTCAGAACATGCTACTTAGTTAGATATCTTTAGACCAAGTCAAGTAGACTTTAGTCGAAAAATTCATTGAGATTATTGACAAAGCACATTTTTATGAGTATCCTCTTCTTTTTTTTAAGATTATTTATTGTTATATCATTAGGGAGTCGCATAATATTTGCTGCGAAATAGAATATTTAAACATATATTCTATTTCGGATTAACAGTTGACTCGAGAAGTTCCCCTTTTCTGACTATTGCTATGACTTTTAACAATTATCTTACCTCGAACTTTTTACCTATTTAAAATCGTTGAAGAGTTGAAGTAATTGGAGATTCGACAGATATATTAAGCTGCAGTCCTCCTCCTCCCCTCCTATATCTCTTCCATTATCAATAAACTCCCTTATAGGAAGATTGGATTACATAAAGAAATCTACAAGGATATTAATTTCAAGCATAGCTAATGTTATTGTCCCATTCGTTTCGGCGGCTGTCTGTGTTTTCCAAGGCAATATATTTAATTGTTGCCAGCACCATATTTTATAATCTATATTTTCATTTATCTATTCGTATATATTCTATATCTGTCGTGCCTTGGAGCTGGGCCAAAAGCGTGCGCAAAATGTTATTGTTCAAATAAATGTGATTTGTTGTTGCCGTTGTTGTTGTTGTTGTTGTTGTTGTTGCTGCTTTAGAAATGTTTTTCCAAAACACCGAAAAAAATAAAAAAATGTGCCAAAATTGATCATTTTGATTGCTGGCTTTCCTTTGTTTTTCAATTATGTGAAAGTCAAACGTATTGGGCCCACTGTGCACATTGGTACAAGCATCTGCCAATAGTTATTTCAAAATATTTCGTTTGACAAAATTGTAATTGGGCTGCCCGGCCAAGGCGTAAAATTTCACACAATTTGCCGCAAATTATTTGCAGAATTTTTAATTTTCAAAAATTCTCAAGTCTGCGAGATCTGTTGTGACACGGGACGCGGGTTCGGGTTCGGGCTGGGCTAATTTATGGTGTAATTAGCATTATTTTGGCGAATATTAAAGCACACTCGCCCTATAATAGATCATCCAAAATGCGCTCTCTTTCGTTTTAATTACATTCAGGTGCACTTACGGAATATGGCGCAGTTACATTTCAATATTATCCATTTACATATTGTATATATATTTGTGCTAAAACTTTCGACTAATCTGGTATTTTGCGTTTTATTTCGTTTCGCAGGACTGTCGACAACCTTTCCAGGGTGGCTCGTTCTTTGACCACGAGGGTCTGCCCTATTGCGAGACACATTATCATGCCAAGCGCGGTTCGCTCTGTGCCGGCTGCTCGAAGCCGATAACGGGTCGCTGCATTACGGCGATGTTCAAGAAATTCCATCCGGAACATTTTGTGTGCGCCTTCTGTCTCAAGCAGCTGAACAAGGGCACGTTCAAGGAGCAAAAGGACAAGCCCTACTGCCACGCCTGCTTCGATAAGATATTCGGCTAAGCCCAGCCCAGCCCAGCCAAACTATAGTTACGATTTAATACTGTTTTTTGTACGATTTACGATTTACGATTTACGTCTTCTACCAATACTTACATAACTTCATCTGCGCTTTGTATAACCGAGTCAAATTAGTAATATAATTAACACAGACACACGATATATGATCAGATTAATCAATTAGACGACACTAATACCCAGCCAATATAATGGTTAAACGATATTTCTGCCCTTTGAAAATAAAATTATTACAATGCAATCAATTATTAACGATTTGTCATTTTTTCTGATTCCGCCGATTTAAAGGTTCGGCAGATTCAAATATTCGCAATTCGGAAGTAACAGAAAAACACGAACCCTGAACCAATAGGGCAATGAATTCGCGCTCAAAAACAAAAACACTTGCTGAGTTTTATCAATTACTTTTTCATATTCTTGTAGAGGGTATTGTTATTTTGTCAGGAAATATGTAACGCATAGAAGGTGACATCTCCAAACTCCATCTATCTGATAATATTCAAGTTGTATATAAAAACTATAAGCTGTAGAAGAATCATGATAAGCCTGACCTGCGCACATGAGAGTATATATTTCAAATATGAAGTATTCAGCTTTTTTGGCCGTCGAGAAGGATGTCAGTTGGACAGACGGACATGTCTAGATCAAATCAGTTTGTCCCCCTGATCTAAAATAAACGTTCCTTTAAGGCCGAAGATGCGCACTCCAGCCTGTTACATAGGGCGATGATTGATGCCTAAAGTGATCCTGTAATAGGAACAATGAGATTGAGCCGTCGTGGGTGAAACTCACGCTAGGCCCATTTACACGGTATTACCAACAAGTAAGCCCTTTTCGCCGAGTAGAGTGCAAAGAAATGTAATGCGAACGAGTCTACTGTTAAAACTTACCAAGTTTCCCGCGCAAAGAAAATTTAAATCTTTCCGTACTATCTTGACCGTCTATTTGAAAATATGTTAAAAGTCCATTAGTTAAAGCGTTAAGAGGTGAGGTAAGGTGAGTTAGTTGAAACTAAAAAATAAGCTTTCGTTCATAAAACCGATGATCCGCATTTATCATCTAAGAGGGACACTCCTCAAATGAATTTGAACAAAGATCTTAGAAAATGAGTTTTTCTCCCACAGTGAAAATTCCGACTTCCTTGACCTAACATATTGTTGCTTTGTTTCGATCATAATTTATGAAACTGATTACCGAACCAAGTAATAAAAATGAAGCAATTCCGGTTCGGTAAATACCTGGTTTGCAGCCTTGGTAAAATGGGAATAAAGGTAAAAATGTATTTATCAGGCCCCATAAAGTATACAAATTCTTGCTCAGTAACAACAGCCTGATAAACTTTTGATCAGCTTTTCGTTAGTTATGGTATTTATAGTCACTCAATCCTCCAAACTTTTTTTAATCCAATTTATTATTAGGGAGCCAAGATCTATAAAAATATAGGTTTCATTCATTTCAAGTAGGTCAACCATGTTAATTAACAGTAGCTGACTGCTCGGCAAAGCGAAGACACAAACCCGCAAGCATCAGTAATTGACCGGTCAGTTTTTTAACCATTGTATTCGGTTCAACTACAGTTTTAGATGCACATCTAACATGTTTGCTCACCATCTGCGCGCCTAAATTGGCCTCTCCCACACTCTCTTTCGCTCGTGCATGCACACAAATACACACATGCAATTCTTTTTTTTATCTGGCAAAGATGCCGGCCGGCTGCTCGATTGCCGGCTCGCTCGCACTTGGCGCTTGACATTGAGCTCAGCCAGCGTGTTCGCGCCGACTTAGTAACATTCTTGTGATTGTATTTAACTGCCCGCGCTCCCTTATATATGAGGGAGGGAGTGTGTGTGTGTCGCTCCCTATTAACGTAGGGTTCCAGCACGAACGTTTGTTATGAATCAGTCATCGTCAGTCTCGCTCCGCTCACTCACTTCTCATCTGTTGGCTGTGTCGGTTCAGTCAGTCCTGCTGGTCGCGTGGCTCGTTGCTCTTTGCTGTGTTTTCATTCGTTTCGTGTGTGGCGATTGTTGTGTTCTTCAGTTCGTGGCATTTATTTCAATTAGTCGATAAATTCATTTGCTCACACAGCCGGAATAGTTAAAAACATTTATTGCGACAAACAAAAAGTTTCCCGTGTCAAGCGCCGAATAAATACCGAAGTAAAGTCCGACAAAAGGAGGCTAAATTCACGCGGGGTTCGCAGGAAGCGCTACAGGTTGGTGAAGAACTTATTCAAACACACACACACACAAAGCAAATATGAGTGTATTTAAGTAGTCATTTGACTCTCTGCTGCATTCTGTAATACTACCGTAGAACTGTTTACAAAGTGGTTTTGTTGCGCGGTGATGTAATAGGAGCTTTTACTCAAGTCCTTAACAAAACAAACGGCGGCAACGGTGCTGCATGTGTGTGTGTGTGCGCGCCTGTGCTTTGCACTGCGAGCCATGATATCATGTGGTGGCATTCAGATTCGGAGTCCAATCAGAATCCGACGCGGAGTCACGCATGCCACCCGCATAAGCAGTAGCGAGAGCAACAACAGCTGCAGAACAGTAGGGCAACAGAGAAGAGAGCAAGAGGAATGAAAATACAATTAGGTGTATTTATGCCACAGACACGCACACAAAAGCAAATTGAATTGCCCGCCAGACTGTCAAACTGTCTGCGTGTTTGTGCACAACAATTTGTCAATGATTGCGATATGTAAATAACAGTGAAATTAACATTTGCAGCTATTTATTCTTTTATTATTGCCTTTGGGGTAGTTGTGTTGTTGCAGCACTTAAAGGAATGTTTAAATTGCATTGTAAATTCATTTAACATAACAATAGCGCCATTTCCAGTCCGCCAGTTCCAGTCCAGTCACAATTCTGTGTGCATATTTACAGTAAGCACAGGTGGGCTCCTATCAGCCAATTGGGGAAAATTGGGCTCTACACGGAATTCAAGTACAGATTAGTGATAATGTACGTTAATTATATTTAATGTGTGGCGATTTGTTTATATTCACTTGCATATGAAATGTACGCTGACAAATTGGTTAGCTTCAACTGATTGCAGTTTGAGAGGCGCTCACGTAGCTATACAGATTGACAGCCACTGTGCTGACTGTGCAAGCAGAACAGTGGCTGTTAAACTAATGCAGCATTTATATGCATATCTTATCAGCCCAAGTCAACAATGATCCAATTGGCGCTTTTTGGCATTCTTTCTTTAGCACAAATATATACGTATATGATTATATGATTATACCCTATATTCTTGTACGCATAAACAAATTATATGCTTATCTTTTACGTACTTACTCATATCACAGACTGCTTGCGCAGTTTTTTCTTAAGTGTGGGATCAAGGTTGAAAAAAGCACAGAAAAACGTATAAATCGATTTATTTCCTACCCCAATAATAGTATATTGACTGATACGTTATTATCTTGGCCGAACTTTAAGGCGGCCATACCCAACCCTCGACAACAGAACAAAGGCCAAGTTCGTGTGACGACAATTCGAGCGCAACTAATTAACAGAAATACCCAAATTAATTAAACCACTTTTGATCAAATCTATATAAAACGATATCTCATTACAATTATTTTTATTGAAGCGAATGTAAAGTCAGTTTTCTAATCTTCCATGAAAAGATTATCTTCTGTGGAGGGTTTTCTGGATACAAACATTTGGCATTTTGTTATTGAAATGGAAATTCAAAACCGATTAATAACATGGCTGAATTTGGATTTAGATGTGGATTGAGTCGCGGCAGGAAATGATAAAAAAGTCTTGCAATTTCTTGTCTATGCAGCAGAGGCATCGAGTGCAAGGGTATTACGTGGTCGACTTTAGCTGCAGTTTTTTTTTTTTTTATATTTTGTTCGCGTGAATTTCATTTTCGACTGACGCACGCCCCTTTTCGGTTCATTTTCAAGTGCTTCTCATATTTACTTTTATTACTGCGGTCTACTGGAACTACTACAAAAAAGTACTAAAGCAATCGTTTGATATTTTTATATTTCAATTTTTGTCATTTATCCGCTTACGAGTCTAAGCAAACTATAAAATGGGGCATCATCTTCCGGTAAGAACTGGTAGTATAAAGGCAAATGTACTCTTTCAAGTATTTACAATGTGCTCAAATGTACGCGCTCTTGAATATGTAATACCCTGTCTTTAAAAGTTTGAATCGGGTATACCACGTTTTTTAATCCAAAATCATCAACACATATACACATACAAATAGATTAAGCCTAATTTAGAAAGTTGCTACAGGGTGTCTTTAGGTCAAGCACTTTTGATTATAACATTAATATAACTACTATATATATACATATAAGATGTTAAGCAGTAGTATACAGGGTAGTTAACAGTGTCTTATCCCTCTCTCGAATAAGATGTTAAGAGAGAGATGTTAAAAGAGAGGAATAGACAGTCGGGAGAGTGAGAGGTGCTAATAAAACATTTTAGTTACGGGAATTATACTCTTGAAAATCCATAAAAAGCAAATAATATCTTATATTGAGCATGTTTTTTGCCGGCTCTATGCTAATTACCTCAAAATTGTTTTTGTTTTTTTATTTTTTCGGAATTTGAAATGCTCTCTAGATATAAAACACGTGCGCTACAGTGGAATAGAATTCGAACATCATGTTTCGATCTGTTATACGTATTAGATAGTAAAGATTGTGGATAGACAAACACGAATAAAGAGTTCCCTGATAATTTGGATGATGACTATGATAAATATAAATGATGAACCTAAGTGCTATGTAATAGTTGAATTACGAATTAAATACTTTAAAACAAACAATTAAGAAAGCAAAGAAAATTTGTTACGTTAGGTGAGTTTCCTTAAAGGTGCTTATTAGCCAAATAGTTGTCTAAGATTTGTGTGCTTCCATTGCATTTTCCACTTTCATTTGTTAATAACAACGAGTGATTTTTTTATGGTTGTTCATAAGTGCTAAAATGAGAATTAAGTTTACGGCCTGATATGGTCAAGTGCCTGTTATAAACGGTAGAATGAGTCAATGGTTTTTCACAATTCAAATAACAGGGCCAGATGCTTGTTCGGCACTTAGAGTTTATCTTGAATTCCCGAATGTTTCCGATAATTCAATTACGTCTGTGCTTATCATAAAATAATTTTGCACCCACCTCAAACTTGTATTATGTTTGCTTCGGATTGAAGTCCACTTGAATCGAGATATATAAGATTGGATTTTGGATTGCAGATAAAAGCTGTACGATAATTTGAGACGCTACTGTCAAGCCACTTCACCTCTAAGCAATGAGCAGTGGCTCTTAAACTGTGGCTTGTGGCTTAGCTGGGTTTCAGTGACTCTGCAACCCGCCAGTGGGTCACCGCCGATGTCTACCTGGCAATCGACTCTTGTCTAGCGTTTCGGTCTATACTGCTATGGCTTCGCCCGCTTGCGGATAACGTAGCTGAAGTGCTCCACTTCAGTGTAATGATAATGATTCCGATTGGAAACCGCATTGCCGAAGCGCAGTTGCAGCAGTAAACAACTCAGCTGATCAGATTTTTATATATTCCATTTGCAGTTACATACACATATACATCGAACAGAATGGAAAACGTGGACACAAGCTTTATACCCGATCTGCCATCCGGCGGAGCTCTTGCGGTTTACCGCAAACGCGCCAACTTTGACTGGAAGCGTTTGCGCTTGATCCTCGAAAAGGAACAGGGACTGCGCATCAAGGTGAGTGAATACAACATTCGTTAAGAGCAAAACTAACTGTAAGGAGTTCCACCTGTGAGATCTATAACGAGACTAGAGATACAGATCCATAATATTTGTTGCTGCGGATACTTCCCTATGAAATAGGGAAATCTGGCCTGTGAAATAGGGCAATCTGCCTGTCTGTAATATGTGTGTTAGAGAATATGCAAGCCGGAGACGTTACATTTTGAATGATGAAAATGATTGAAATGATCAATATATTCTTTCGTTTACCCAACATCGATTTAAATAACAGTCAAGCATTCCGGAGCATATCTCCAATTGGTGTGGTGAATTTTGTATGTCCAGCAGTTAATTGACTCTTTTAATAAAATTTCCCTATTGGGTTTTTATCAATCATCAGTGATTGTCCAACTGTAATTAAGCCACTCGACTTTCATAACTCTTGCAGTACAAGGTGTGGCGTCGCCTGGAAAATGATCAACTATTTGCGCACGCCTCGCGGACGCTGCCCATGGACGAGCAGAAGCGTCTGGCTGCCATGCAGGTGAATCGCATGAAGCATCTGGATCTGGTGCCCAAAGAGGTTGAGAGCCTGAACTTCTCGGCCAAGACAAAGTATTTGATGAACATCAACGAGGCGCTGGCGATCTACTCGCCCAGCCTGTCCGTGAAGATAGCGCTCGGCGTGGGCCTGTTCAACAATGCCATCCGAGCCTTGGGCACAGAGAAGCACACCAAGTATATTGAGGCTGCCTGGAACCGAGAGGTGATCACCTGTCTGGCCGTCACGGAGCTGTCGCATGGCAGCAACACGAAGCGCATTCGCACCACGGCCACCTACGATCCCAGCTCGCAGGAGTTCGTGATCAACACACCGGACTTCGAGGCGGCCAAGTGCTGGGTGGGCAATCTGGGCAAAATGGCAACCGTGGCCATGACCTTTGCCAATCTCATCACGGCGGACGGCGAGAACCACGGCCTGCACGGCTTTCTCATACCCATTCGTGATCCGAAAACGTTGCTCTCCTATCCGGGCGTCCTGGTCGGCGATATTGGCGAGAAGTGCGGCCTGAATGGCATCGACAACGGCTTTGTCGTCTTCACCAACTATCGCATACCGCGCGACAATCTTCTCAATCGGACTGGCAACGTCACGCCCGAGGGCGTCTACGAGAGCGTCTTCGCCGAACCGGGCAAAGCTCTGGGCGCCGCACTGGAGAGCTTCTCGGCCGGACGTATTGGCATCATGCAGGAGGCGGCCAACACCTTGTGCAGCGCAGCTGTCATCGCGGTCCGCTACGCCGCAGTTCGGAAACAGTTTGGCCCGGAACGCCAGGGCGAGGAGATCGCCATCATTGAGTACCAATTGCATGTAAGTGGAGCATACTCCTCCAGCTGGCGCTCTTTCAAGGCTTACGCTTGAGTTTTCTTTTCACAGCAATATCGGATTTTTCCCTACTTGGCTGCAGCCTGTGTGCTCAAGATTGCCGTCGAGGAGATGACCAACACGTATTTAGAAATCATCGCTCGCTCGCAGGCAGACTCAAACGGATTCGATATACTGGTAGGTTACTCGGCAGGAAAGCCCGAAAGTACAGTAAAGTAAGATTAGCTGTGAACCGTAACAATATTTCAGTATTTGGCACGTATTCAAGCCTCAAATTATAAGGCCAGAAAAACATGTATATATACTGTGTCCTAGACTCCAACAAGCTTCAAGTTTACTCCAATCTCACATTCCCATTATTGCAGACACAGAACGCAGCGGAGATTCATGCGGTTATATCAGCCTCGAAGCCGCGCATCACGTGGTCGGCACGTGATGCTATTCAGGAGGCTCGTGAGGCGTGTGGCGGCCATGGATATTTACGTGCCGCCAAGCTGGGGCAGATGCGCACCGACCATGATCCGCTGTGCACCTACGAGGGCGACAACAATGTGCTTGGCCAGCAAGCCTCCAATTGGCTGCTGCGCCAGTGGAACGCCAAGGAGCTGGAATCGCCAATTGGCAGCGCAAAGTTCCTGGAGCGGCGCCAGCACCTGCTGCAGCTGCAGTACGCACAGCTGGTGCAGCAGAGTCCATTGGACAGTTGGGAGTGTAAGCAAAAGATTTGCCCGCATTTGGAAGAACTTGAAATAAGCCTGGTTTTTTTTGTTGCAGTTGCTCTCAGCTGCTACGAGTGGCTGCTGTGCCATCTGATGTCCCGCACGAGCGCCCACATCGAGAGCCAATTGGCGGCTGGTGTCCATCCTTTTGAGGCTCGTAACAAATCCCAGGTTATGGGCGCGCGGGAGCTGTCGTTGGCCTATGCCGAGTACTGTGCCCTCAGTCGCTTTGTGGGTCACGTGCAGCAGCTGAGTCTGGAGCAGCCGTACGCCAATGTGTTGCGTGTGCTGTACGACGTGTATGCCATGTGGCTGCTGGAGAACCATATGACCACCTTCTATGTGGGCGGCTTTGCGGTGGGTGGGGCTTTCGCTGGGGCAGTGCAGGAGCGCCTGCTGCAGAGCTGCGCCCAGCTCAAGGATGTGGCTGTGAGCGTAGCAGATGCCATTGCCCCGCCGGACTTTGCCCTCAACTCGGTTATCGCACGCGCCGACGGCCTGCTCTACGAGAACTTGCAAAACGAATTTATGACCAACGAGGGCGCCTTCCAGCGGCCCGCCTGGTGGCGAGACGTCATCATACCACAGCCGCAGGAGAAATCAAAGCTCTAAAGGGTCAGCAGGACGACAACGCAAGTGCCTGGGCAGGTCGATCGCTCGATCACTCAATTCGCCCCTATCGCAGTTATTGTTACATCATCATATCGCATCGGGTATTACGGAGAAATTAAACTGCAACATACCATACACATTATATACCTTACATTTTATATGTAACTACACATAGATATTTTATACTACACACAAAATCTGTAATACACATTCAAAATTTCAAATCGTTAGCATCGATTGTGGAAGCTCCCAACTCCTTAAGGTGTCTAACTAACTTTGTAAGAAATAGGTAATTATGCTCATTCTGCTAGGAACTAGTTTATTTTGAGAGCTCTTTATTTTAATAATTTTTCAAAGTATAAACAACTTTGTAAATCTTCTGCTTTTTGACATGTTTGTGATTTGAAAGAGAATGAATAAATTCGAGCAATAAGTATTCCATTAAGAGAGCGCAAATCTTCAGTTTCATGTAAAGCTCGTTCATTATTATACAAAAAAGGCAAAGTATTAAACACCCTACTATAATTATTTTCACACTGAATACCCCTGCTTTCACTATCGATGCTAACGCTAGTACCGAAACTATCAAATGGTGTTCCTAGCAATATTTTACAATATAAATCTATTAGATTAGAATGTTTTGTTTAATAATAAGACGAATTATGTAAATAAATATTCATAAAATCAGTTACAATTCTTAATTAAAGTGGAGTGGAGTGTATTTAATTAATTGCTTGCTAAGTTCTTGAACTTAAAGCTGAATATTTGATGGCCCTTAATTAGATAGTGTAAAGTGGTTTGGGACGCTTCGCTTTTGTTATAATTAGTCAGCTACCGAGACAGCACATAGCCAAGATTTTACATTCAGGCAAACACACATAAATATATATATGTATGTATATAGACATATTAGTCTGGTACAGGTGTGTGTGCGTTAAAAGTAGGCATCATCGGCCGCAGTGGCCAAAGGTGCTCGTCACTGTCAATAAGCGGGCCCTGTTTATAAGAGGACCTGTGTTTACCTGTTCCAGCTCAGACGTAGCCAAGTTGTCGCACAGTAAAGACGAGTCGAAAAGTGAGTGAGCGAATACTGTGAGCGGGTTGTGGGCGGGCATCGTGGCCAAGATCGTGCCCAGCTTGGCAAACCAAGCGAGTCGCTCAGCTCTGACAAAGCTCGGACGAGCTCATCATATCAACTACGCTCCGCTGCGTTGCGCTCCCAACACAGCCGAGCTGATGAGCGGAGAGAGCGAGAGAGAGCGAGAGAGATCCGTGAACAGACGCGTCGTTTGTTGGCTTTGCGAATTTGTGGCGCAGTTTCATTCCGTTTTTGGCCAGTGTGTGTGTATGTGCTGGCAAAGGGAAAGGGCATTCGTGTGCCTTCTATTAACTCTAGTGTGCCTGATAAGCAGAAGAACATGTGCTCAAAAGAGTTGTTGTTTGTGTTAAATCAAGTCGAAGACAAACGATGTCAACTGTCATGCATACCCGCACTAAACGCTTAGACACAACCAACTACAACTTCGGAGCTGTGCAAATTTACGAATCATATGTTAATTTTATGACTGGTTTTTTTCACAGAACTCGAGTAGAAAGCGCTGAGAGGCAAAAGAGATCATTTATTATTCTGAGTCCAATACAATCTGAAATTTATTAAATGAGAATCGGCCGGAAAAACCCCAAAGTATACCTAAATTGACCACAAACAAAGAGCTAAACAACAGTGAAGTGCAATAATAAAATACTTTGAGATCTCTCAAATAAAAAGCGCATGACTGACAGAATTTCGTATAGAAATAATAGCAAACAATAATAAAAAAGACGCTCAGCTTCAAATTGATGTGATGTACGAAATGCGCACCGAAATGTTAAACACTTTGAAGAACAACAAAATTTTATTAATTGCTAAAAAAAAAACAAAAAAAGAGCAACCAATTAGCCAAACCGGTTTAGAAATCTCTGGACAAGCAAACCGAACCGAAAGATATACACAGTCATATATACAAATCCATTAATTCACATTTCGGGGATTTCCGTTTTCGATTTGGTTATTTTCTCAGTTTACGGTTCATCTGCCGCTCCGTCGAATTGCCAATCGCTTCTCTATTATATTTGCGCCAATCCATAATTGAAAAGTCGTGCAATTGTAATTAAATGGACTTCATACACAATTTATGATCGGATTTTTATCAAATAATTGTCGGCTTGATTTGGACTCGTGATGGGCTTACAAGTATCTCCGGTTTCGGGGGAGGCTCCATCCGAGCAAGATTAATTACATGCAGTGCATTGGGCTATTTTGCATTAGCTTTCTATTAGTTTTCTAGTTGTTTCCTAGCGTCTAATGATAATGAGTGAGAATGCATCATAACAATCGAAACAATGTCGGGCTAGAATAACTTACGATTTGCATAAATCTGGGCTTAGTACAATACTTAGTGACTACAGTTAGCAGTTAGTGTAAACAGCTGATGAAAATCAAATATTGTAATTTACACGGCATCATCAAATTTAAGACCAACATCTACAGCGGCAAACCGGATTACTTACAACTATTCTAAGACCAGTTTCTTCTCGAAATCATTTTAACTAATGCCTTCTTTTTCTTTCTTTCTTCCAGTAAGAACCAACGAAATCTTTAACGCAAATGCAAATACAATAAGATGTGGAAATTTGTACTAATTTGTATAGTTATGAGTGCATTATATAGTGAGGCTGATGCCTCATCGGGTAAGTTCAAGAAGAAGCACAATCCGATACTTTTCGTGAACAGTAATATACATATATTCAATATTATGGTAGATAGTGTAGAGTATTGTAGAGTATATAGTATTTATATTATGGTAGATATTGTGTAGTATGATATAGTATATAGTATTTATCAAATTTATCAAATGCGAAAATTTAATAATTGTCAAAGCATGACAGATCTTTAATTACCCATGCCAAAAAAAAATATATAAAGTATATAGAAATATAGTATATAGTGTATAAAAAATAGTATATAGTATATGAAAAATATGATCTACTATATATATATACTATATAGTGCAATGCCAACAAAACAAGAATATATATAGTATATACATATATATATATACATATACTATATGATCAATACTATACGATATATATATATATATATGGTATATACTGTATACTAAATACTGCATACTATACTATCTACTATATACTATATATACCATATATACTATATATATTCTGCCAGACTGCAACATTCCTAATTGTATTTGCAAATACACAGATTATCCGTTTCAAGAAATATATTAAGATAAATTGAACATTTTACTTAAGATCTGACATGCGTTGACGATCAAATTATCAAATTTTTTGAAAGGTTTACCAGATTAAAGAAGCGTACACACTGTTAGAAAATAAGTACATACTTACGCACTTCTAACCGGACTCCGGTTATTCTCTTTGGCAGGTCGTCCGGTGTCTCGCAGGCGTCGTGGCTATGCCGGCGGCTATGCAGGTGGGTATGCCAGCAGCGGTTCGGGAGCAGGTGGCTATACTGGAGGCTACAATGACTATGATGATTATGGCGGCGGGTATGCATCAAACTTTGGCATCACGGATCCGTATCTGTTCCATCAGCAGCTGACCAACCAGATACTGGCCCAGAACTACGCGACCCAACAGTGAGCATTGGCGGGGTTATACTGTGGTTATTCCGGGTAGTTTTAGTGGGCATTGGTGATGCTAACAACAACGCTTCTAATCTATTCTTGTAGAGCTATAACGGGCTTGGCCACGTCTGGCGATGCGTTCGTATCCGCGGATGCGACCATAAGCGACGATGACACGTAATTACACTGCTTTCCTTCTTGGCTTTTCCTTTTATACTAATCCGCATTCGATGATGCTCGTCGTGCTCTGTGGCTTCTCCTAATCGCTGTGCTTGTCTTTCGCAGTCGCATCCAGCAGCAGATCGCCGCCCAGCAGGCCTACCACAATAATCTAGTGCGCCAGAACAGCTACACGGGCGGCTCCAGTGGCGGCTCCTACAACTCGCACCGCTATGCGCCCAGCTATGCCGTTGCGGCTGGCTCCATTGGACCCAGTGGACACAGGCAGACGGCCTACATTAGTCCCGCCAACCCAGTAAGTGCAGCTCTGCAGCTCTTTTTCTGCCCAACTTAATTCTCTTGCCCCTTTTCGCAGGCGACACCCAACATTGTCAACCGTTTTGGCGGTGACTCCGGCAGCAGCTCCAGCTATGGCGGCAGCGGTGGTGGTGGTGGCTACAAGGGCGTCTCCGTCTCCTCGTTCAGCAGCAGCAATGGCGATGGCAGCAGTCGCCGTGGCGCCCAGACCACCATCAACGATAACGGCAAGGTGACGTCGTACTCGGTGCACTCCTAGAGAGATGCCGCACTCAGCTCAAATTTTGGTGTTTAGCATATTATAAAACGTTGCGAAACTTAACGATTCTCTATTTAAATGTTTCGAATACAAATATATACATATATCATATATATTTTAATCCCATATACTTTTTGTCGGACTTTCTCGTCTAATGGGGTTTTACTGTGACAGGTTTTGTTTGTTAGAAAGTTTTTTTTTTTGCTTTGGCTTTCTACTGATAATTCAGTCTATTTAAATGATAAGCATATGCAAATTTTTTTCATTTACTTTTTTTTTTTTGCTCACAAACAGCTCATGACCTTGATTTTGTCGGTATTTTATTATTTTTAATTGTATTTATTTAGCAATGTGCTATGTATGTCTGTGTGAGTATATCTGAGTATATATAATTGGTAAAAGTTCGACAATAACCTGAACAAAGTTTATCAGGCACCACAGGAAGTTGCCTATGTATAGCTAAAAAAAATTTGACTCATTAGGAATACAATTCATTTATGGGCTATATATAAGCCGGCAACACTCTTATTAAATCCCTTTATATTCAGTTATTCTTAGTAAGGACCACGTAGTATCTAAGGATGCACATTGACTCCTCCGTTATAATATAGGGTATACACATAACGTCTGCCTCAAATTGGAAGATGTTTTCAAGTTCTAAGCACATGAATTCCTCTGATTAGCATTTACCGGAAGTCATAAAACAGAATCTTTTGTTTGTAAACAAGTTACACTTTTATTTATTTACAAATCAACCGAAATGAATTCCGGGAAGCGCCATCGAAAATTCAATTCAAAACGTATGCGCAAAAATATTCCAAGCGTAATAAAACCGGTTCAAGTATTTCCCAACCCTTAACCCTTCACTTGCTGCAAACGGGGGGAATAAATGATATTGTTAAGAAATGTTTCAATTATTTAGAAACAGCAGTTTACAGAATCAACTAAATTATTAATAATTAGTAATAAGTAGGTTAAGAAATAGTTGGCGAATTGTCAGCCAAGTCGTAAAGCAACCGAACAACAGAATTTTGGGTCGAGTTCCAGGTATGTCATCTGAATATCACATCCATCCAAACAACCTGCCAATCAGTCTGCTTTATAACAATTAGACGACTCAAAAGGAAGTACCCCCCCTGGGATCAAGAAACAAATCCCCCCTTCCACGACCCATACCCTACCTACCTACCCGTGATGGGATATCCAACTCAAATTCTCAAATTCTGCAATTAATAAAATATCTATCTCTTAATGTAAAAAAAAGAAAATCTATCTCTAGAACAAGAAGCTCTACATTGAACCACAAAAGTATGCTCTTAGCCAGATATTGTAGAGTCAAGAAACTTTACTTTCAAATAAAACAAAGAGTAGATTTTTAATTCCACCTCTTCCACTGCTTACCCTACACTAAACAGACATAAAGATACATGTAATACTTAACTGTCAACGTTTTACCGAAAAAGCAGTCAGATTATAAATAAAAATAATGTTTTAAAAAATATATAAAACAATTCACGAGTCGCTGCGCTCAGAAACACGAAGCAGGATGTCATCACTTCAGAAGATTTGGGGCAGAAGACTAAATCGGAAGACTTGGTTACATATTTTGGAAATATTTTACTGTATGGACAATAGGGCTTTGAATGTGCTTTGAATAGAGCTCAAACTTATTTTGAAAGAATTAATCTACAAAACAATAAATACGTGTTGCACCGATCTTAAAAAGCCAATTCCACAGGCGAAAAGCGGTTGGAATATTTAGTGTACTTTTTCTTTATAGTCCGATCGAATTTTAGCTTAATAAATATCTTTACTTTTCTTTTTACTGTTAGGTTTAAGGTTGAAGTAGAAAAAAAAACAATTTTAAAGTGTGTGAAAAGGTTTCTAAAATAGATAGAAATTGTTAGCACAAGCAAAGTCAGGTAACACACATAAATATATCATATATCATATATGAATCTTTTTAAGCTGAATTTGAAATATATTTTATTTTTACGAACCTAACAAATTATGAACAGAATACGCAAAGAAGAAACAACGGTTAAGAGGCGAAACTAAATATATATATTCGACTTTTATAAAATCGTATATTCCTTCACCTCAGCTAGAGAGCAAAATCATATAATGTAAACATAAAAACTCTCTAATGCTATAATACATTGCTTCAATGGCCTTTGCTGGAAAATGACTATATATATAACATAATATAGTCATAAGTCTATGTATGTGGCATTATAATTGTACCTATTCTGAGAGGAACTGTACATGGCAACTATGTTTGTAGACGCAAGGTTTCGACACGAAAACAATTCCTATCAGCTGTCTATATAGAAGCACATACAAGGTAATCAACTGATGTACATACATGTGTATTTATGTCGCAATTACTTTCATCATTGATTTAAATAAAAAAAAATACTGTCAAGAGTTTCTGCACCAATTCCGAGTTTAATTTCGTAGCACACATCTATAGCTAACATTATCTGCTGTGCCCAATGGCAAGCTCTCTAGGTCAAGAAGCGATCCATTTCAAGTCCGAGTAGAGCTCCGCCTTATCTATTGGCGTCTGGGCCATTCGTTTGGTTTTTAAAGCGCGTTCCAATCGTTCCTATTCATTAGTACAAATTCAGGCGCGAGTCTCGCTCGGTGTTACGCAGCTAAAGTTGAACATTTTCAAAAAATAAAAAAAGAACTCAATATGAGATCATTGTTGGTGCTGGCTCTCTGCCTGGGTGTCGTCTGTGCAGGTAAAGAGCTCCTTTTAAGCTCCTACAAGTTGCAATTGAAAGTGCATAAAATATATGAAGCTCTCACTTTCGATCCTTTAGACTTTTCACTCGCCGTGTGCATGGCATAACGTGTTATTTCCCCACCCATCTCCGGGAATACTCGCTTCTTGATAACGTAAAGCCGTCATTTTCCTGAATGAACAATTGACACAACACTAATTGTGTAACGGCCCGATGCAGGCATGTGCCGAGATTAGAATGCGTCATTATTGGAATCAGGGCTACAGAGTCAAAAATAGTCGGTTCACTGCTCAAATGCAGCCAGGTTTGGTTTAAAGCATAGCTTTCCACAGGCTTCCAAAATTTGACTGAACCAATTGACTTTTTAATTTAGAATTGCTCCTTTTACTGAAAGTATTCCAAGCTGGGCATATTTCCAATTACAAGATTCGCGCTTAAAGTAAAAAATAATCGGTGGTTCGGTTCACTGCTCAAATGAACTACTTTCGGCTCGTGAAACTGGTTTTCACTTCCTCAAGCCCAGGTTTTGGTTCAAAGCAAGGTTTGCCATAGGTTTCCAAAATTTTACTGAACCAGTTGACTTTTTAATTTAGAATTGTCCCTTCAAATACGAGATGCGCCATTATTGGAATCACGGCTGCAAAGCCAAATATGTTCCTGGTTCGGTTCACTGCTCAAATGAACTGGTTTTCACTTTCCTAACTGAACTTTAACTGAACCAATTGACTTTTTAATTCATAATTGTTCCTTCTACTGAAAGTATTGCAAGCTATTTCATATAGCTATATATTTTAATTTGGCATTAATAAGTTACCCAACTAGAATGAAACTTACGATCAATGAGAAATATAAATTAATACCTATTTTTGTAAACCTTTCTTTTACAGATTTTCAAAACAGGTAAGTTGGTTGCTGGACAAGTCCTTACGGCCATCCTTGATATTAACTTTGATATAATTTTCGTGTGCCTTTGCTGATAAACGGTTAGACACAAGCGGGACGATTTCCACAGTCGGTAAGTGCCGTGCGGCAATGTTGAAGATATCATTTTGCATCTGACAAAATCGAAATTTCCAATTGGCAACATGGTACTAACCCACAGAAAAAGACAAAATTCGCGAATTATAACCGATTTAAAATCTGAACCAAAAGTGAACACTATGCAACAACTTTTTTATTTAAGTATACATTGATGAAAGTTATGTAGAATTTATAATAATTGTCAAAGTTGCTGCATAGTGAAAATCTGATAAGACATAGCGCTGATCCAATTGGATTCCATTCGCAGCCACTACAGTGCGCATCAGCAAGCAATTGAAACGGCCCGCAGGAATGCCTATGGCTCGAGTGGTTACGGCTCCAGTGGGAGTGGATCGGGTAGCTTTGGGGTAGGCGGCGGTGCGGATCTGGCGGTTG